ATAATCCTGCAGTCTCTTCTTGACGATTGTGGCCTGTTCCTCGGTGCTCATGTCGGCAAAATATCTCATCGGGCTCAGCTTCGTTTTTCCGGGAAACCGTTCATTTGCGACGGCGTGCCGGATCATATTATATTCGTCACGCTTAGCAGGGAGGAATTCGCCACGCCATGCCCAGGGCATTCGCCTATCACATGATTTACCAGGCCTGTTGAAGTCGCAGGCCGCGCAATTCGACTCATCAATCATCGAGTCGGGTTGTAATCGGTTCGTGATCATGATGTTCGGGTACATGGAGGCGACATCCAAGTGATAGATGAACGGCACTTCGTCTCTCTGTGGCCTCTCCCTGAGATCTACCAATTGCTTCGCAATCTGAGCCCTGACCTCATCGTAGTTGGCAATATCATCCATTGATTTTTTCTCCTCAACTTCGATACTGAATCGCAAGGCTGCATCCAAATCACGTAAAAGCTCGTCAATGGCGGATGGCTGGACGTTGAAAGTGACTGGGATGTCACTTCGGAAAACACCAGCTTCTATACTTTCGACATGCCCGCCAACATAGGTCTGAGATTCGAGCAAATGTCCCTCATAGAACGACTCTGGTGGGTCTTTGTGTTTGTTCGGAAGTATAATCTCGCCTTGGTAGGCTTGCACCATGAGTAGCATCTCACAAAGTGTGCCGGTACCTTTCCGTAAAGTTTCATCGGCGTTCAGAGGGATAATGTTGCAGAGCGAGAAGATGAATGGGTGGACGTATTTCATATATAGATAGTAAGTGGCGACGGCATCGGAAACTGAGTATTCGGCCAAGGTCTGGGGGCGTTCACTCGCATATGGTGTCATGAGTTCCGGGTCTAATTCATCAGGGTCGTATCCAAGCTTCGCAACTGTGACGGCCTTCAAGCCACGACTGCCTTGAGGAAGGTAACTATCACGGTTGACCCAAGCAAAACAGTCCATGTGCACACAGTAGTCACTTTGGTATATATCCTCATTGTTTTTGCGGAACCCGATTTCGGTGTACATATCAATCCCGAGGACGCTCGCTCTTGCTTCAACGAACGGCCAGTCGAAAAAGTCACCGTTGTAAGTAGCGATGATGGTCGGTTTTGCTTCATTGATGTGCTCGAAAAATCGCTCTAGGACGCCCCTTTCGTTGGGCTCGTTGAAGACCATGAACGGTCCTTGGTATTCAGGCTTTGGCGTGTACTCAAAGTCGTCGATATCTTCGGAGACGATTTCCCGGTTCGTAATCAGAAAGCCCTGTCCATCAATCATGTACGATATCATCATGATCTGATCAATGACCGAGTCTGGAAATTTGAGCGGAAGTTTAGTTGTCTCGATATCGTAAGCAAGCACCACTGGATCCGGTCGTTGGACTCGTTCTTCCAAGCAAGTCAAGGAAACAACACCATGCTTCGCCTCTACATTATACCACTTTCCAATCCGGATATCTGATGAACTGCATTAGCCGAGAGGTCTTGTAGAGAAGTGGTGAACAATGGTGTACCTTTGTCAATCGCTACCCGGACATGGTAAGGAACGTCATATTCTCGAATATCAATAATAAAATCACTCGCATTCGTACGCCCATTAGTTCGTGCCTCGTTAATTAATTCGTCATCAAAGAGATCAAATCCCGCATTTGCGCTTCGGCATCAGATTAGCTGAGGACAGTAGAAAGATTGATTCCAGAACAAACCTTGTGGTCTCAACATAAGTATCCATTACACTTGCATTCTTCTTGTTCTTCTCCGCCAACGGGAGTATAGCTTTTCGAACATCCAACAAATGGCTCACGTTTGCGAAACTCAATTGAAGGAAGGGCCGTCGAATCCCCAGCAGATGGTTTGGGAGTTTGAGATCATCCCTTTCCACTCGCTTGATTTTCTTGACAAGCCCTTCGAACGCCCGACGGCACCACTCTTCGACTTCTTGCTCGTGGCCCTTCTTGACCGCGATGAGAAAGTACGGGTCATACTCGACAGTCGCCTTGAAGCTGGTACCGCCATCCTCCAGGAAGTAGTAATCCACACCAGCACGCCCTCCCTGCACATTGGAATCCTCGACGGACGTGCTATGCATGTTGATCAACCATCCAGCCCTCTTCTCACCGGCCTCGAAGCGCGGGAATCCCAGTTTCTCGTCGATGCTGTTCGCCAGCCGTATCGCCTCGAATTTCTCATCTTGGGATGTCGCTTCCGTCGAACGAAGGGAGGAGAATTCGACCGTCTTGGATTTTCGCGGGTTGAAGGACGAGTTGTTTGACCGAAATTTGTTTCCGAACTTGGAGGGCTTTCTCGAAGCCATCGTGACTGTTGTGCGCCCGCCGTCCGGGGCTGAGGATCAGTGAAAAAACACCAGAGACGTGATGCGCATGGAACGTGGAGGTAGAAGGTAGATTAATATGGAAATTCGCAGGGCATAGTTAAAAACCTGCAACAATTGGTCGTGAAATGGGGTATCTTGAATGAACACTGACTGTGTGGTCCAATGTGATTGACTTGATTCCAATATTGGGCCCAATGCCCATCCTGAAAGCGCCGACGCGTTCGCGTTTCCACTATACGCGTACTAATTGGGTTTAGTTCCGCGTCTATCGGATAAATTACCCACTTTTGCTATATTGGGATTATATAATATCCGATATGCTACCGACAACCTGGATAGGAAAAGCAGCCCAGTAGAGCCAAAGTTGAGTTTAAGTATTCCCTATAGGTCGTTCATTTGGTCTTTCAAGACAACCCTAGCTCAATCCAGCATGTATAGAAGAAGAAAAAGATTGGGATACTACGGCGCGAACCACATCTGAAAGAGCAAATTGGAAAGCTATCTTTTTAGTACGACATAGGCTTCAATCAAATAATTTACAAATACCCAGCCCATTAGGTCGTAAATTGGAACAAAGCAAGAAAGAAATGGCAATAGAAAATCAACCCAACAACGCCGCGACAATGACGCCCTCGTGTCCCAAGACATGGCATGTTTATACCTTCTTCTTCTTCTTGGACGGCTCGGCATCGGTATCGTGCTTCCGCTTCTTCTTCTCGGATTCGCCATCGCCGACGGACTTACGCTTCTCCTTTTTCTCCTTCTTGTCCTTCTTCTCGCTCTTCTCCTTCTTCTCCTTCTTTTCCTTCTTCTCCTTCTTCTCCTTCTTTTCAGCCTTGGCATCGGCATCTTCCATCTCCTCATCACTGCCGGCAGCATCGATTTCCATATCAGCAAGGACCGAGTCCATGGCATTTTTCTGTTGATGAATCAGCACTCGGGTTTCAGATCAAAATGAAAGAGAAAAGAAAGGGTAAGGAAAGAAAGAATCGGTTTCAACATACCATGGCAACCTCGTTCTTGGTGGGGGCAGCACCAGTGGCGTAGAAGTCAAGACGCTCCTCAACCTGCTTCTTCAAGGCCTCACCGAACTTGGTCGAGGGCTCCTCGGAGAAGTTGTCAATTCTGGAGGCGATGGAGCACTTGTTCGCAAGGAAACGCGAGATGCGGCCCTTGTTCTTGGGACCAGCCCTTCCAATGAAAGACGAGTGGTACAAAAGACCATACTTGGGAGTGTTACCCTTGGTCTTCAGGGCACGGAAAAGGGCCTTCTCGGCACCGAGGATCTGCACAGTAGAGGCAGGGTACTTGGACAGATTGGTCAAGCTACCGGCGTGAGAGATCAGACGGGCACCGACGATGTCACCGAGCAGGGCAGCAAGGTTGGGCGCCACGACATTCATCTTAGAGACCAGGTAAGAGTGCAGGGACTTGCGGTACTGGGAAAGGCTGACAACTCGTTGCGCGAAGGAGGTGACGTTCTCCATGTCAGTCTCGGAAATCTCCTGACCCATGCTGTGCTTGGCAGCATCAATGATGCTCTGGGCAATACCCTCATCATCCTCCACCAGGGCAGCCAGGTCGTGCAGTTTCTCGTCGTTCAGCTCATTCTTGTCCTGGATGAACAGGGCAAGCTGGGCATAGCGCTGGTTATCCGAAACAATCTTGACCAGTTCAGGGAAATGCCACGAGTACCACTCGCGCACACGCATGGCGAAGGTGTTGATCGCCTTGTCAAGCCCATCCAGGATAGCAATGGCCTGGATGATATGGTTGTCGTCACGCTGAACGGAGAACTTAACCTTAGCACGCGAGTAAGCGTGACCAAGACCCAGTTGGGCGGTGTTCATATCACCTTCGCGGAGCTGCTTCAGCAACTTGGAAGCATGCTGCCTAGTACCGCGGAGCATATCCTGAACGACTTCACTGGTATCGCCGGTTTCGCAGTCCACGAAGTCGAAGGCAGACTTGATGCTACCAGCCAAGGCCTTGTCCGCGACACCCAGAACAACCTTCTTCTTCTTGTTAGGCTTGGGAAGGTTCAACTCGAGGAACGAGATCAGGGTGTCCGAAGCGACACCTTCCGAAACATCGTTGATTTCGCTCAGGGCCTGCTTGTTGTTCCTGGGGATAGTCAATATTTTTTTTGTCTTTTTTTTTCGGCTTCAACCTCCAAGCAGAACATACTCAAAAGGCACAAAACTGGCCAAATCAACCATCTTTCCAAACTTGGCGAGATCATTCACACCCTCCTGAACTTCTTTCAAACTGTTTCCAACGGTGTCGCTCTGGTGGGCGACCTTGAAAAGACCGTAGCCCACAGGGCTTTCGAAAAGCAGGAAATCGGCCATCTTGTACACAGGGGGGCCAATGACCCGATAAAAAATTATTTAAATAAAAGAACGAAAATGCGAACACACAGGGAGACTCCTCTATCCTGTAAATTCGGCGGGGGTGGGTTGGCGTGGACCGACGTGGATTTTCAGAAGGAGACGAAGGACAAAATTGGAAGAGTCGAGCCGTCGAAGCTCTTTTTTTTTCTTCTCATGTCGGCGCTAGTGCGAACACCGAATGTGGGCTTTTTGCCAAAACCAGTCGCTCACCGCCTTGGACGGCAAACACCCGCACCACCACCACTATCGAGTTTGTGCAAGCCCCCGGACTGCTTCTTTGGTGCTTTGCTACTGGAAAATATCGGCAAAGCGTTGTCTTTTCAATCTTTTTATATTAGATTCTGCTGCCTGTCGCTTTGATTGCCGCAGAAAATGTCGGCTACTCAGTTACTCAACCCCAAGGCCGAGTCGAGAGTAAGTGGCAGAATCCCCATAGCCCCTCAGTCGCCGGACATAAAGCTAATAGCATATACAGCGGCGCGCGGAGGCTCTGAAGGTGAACATCAGTGCTGGTGAAGGTCTTCAGGATGTTCTGAAGTCTAACTTGGGTCCTTCCGGGACGTTGAAAATGTATGTCGCTGCCCTCGAACGACGCTGGGTTGATGCTAACCTGCACGAATTTAGGCTGGTGGATGGTTCAGGCGGAGTATGTCACTTCTACAATTGTTGGAGCAGCGTATTCGGTATCTGACAGTGGGCGTGTATAGATCAAGTTGACCAAGGATGGAAACGTGTTGTTGCGAGAGATGGTAAGTTCGGGTCCCCCCCCCCCTCTCCCATATTCGAGGACGACGACTAACGTGTGCAGCAAATCCAAAACCCCACGGCCGTAAGCTAGTTCCCTTTTTTTCGAGAAGTGCCCTCAAATTGATATCGTGAAGGTTATGATTGCCCGAGCTGCCACCGCACAAGACGACATCACTGGTGATGGAACGACGTCCGTTGTCTTGTTGGTGGGAGAACTCCTGAAGCAGGCGGAGCGTTACATTTCCGAGGGACTGCATCCCAGAGTTATCACGGATGGCTACGAGATCGCGAAGAATGAGGCTCTCAAGGTCAGTGGAAAGTCTTGGTTTCACGGCAATATCATACTGAATTGTGTTTTGCTATACAGTTCCTTGACCAGTTCAAGATTGAGCGCCCTATCGACCGTGAGCTGCTGCTCTCCGTTGCTCGGTCGTCGCTCAGCACGAAGTTGAACACTGCTCTCGCCGAGAAACTTACCCCCGATATCGTCGATGCCGTCCTCGCTATCCACAGACCCCCTACGAAGCCGGATCTGCACATGGTTGAGATCATGACGATGCAACACCGGACGTCTTCTGATACCCAGCTCATCCGCGGTCTTGCCCTGGACCATGGTGCCAGACACCCGGATATGCCCAAGAGAGTCGAGAATGCCTTCATTCTGACATTGAACGTCAGTCTGGAATACGAGAAGTCTGAGATCAACTCCGGGTTCTACTACTCTTCGGCGGAACAAAGAGACAAGCTGGTGGAGAGCGAACGTAAATTCGTGGACGCGAAGCTGCAGAAGATCGTGGAGTTGAAGAAGCAGGTTTGCGGCACTGACCCGAACAAGGGCTTTGTTGTCATCAACCAGAAGGGTATCGATCCCCTGAGTCTCGACGTCCTTGTGAAGAACGGAATCATGGCCCTCCGGAGAGCCAAGAGAAGGAACATGGAGCGTCTCCAACTGATTTGCGGAGGTACTGCACAGAACAGCGTGGATGACCTCACGCCCGATGCTCTTGGATGGGCTGGCCTGGTCTACGAGCACCAGCTTGGCGAGGAGAAGTTCACTTTCGTTGAGGAGGTCAAGGATCCCAAGTCTGTCACCATTCTCATCAAGGGTCCCAACGGCCACACCATTGCCCAGGTCAAGGATGCGGTCCGTGACGGATTGCGTTCCGTGTACAACACCATCGTTGATGGATGCGTCGTCCCCGGTGCTGGTGCGTTCCAGGTCTCCTGTGCCGCCCACCTGGCGTCGGAGGGTGTGAAGAAGACTGTCAAGGGCAAGGCCAAGTGGGGCGTTTCGGCTTTCGCCGACGCTCTCCTGATCATCCCCAAGATCCTCGCCGCCAACTCCGGCCACGACATCCAGGACTCTCTCGCTACCTTGGAGGACGAGCGCTCCGATGGCAACATCGTCGGCTTGGATCTGAACACGGGCGAACCGATGGACCCCGTCCAGGCGGGTGTCTTTGACTCCTACCGCGTCCTGCGCAACTGCATTGCCTCGAGCACGGGCATCGCATCGAACCTCCTTCTCTGCGACGAGCTGCTGAAGGCCCGACAGATGGGCAAGGCGGGTGGACCTGGCGACATGGAGTAATGCGGTTGCTACGTACAGAGGTTTATCAGTCACATAAAGAGCTTGGAAGGTTATAGAGTGGTTCCAACAAAAGAAAACCAATTTTTATTATTATGTATTGTCTGTTTCTACGTGTACCAGATACACACGGAACGCCTTATCTTAATCAATTATCCTAACAAGCCAATTCTGGACAACCTCACAAGCCTAACATATGCAATGGTATCTATCCGTAACGCGTTCCCAGTAATATAAAATGATGCAAACCCCACGCCGCAAAGAACCCAGTGAACGAAAGGAAAAGGTATAATACATGTGCGAGGTGAGTAAGAACAATCTACTCGTCCTCCTCTTCTTCCTCCTCTTCTTCGTCTTCATCTCCTTCATCGCCTGACGTACTGTCTCGTGCGTATATGTTTTCTGGGGCCCATCGCCCGAGAAAACCATCATCTCTTACAGGATCCCGTAGAGAAAGATGGTGGGCGTTCGCCCAGTCCGATACCTTGGACATCCGTAAGACGACCGTCTCCTTATCGGCCATCTCCTCGTTTGTTTTCGTCTTCCGCCTCTTCGACGGGCTAACAGGCTCCATAAGCCCCAGGCCCTTGAGCGCAGTTATAACATCCTCAGCCAGCATACCCGTCGCCAACCCGATGTCTTGAACGGTCATCACTTCCGAAGAGCTTCTCTTCCGAGACGCCTTGGAAGGTGTCTGTTTCTGCTGCGCAGTCTCGTTCGAGTCTCCGGTCGCATCCATGCCCCGAAGCAAGAGATACCTGACAATCCGTTCCTCCCAGAAACGACTATAACTCCTCCGCCCCATTTCACTCAGCGGCTTCTCCGGCCCGCCGATCAACCCAGTATCGCGCTCCCAGTCACTCAGCTTATAACTCACGCCCATCAACAGCTTCCCGAGCTGCTTCCGCTGATAAGGCGGGAAAACCAGAATGCACGCAAGATTATTCGCATCCCACGACAGTTTCTCCTTCGAAAAGAAGCCCAGAATATGATAGGTGTCGGGATCGGCAGGGTCGGTAAAAACGAGCAGGTAGTAGAGGAAGGAAGCGACTTCGAAAAACACCGACTTGTGGTCTAGGAACAGCTTCGCGAACAGAGACAGGTTCTGCGCGTACAGCTTGTGGTCCTCGCCATCCAGCTCCCACACCGAGTATCCGCCATGCTCGTAGACTTTATTGCCCGGGGGGGTCGAGCGGTGCGCGCAGAGGCGCGTGTGTTTCGCGTAGCGGTCGACGTCGCACGAGTAGCGGAAACAATAGCGACACACGTATAGTCGGTCTGTGTCTTTGCTGACGAGATCCTCTGGATAGATGGACTGGTACCATGTCCGGAAGAAGAGGTCGCCTAGTACGACATGTTTCACGTTGCGATCGGTGGGAGGCTTCGTGTGGGACGAGGGCGGGTCGCTAGGAGCCATTCGGCGAAGGCGGCCTCGGGAGGAGATTATTGAGAAAAGGGAAAAGGAAAGAAAAGGGGCGAGGAATCGAGGAGTGATGAGAAGACCTCAGGATCCTACCGAATCCAGATGTGGATGTCGTCGAAGGGAGGAGGTCATTGGCGTTGGGAGAGCGATTCCGGAAGTTGGGTGTGTCTAGTGGAGCCACGGTTCTATAGAGACGATTGGGAGAGGAATTATCGCAAGGTCATGAATGTAAGAGCCATGGCGACCACGCCGTCCATTCCATGGCAGATCACAGGGAGGAAGTAGTAGGTAGAAGTCAACCTTTAATACTGTCGAGAATACTTCACGCTCAGTCCATCCCGTGCAGTTTAGCTTACTGCTGGCGGATGCCTGAGGCTTGATTCTGCCATTCATCTGACTCGAGTTTCCCTTCAAGGTTGTTGTTCCCCTCACTCTCATCTCATCATCATTACCACATTCCGCCTTCTCTTGCTTTTTTGGATCATTAAATCGGGGCCTGATGGTTGTCAATCTCATATATATATCGGGTTACACTACTGATCACATTCCCTTTTGTACGATGACGGGCGGAGTTATCTGCAACTCCTAAGGTATTCAACGGCCGCCACTCGCCCATAGGCAGCAGCATACAGCCTTCTGTCTAGCTCTACCATTCTTTCTCCTTCCTCGTCCACTGCGGTCATCTTTGATCGATCTTACGTCTTTTCTCCATCTACTCAACCTGGGAAATATCAAATATCATCAGTTTTCACTCCCTCAGTCTCTGTGGAGCTCTGTTGACAGATTCTCTGTTGCTCACTTACCAAGCTCCCCGCTCTAGTCCCGGGCTATTGAGCTACGACCCTTTACCTTCACATCGATCGCCTTATCGCCGACGATGTTGAATCCGTTTCAGATAAGAGGTCTTCACGGATCTCCGTCCTTACAGGAGGCGAGCGAGCCTGCAGCTCCCAGTGAGCATATCGGTTCCGGAGACGACCATCTTATAGTAGAAGACCGCCTCGGCCCTCAAAACCGTGCTGCGTTGGTCCAGCTGTCTACATCAGAATATGACGATATCGCAACGAACCATCCTCGCGCTCGATTAACCTATCTTGATGAAGATGACGGGGATCTTATTACAGTGAGTTTTTTGGCCTTGGACCGCTTGTCACCCCGATTAATGGTGGATCTAGGTTGGATCTTCTCTCGAGCTCTCTCAGCGTCTAGAAGAACCCGCTTCTACTTCCGTCCCGTTTACCGACCCCGGTCCTGTTCACATCTTTGACATTCGCCGTTCAAACTCGGTTACGGAGCTGTGGAGGAAATATGAAACCGGCTCGCGCCCGCAGAACGCAGATAATGTGGCCGTTATCCAACCCGGCCTGGCTGATGCGGATGCGTCGCAGGCACCTGCAGAAGAGCAATCCAGCTCAACTAATAACAATGCAGCGCCTGCACCAAGGACAGAACCCGAACCACTCATGGCCGCATTTGAAGCCGAAATGGCTAGGATTCTACACGACTCTAATGCTGCAGTCTCTGCACAGGCAGACACTCCTCCCCAGCCAGAACCGACGCCGAATGGAACGAGATCTCCCAGAGGTCAAACCCCGGGGGATGCTGTTCTCCATACCATATTCAACTTGCTCGACGGGGCCGAGACGGTCAGTGCTGGCGTGAGATCACGATTCCCGGAACTAGAGCAGCAGCTACAGAATGCTCAACGAGCCCTTCCTGGACAAGTCGGATCCTCCGTTCAGGTTGCCCTCTCGACGTTGGAACTTCAAGCAAGAAATCTTGTTGGCGCTATCAATAATGCCTCTACGGCAACCGGTCAGAGAGCTGAGAATGTCCTTCAAAGCGAGTGTCCGGTGGCCGCCAATACGGTACAGAGTCTGCGTTCTATGGCCTCTGAACTTGGCAACATGGGGCAGTCTCTGTTCGAAACCTTTGAATCCGAGTTCGGTCGCAATCGGTCCAGGTGTCAGGGCCGGACATACTCAGGAGAGAACTCTATCTCGCCCCGTCCCGAAAATAGGGAACAAATCTGGGGCCGTCCGAACGACGCTCCAACCACTGAAAATACCAATCAACAGCCGCTGCCCAATGCTAATGGCAGAACTGAGGAGGGGGCTGTGGCGAGTAACCCAGGAGAGCCATTCGGCAATTTTCAATCTCACGGACATGAGCAGAATGCCACCGTATCTGACAGCAGGCTTGCTAGCCCGTCAGAGTCACAGCTCCCCACTGGACCCCCGTCGCTGAGACCACATGAGCTGCTTCATCCTTCTCATAATGACTCGCCACAGAGACCTCCTCAGCATCCTGCTTATCCCAATATATATGAAAGTGTGGCGAATCGCTTACCTAGCTCCCCGAGTCTGCCTCCGCCTTTTGTCCCGTCTTCCCCCGCTCCGTCACGGCGGTGTGCCCCACCCAGGGATACCCTGTTCATCGGTAATGTCGGCTACATGGCCAACGCGGACTCCATTCGCAGCCTTTTTGAATCGAAAGGCTTCCTCGTGGATGTAGAGCTGCCATATGACGCAAAGACGGGAGATCACGTTGGATTCGGCTACGTGTACTTCCCCTCGATCCATGCAGCGGAAATGGCGCTGGACGCCTTGCAAGGGACCCGTGTCGATGGCCACTCTATCAACCTCGAGTTCAGTGACCACATACCTATCGCTGGCCTTGGTACAGCTCATCACACTGGAGAGGGGTCTCATCACTCCGTCTCTCCTGGATTTACCCGGAATCATACTGATGGAGGGCCAGACCTCCCTTCGGTTGACGATAGAAGGCCGGCTCCGTTGGCCGTAGCAGATCTATGCTCCGGTGACATCCGTCGCTCAGGCGGTCAGGCGATTACAACAGGGGACAGGTCAGTGGGCAGTAGTACTTCGTTGGACACTGAACGTCTGAACTCGCTTTATCCTTCACTTCTCCCAGAAAGCGCAGCTTCACGGTCTCTCAGCAACAACGGTACCACCGACCGACTTCCCGAGCTGACACGAGACCTCGACTACCGCTTCCCTCCTGTATCTCAGCTGGACGCACGTCTCCTCGCTGAACAACGCCAGTCTAGGCCCGGAGGAGCTTGGGAGACATCTACTCGACCGGTGAACGGGGCCACTGCCCGGAACCATGACGGACGTACTCCTTCGTCGCACAATTTGCCTAGCGCATCTGCACTGGGTGTTCCCAATGGGCGTCCAATACCTTCGGGTTTTGCGAGAACTCCTGCTTCAGAACGCGTCGGTGCAGGTCCTTCTCATGTCCCGATCCCTCTCGGACGATCAAATACGTTCATGAGGTACCCCCACAGACGCGATCCTTGGGATTCGATCCGCCCAGATGTGCTTTACAGTTCTGACCAGCCATTGAGAAGACGAGCCACCGAACGCCATTCTCCCCGAGGCCTTGGTGGTTTCCCCAGCCAGTCTGCACACAACAACCCTTCAGCTCCGCATCTGGCCGGTGGGGTGGAAGGAAGTGGGCCCCAGCAGTCTAGGCCACAGCAGCGAATGATTGATGAATGTATGTCCACTTTGGTCGCTCTCGGATACGGGAGTGTGAAGGATGGTGGTCCTCAAAGACTCGCGATATATGCGGCCGCGGCGGATGGCAATATCGAAGATGCGATTGAGATGATCGAAGAAGAGCGGAAAGTCTACGAACAGCAAGGATCGCGCCTATGATCACAATGTTTCCTGACCGTCCTTTCACTTTGTGAGAAATTGTGATATAGTGTTCACGTTAATCTTTCTTGCGAGGGTATTTTCATGGCGTTGGATATGAGGTTTTCTCCGGCCGGGCGTCACTTTTGGAAGCGCTGCTTTTCTATCTATTAATAGTGACCGTTTGACGAATTCAAATGCAATTGTAAGGTTCAATTCTAGTCATCTCTTCAACTGCTTAGAATAGATAGTAGTCCGGCCCTGTGGCATACACTTTAGATAGGCGGGCATCAATTATATTTCCTGATGCGGTTAGTTACTACGATGCGGAGTTGAAATCGGACCGGACCGATCGACAGAATCAACAACCGTCACTGACAAGGTCTTGGCCAAATCAGTCCAGCTTTCACTGCTTCCCTCCTTTCAACTCCACAAGCGCGAGCTCGTGGTTTGCACGCTCCTCGAAGCCATGCAAATATGGCGGCGCGCATTTACTACGTCGGTCGCCAGGCTGCAGACTAAGCCGCGTACAGTACCCGGCGCGGCGCTTCCCCAGGGCGCGCAAATTCGGTCCAAGCCGCCGCCGGTTAATCCTGAAATACTGGGCAAAGACATCACTCTCCAGGGTTCCGTTCGCTCCGTGCGGAAACACAAGCGATTTGCTTTTGCGGAGTTGTCTAATGGCTCTTCGATCCACACCATCCAAGCCCTCCTCACACCGGCGCAGGCTGCCGAGTACGTTGTCGTTGATTATTCCGCGCAGGAGACAAGGAGATCGCATGCTAATTGGGATAACCGTGCAGTTTGTCTACAGGAGCCGTGGTGGCGATCAACGGTACAGTGAGAGAATGCCCGCCTGGCAAGGAGCAGAGCTTCGAGCTTCACGCGAAAGACGTCAATGTTCTCGGGAAGTCCGACCCTGAGGTAAGCTAGCATCTGGCTCGAATTCCCTGGAGCAACATGGATAAGGTCTCTAACTACGATTGTTCACATCGCAGACATACCCCATTCAAAAGAAGTACCACAGTCCCGAATTCCTCCGTCAGATTCCGCACCTCCGCTTCCGAACGCCCTTCAACTCCGCCCTCGCGCGATTCCGCTCGGAATGCCTGTATCAGCTAGGACAAGTGCTGCGAGAGGGTCCGCGGGAAATGCCCCCTTTCATGCAGGTTCACCCGCCCATCATCACGTCGTCAGACTGCGAGGGCGCCGGCGAGACGTTCACGATCACCCCGCGGGAGGCCCAGGCTAAGGGAGAGCACTTCTTCCGGTCGCCGAAGTACCTGTCGGTGTCGTCGCAGCTACATCTCGAGGCGTACGCGGCGGAGCTAGGCCAGGTGTGGACGGTGACGCCCACGTTCCGGGCCGAGAAGAGCGACACACCGCGGCACCTCAGCGAGTTCTACATGCTCGAGGCAGAGGCGAGCTACCTATACAACCTCGACCAGCTCACCAACCTGGTGGAGCATATCATCCGCAACCTGGTCTCTCGGCTGGGCAACGGGCCGGGAGTAGAGATCATGCTCCTCAAGCGACTCGACGAGTCCGGACAAGACACGACAGACGCGACAACGTCCATGATCCGCAACCGGTGGGACAAGATCATGGCCCCGACACTATGGCCACGCATGACCTACACGCACGCGATTGAGGAGCTCCAAGCAGCAGTCGAACGCGGCGAAGTCACCTTCGAGCACGCGCCGACCTGGGCCGGCGGGCTGCAGGTGGAGCACGAGAGGTTCATCGTGGACGTGATCCACGACGGCAAGCCTGTGTTCGTAACAGACTACCCCAAGGCCGTCAAGCCGTTCTACATGGCGCCGTCTGGCCCCAGCACCTGGAACAAGGACCCCGTCAAGCAGGGCGACACCGTCGCGTGTTTCGACCTCCTCTTCCCGGACGTCAGCGAGGTCGCTGGAGGATCGCTGCGCGAGCACCGCCTGCCGGAGCTCATCCAGAACATGCGGGAGCACGGGATGGTGCGGAGGCGCTCGCCCGAGGAGGGTGTCCCGAATGAGGCGACTTATCCATGCCTTGAGCCCGGCGAGGACCTCGGGCCGCTGCAGTGGTATGCGGATCTTCGACGGTGGGGGTCTGCGCCGCACGGCGGCTTCGGACTGGGATTTGACCGGTTCGTTGGGTACCTGGCGGGGGTGTCGAATGTGCGGGATGTGGTGGGATTCCCGCGGTATTTCGGACGAGCTGATTGTTAGGTGACGGGTGTATTTATGTATGATATTTGCTTCATGATTGTTGTGATCTATAGATTATGGAATATTTGAATCTATTCTTGATATACACAGTATCTTGTCGACTAGGACAAACTATCAATGATACACCAATTATCCAGATCCCCAAGTATTCACTACAGTACGGAGTACTAACATCAACCCACCAAACAAGCATCGATCCTACAAATAACGATAACAAAAAAAGCCAACAACCACAAATCACATCCCAAACAAACCCCTCTTCCCAACCATGGCGCCACAGGTATTAGGTACAACTACATAAACTCAAGTGAGAAACACCAGCAATAAGACACTCCACTAGCAGCAAATCCAACGGATCAAAGCGTAAGCATAATCCGAAGATGATGACATGATGAAGTAACGAAATTGGCTGAAAAGCCCCCTAGGTGCCACTATTACCTGGGTAGATTCCGGGATCCGGACCGGATTTTGGGGAAGTATAATTGGGTTAAATGGTAGGGGTTGGAAGAGGTGTTCCTGTATCCATCTACCTATTTATTTATTGATTTATCTATTTATCTTTATGTATGTGTATGGGCTATATAAATTTGAGGAAATTCGCTCGAGTGTATATATTTTCAAGTAGCGATACTAATCTGGTAAATGCTCTCTTGATATATATATCCAGTACGGCGAGACAGCAACAATATACACAACACGAATAAGCCTAAGTAAGATGCAATAAGATGCAGTAAGCACCAGTAAGCAACAAAAGCCCACCTCTAACCCAAACCTTGTATGAGAAGATGACATCTAACTTTTCTCTTTATTCGAACATACTCTCCTCTCATTTCCGGTCCCAGTCTTTATGGACCTAAGGTACCACCAGTAGTCACTGAGGAAAAACCACCACCCTGTCATCTCGACCAGATAATACCTACCTGGGTAATATACACTGAGTTATAACAGCAGCCTACCACGAACAAGGAACCCTAAAAAGGCACGCCACAGGTGTCACTATCACCAAAGAGGAGAAAAACCTCCATGGACATGAACTTTCGGTTGGAAGCACGGAGTACTGGGTTATTGATTGATTGATTGATTGATTGATCAATTAACTACACGTGGAATAGCCTCATAATAAGATAGCCTAATAGCCTCGTCCATCCATATCGAACCCAGCCTCGCCCCCAAGTCCTGAAAACATATTGCAACACTGCACTGCCAGGCTTGTGTAGCCCCCCGACCGCCGCCCATCCTCTCGAAAACGGTCTGTGTCATCGAATAAACGCCCCCTCGCAGCCCAAGCGGCTGATAACAGGGGAGTGTGCGTTTGCAAGGACAGGCCCAGAAAGCCGCCCCCAGCAGGGAGGACTTACTTACTTACTTACTTACTTAGATTGCCATAGCCACCGCCATTTCCTTGGACCAGATTGGGGAGAGCAGGAGCAGAGAAGGATTCAGAGGATCCGATCTCGCTGCTGTGGTGATTAAGGCGGGTCGTTCGTTGTGGCTGTGAGATTGATTACATTACCGGTGCGCAGTGAGGCTGGCAGAAAACGGCGCTGGTTGGGTTCATCTGCCTTGTAGGCTGTGGGCTGTGGGCTTGGGCTGTAGGCTTGTACTATAGTAGTATATGCGATTGCGACTGAGTCTGGGTTCGGACTTTGAGGGAGTAGAGATAGATTGTGGTTGATATGGGGCTGAAAAGGATGTCCAGCAGGATGAATACCCAGAGGGAATCTTCATTCAATCCCAAAACCAAACCAAACCAAACCCATTAGTCGTTAATAAGGTTGCATAGCGCAGCGCATACCCCAAGGAGACATCGTCCAAAGGAGCATGCGGGAGTTGTGCTAGGATGTTATAGTGAAGCCACCAGTGGGTCTTATTGGGCGGGCATGGACACCAACCAAAGGTGCGAGGCAGACTAAGCATGGTGGCTTAGGTCTAGAGCTGGATACCGCTGGAGTAGGTTCAACTGAAGGGAAACGGTCTAAGGAGAAAGAATGATAATCATTAAAGTTGATAAAGTAAAATGAATCAATACAGCAATACAGCCGATCACGGGATTCTGCTCCGTCTGATCATGGTTTGTTGACGATCGTCTTGTCTCTCGCTAACATCCCTCCCCTCACGCTCAGCCTAGAGGCCCAACCGCTTGATTTGGAGAAGTCGCTTGTTATGACTGGTGGGATAGTACTCCAAATGACATGATTGTTTATGGTTATAATTATGGCTGACCTGACAGTGGACCGATCGGAAATACGGAGAATTCCTGATATTTCCTCTCTCCCTTCCCTTCCACGGTTGATTCTAGAACAAATCATAAATCATATCCACTATGACTTCTCATATAACCAGATATGAGCTGAGCATGGGTATTGATTGGAAGACTGGACAAGAGAAAAAAACAACAATAAAAAAGAAAAGGAGGGGGAAAAACAAGGAAAAAGGTTTTAAAACCAAAAAAAAAAAAAAAAAAAAAAAAAGTCAAAAACATCCGACCAAAGCCGCCCAGCCTAGCCAGAACAGGGCGAACAAGACATGGATCCTGACGGACTGACGGATTACTTTAATCCCTCCAAGCTGCGGTCTGGGCGGAGCCTCGCTACGCCGGTTGCCCCAATGTGGTTGGTGCCGATCCACCTCGTTTACCATTGAGGATGGGATGGGTCGGAAGCGCAAGAGGTCCGACTGCCTTGGGTGACACACGAACTCTGCTATTCTTGGGGACAGAATACGAGTTCACCATTATGGAGTGGGACAAAACCACTCCTGTGAGAGAGGGCTTGACCACTCCTCAGAGGGAGGCACGGACTAATGGATCGAATACGGTGATGGCTGATAGTAATACTGCTCATTCTCCCAGCAGTCTAAGCGGAGGAATGCCACGCGGGGGACAGTGCCAAGTTGCCAACCTTACTGGTGTTAAGCATATCCGTTCTCGGTCATTTCCCGGCGTTGGCGATGACAAGTGCCCAGCCCAAGTGGACTCTTTTTTTGTGGACTGATGCCGAGTATTATTACCGTGACGGGGAGGAGATGGTATTATTGATGGTATTGCTGGTAATATTGATAATAATATGGGTGCCTGGATATCATGGATGCTTGGCATCTGACTGACCAATTTTAATAGGGCAATTCTTTCCATTAGTCACATTGATCCTGATTAACTCAGGTAACCAAATAATCAATATGCAGACGGAGAAGTAAATGCACTGCCTTCATTCATGGCCAAACTCATTCTATCGGGCCGTCCGATCCGTGCAATCCGCTTCACAAGGCATTACTTGCCTTATCCATCATCTGATTGCCATCTATCCTATTTTCTTCTTTCTTCTTCTATATTCTTCTTTCCTTATTCTCCACAATTTCATACTTACATAATTACGTTGTCCCAAAGAGGCAGACCGAGACAAGACTACACTGCAGGCTAAGCCTTGGCTATTTGGGTAGTATCGCAGTACTCGTACTACGTGTACAATACGATCACTGATGAATAGTAAGTACCATGTAGTAAGTACGGTCGAGCCATGATATTGTTCTTGGACAGTCGAGGCAATGAAAACGGCTTGGCTCAGCAGCGCTTTGACTTGTTTCTGTCCAGGACGGAGTATTGTGTCTCTATTCGAGGCCTTGTATGTAATAGACCGGCGGTCTCCAAACACAAGGGTATTCACTCGACTGTCCCTTGTCAGGAAAATCGAAATATGAAATAAAACATGAATAATGAATAATAAAAAAACAATATAACCTGCCCCCAGCCAAGCATGATGGTTATCATTACCTAAACCAAGACCTTCTCCTCTCCAGAAAGATAGACGAGATTCTGACCATTAGTATTGGACACTATTAGCACGGATGGTCAGTAGTTACTAGCTTAGCACCATGTATGATCGATCATCATGGCCATAAGTTAGTTACTCCAGTTACACTTACCACGAAAGGGAATTCTGAAAAGAGGAGACCGATCATCCTGAGTCAGGATTGTCCCTGTCAGGAAGTTGATCTGCGATGCGACTGTCTCAGAATTAGTTAGGGCTGCTCCAGTCTTCCTCGGAGTATACAGTAGACTCCTCCGATACTACATAGTAGTAACTAGTTAGTACGGAGTATATACACTGTAGGTATATTCATTCAGTAGAATGGTCCACCCTCTCACCCATCATCAATAGATCAAGATCAATCGTACGAGGACTGAAGCCAATCTAACTCAAGTGGAATAATTGATAAAGCTGTGGACCATTTCCCCCCCGTGCCCGGTTTCACAACCTTCCCCAACTAAACCAGGCCCCCCCCCCCCCCCCCCCCTCTTGGCAATCTAACCTGTACAAGTAATCTATCTTGATATCATCACTATGTAGGTAGCTAGGGCCTTGGACTTGTATTCAGTAGTATTTACTACTCACTTACTGCCTATTTAGTACTATCAACTGACAAGGAAGGGAATCAAGGGTTGCATCGCCCCTCCATACCAGTGGCCAACCCTATCAGACCAAGCACTGCGCTAGTGTTTTCCTCTTCTTTTCTATTTGAATTTTTTTTTCACTATTTCGCTCATAGTGAGGACTGTACAGTTATGCACCGGAAATGCAAGGAAGGACATTCCTGAGGATGAACCACTTCTACACAGTCATAACCTGTTTTCTTGCTGGTAGGATCGAATAGTAGGCACAAAGGGATAGACAATAGATTCTATTATATAAAATAAAACCATCAACAATGCTTAAATCAAACATACATCGAGGACAAACACAATCATAAATACAGTGCTACTTTTGTGCTCAACCTTATTTACACCAATCACAGTCGCGTCCGTTCCTTGGTTACTGTCTTATTTCCTGAACCTGTCCAGTAACTAACCTGTCCGCTAACTATCAGGGTTACACCGTGAGATATGACTTACGGAAATCAACCTAATATATTAAGAGAGAAAATAGAGGGAATAAATTAGGTCGATTCTGTATCACTGGGATAATATAATACTGTGCTGGGATGACACTCACTACTGTGTAGTGTGTAGTGTGTACCCGGGCGACAAACAGTGTCGGTGGCCTGCAGGTGATATGTAATGTAGCAGGTATGTATGTCAAATAGGATAGAATGAATTAGTCAATGAAATAAGGACAGAAAAAGGAAAGAAAAGCTACAGTAGGGCCGCCATATCCGCGGAGGGTTTGTCTCAGTGGGAGAATGACGACCGCCTTGCAGCAGCTGCAGATGCCGCACCGTCGCACTGTACACATCTTATTTACTCTTATCCGTCTTTAATTGTGTTAGAGTTGGAGTATAATATGACGAGACAGGACACTGACAGGAGGTCAAAGAGAGAGATTCATACCAGTCAAATAGGCAACTGGGTACGTTACCAATGCTCATTGCCTCGTCTGATATCATCTGGATACGAGTTGCGAGTGGATATACCTAATACCTTTGATTAGAATACATGACTGATTGATTGATTGACTTGATTATGCTTATTATGTGTATGATGTATGATGTATTATTCTCTTTATTCTATTCTTATAATATTCCCCATGTGAGACATCAACTGCAGTAACTGACACTCCTGACAATCCCACCTAAGCTCTTTCTCTATTATCTTACTTTACTGTCATGCTTTTTTATTTACATATTTCAATTTTCTCTAATTATTTTCCATTTATTCTATTTTATTATGATTATTTCACTCAAGTGGGCCAGCCAAGGCGCGCCAAGCCAACCGGCACCGGTTTGGACGGACTTTGTTGGCGATACGCTTATCCGGATAGTCCAGTCCAGAGTCCACTTGTGACTCACATAGAATTGTATTACTGTATGTAACATGAAAAATAAAAGATAAAATAAAATCAAATAATAAAATAGGAAAAGATCAAATCAGTCAAGTGCGCCCGCAACTTTATCGGTTCCCCTGGCTGTGACTGGCTCTGGGAAAACCTCCGACCGCCCAATCGATGCGATGGGGGATTGGACATTCGACATCAGGTTCCTGTGTCGCTGGACAGGTCGTATTGCATATGACTGCTCGAGGATATATATAGAATAGGGAGATTCTTATACATATTGTTAATATTACAATCATAAATTAAAGAATTATATATGATGTGATAAGATACACGTATCCGATCGGGTCAAATGGCTAGAATACGAGTTCGCCACAGTGGCTGGCACAGACTCTGTCACGGGATGAAATAGCAGAATAATTCAGATAAATAAATAAATAATATGAATCGGGAAGTCGGAAGAGAGAGTGGGCTTGGGCCCAGGGTCAAGTGAATTTCGGGCGGAACCGCTACGTAACCTGGGGAGAGTTTAACCCTATTTGATTATGCATGAGACGGATAGTGTTGACAGTCTTTTGGAGATATAAATATGACGCAGATTCAGGTGGAGATATCTAGAGTCAGGATATTATGATGAGTTGACATTCATCTACATGAAGAGAATGAAAAGAAAGGAACAGATAAGATACAAATAAGAGAGAATAAATAGATAAACCAGTGGATCCGGATCCGTTTTCTCTAAGCGAGCTTAAGGTTTCCTCGTGTTGGATTAAGCTTAAGCTTCAGAAAGTCACGCACTAAACCGGATGGAGTTGGGATCAAAGCGATCAGTGCGCCACCCGTATCTTCCTAGCGTATTACCGTATTTCTTGAAAATAAATCAATGAAAAGTAAACAGAGAGAAGCCCAACATCAGACGCTGGGATGTCGAGATGGAAAGGACATGATGTCTGGGTATGAGTAAATCCACCCGTGCTCTCCTAAGCTTGATTCATCTTCTGTCAGGAAAGGGATTAGAAGATGGACTGGACAGGGTGAGATGGATCCGGGTAGGGATGGATGGATATGGCTTCTGCCTAGAGCCTGATCATTATTAATGTATGATCCTGATTATATTTAACAGTCTATTACTATATCATGTTGTATCTGTATATGCAGTACAAATCTTTCTCAGCATGATAATCCAGACAAAGATGGATAAGAATAGATTAATACTACCTCCAGTGGAAGAAACCAGGTGAGATGGAAGACAGAATAGCCATGGACAAGGAAGAGTAAAGAGGCCAGATAAGATAGAATGTAATAAATTACCCAAAGAAACCGGTCAATACAGGAATGGATTAAAGTCAAAGTTGGACCCAGAAAGTCTGGAATAAAAATAAATAAACGTAAGAAAAGAAACTAAAGATTGAACTAAAACAATCAAAATCACGACAAGGAAATAAATAATCAATAATACTAAAGTAAGAAAGAAATCTTTTATTTTTTTCTTGAATAAAAATAAAATCAAATAAAAAACCTTGTGGGGAGGTCAACTTGTCCCCACCCTTTGCTTTGCTTTACTTTCTTCTTTCTTTCCTGTCTGGTCTATCTATCTTTCTATCTTTCTCTCCATCTCTTTTCTTGATTCTTCATCTCTCTTCTCATCTGACTCTGATATCCCATCTTGTTACTTCCTTCTATCCCTTCCCCTCTCCCTCCCATACCAACAACCCCTTCACTCCATCCCATACTATCCCATACTATCCCATACTATCCCATACTGTCCCATACAATCTCATACAAGACATCGACGTCCTGGATATCGTCATCACTCAGTAAGTCTCATCCATGAAGCTATATTCCATGCTACCCCCTCCTCTCTCCTTCCCTTATCCCTCCTCCCCTTCTAGCCCTCTCGATCCTTGGACATTCCATCCCTCTGTAGTACTTAGCAGTCTTGCACTTGATCAACCGCTCTTGTCTCCTGTCTTCTCACATATTAACCCGTCATGCGCCCGCAGATTAATCCCGACATCTCTCAACTCCTGACGTCGGCCGATATTTCCACTTCGGGAAATATCTCCCCATATCTGCCTTCCACGACATCAGGTCAAGATCGGGAGAAAAGTCCATTCTCCACCCTCCGTCACCATCAACCCCGACGACATTCCTTTCTTTCCCCCCCGCCCGGCCCTGGCGCTGAAACCCTCCGCCGTCACGGGCCCCTACTCAGATCATCGAAGGTGGATGGAGACGTATCACGGCCACGTCCGCACCCCCGCGGACGCTATCATCCTCTTCGAAGCATGTCGCATCGGTCTGCTGCCCCGCGTCCAACGCCGCCTGTCCGAGAAGGAGCGCCAGATGATCCGCTCCGGCTCCGTCTTCGTCTGGGATGAACGGGAAGCCGGCATGCGTCGCTGGACGGACGGGAAGTCCTGGAGCGCCAGTCGCGTCTCGGGCAGCTTTCTCACCTACCGCGAAATGGAGGGCAAACGGGGCGGCACCGGTGTCTCCCAGCCCTCCAACCTGACTCGCGCCGGCAAGACCCCGGACAGCACGCGAGGCAGCGACGATGATCGCCTAGACGGCTTTGAAGAAGGTCCCGATGGCTATCGATATAAGCCCGACGGCTTGATGAAACAGTCGTTCAGCATCACCACCTCCCAGGGCAACCACCTCCACCTGATCAGCTACTACTCGCGATCTCATCCCTCCGCCGCCAACCTGCAACAACCCTCCACCGACCACGCCCTGCGCAATGTCCGTCCGCAGAAGGGCCTCTACCCGGACTCCACCGTCAACGACCAGCAGAATCTTCCCGTGGTGACCCGGGGCCCCATGCCCGGCACCACCTACCCCATGCCTCACCATCTGGGGTTTGCGCGGTCCGCGCCTCCCCATCCGCAGCAGCCATATCCCCCCTCGTACGCGTGGCCGCCGACCCCGCTGGCCACGCCGCCCACCGTCCCGGTGCATTACCCTTCCTATCTGCCCCCCGTCTCGGGCCCCAACGGCCCGGTGGGCTACGGTCATCCGCATCACCCGCACCATCACCACCATCATCCGCCCCGCCGCCCCATGCCGCGCTCCCTCCCCGCCTCCACCGCCGTCACAACACCACCACCCGCACCATGTGTTGCCCCCGCACTACGAGCGCGCCGTCCACCCAGCGGAGGTGACGCTGCCGCCCACGATGCCGACCCAGCCGGTGCCGCTGGTCGCGGGGCGCTCCCCGCGACCGATCAGCCTGCACGACCCGCATCAGCGCAGCCCGCAGGAGTATGGACCGCACGATATCCGGCGGGCCTCCCCGCGCACGCAGCCGCCGCCATCCATCCCGCACACCAACGGCCTGGCTGCAGCCGGCCGAAGTCCGCATCAAGCGCCGCCCAGCCCTTATATCCCGCCCCCGGGCATCCACAAGCCCGAACCGGGCCACAGCCCGGGCAGCGTTCCAGGGATCGGGACCATGATCAACGGCGGCTTGGCTGGGAGCCCCTTACCATCCATCTCCGCCGGGGGCTCTTCCGGCGGACGCGCCGAAGGCCCGCGCGACATTCCCAGCGAAAAGATTGGATTTGGTGGCGAGGACATGCGCGCCTTGCGTCAATTAGACAAGGTGTTTTCCGCATAATTTCAAAATTTGAAAAAGAATATAAAAAACACTTGCTGGAATAATTTGGCTTGATTTGGGACCCTGCACCGCACCGCGCAGCGTTTGTTTCCACCCGCTCCTTCAGACATTCTCCAATCCTTCTGCTCTACGGAGTATCCTTGACATGACAGTTCAAGACACTTGCCACGAGAGTGTCTTTTTTTCCTTTCCTTTTTCTTTCTATTTTTGGCTTTGCATTTGACTTTCTTGTTATCGTTTGGGTGGGATCCGGACTCGGCGTTATACAAGAGGTGCATAGCTATACAGCATGGATGGGGTTCTTTCATTCTTATTTTTTTTTTTTTTTTTTCAAATCTTCTATATCTCCTATATCTATTTATCGATTTATGACTTACCTAACTAGCTATCTATCCTTTCAATTCCCCTTTTGACGTGGTTTTTTATTGACACTACAGTGTTATTTATATGATTACAACGGGGTATTTCGCAATGGATGGGGCACCGGATTTGGATTTTCTTGTTTTTTTGTTTATCGGCCGTTGTTAGGTTATTGCCATATACCAGAATTGATTGATCTGATGTGATATGATACATTCATGAAGTTGAAGCGTAGCATGATATCCTAGCTTTCTTAAGGTAAAATTATCGTTTAGTATAGTCATCCTTATTATCCGTACATTCATTCGCTTACTTTTTCGGTTAAGCCATGTGTCTTGAAGTGAAACTATATAACTCCACCATTACCACTACCAAAACAAAAATAAATCAACGATAACAATACTACAGTCACAAAAAGAAAAAAAAAAAAAGTATTCAACGACGTTCCACCCCAGTCCACACCCCGCCCGCCCCCTCCTCCCACACTACCTCCCCATTCCCAGGCTGCACAACATACTCCATCCGGTGAGTCGTGAGATCCGGCCCGGAGGTAGAAGACGACGACGGCGTAGGCGTAGGCGCAAGCGTGGTGCTAGTGGTAGTCTCGCTGGTGGAACGGACCGTCACGCGGGGAGGACAGTCCACACCACCACCACCACCACCACCACCACCACCACCACCAACAGCCTCTCCTTCTTTCCCTTCTTTTCCTTCTTCTTTCACCTGCATGTCCTCTTCCTGAGGAGGCTTCCCCTCCTCCTGCGGATGAGGCTTGATAATACCCAACTCGACGAAGCGGGTCATATCGTCGTGGTCGGTGCGCGGCGAAGAAGTAGTGGAATAGGGGATGATTTCACGCGCGATAGCACGCAGCCGATCCTTGCGCCACCAGGGGGGTCGTTTCCCCGGTATGCCGACGTCGTCGGCGAGGGCTGTTTCGAAGACGTCGCGGTTAGCGAGGAGGGCTATGTCTTCGTTTAGCTCGCAGAAGCCGCAGACGTTGAAGAGCGCGATGATGAGTAGCGCGGGGGTATAGCCCAGCCCGTAGAGATATCCGCCGGGGACGTCATAGCGCAGGGGAGACACGTCCCAGATATACGCGCCCGCGATGGCATAGCCGACTTTGATCCCTAACAGGCCGAGAGCGACTAGGTACTGCGAGGGCGCGGAGCGGAGGTAGAAGGTGAGGATGGAGGCGGGGGTTGTGGGCGGCGCTTTGTAGCGGTAGATGCTGTGCTCGAGGCTGTAGCAGATGAGGAGGGTGCCTGCCAGCGCGGTGAACCCTGCGGCGTGCCAGCGGGTGTCTGTGGCCATGGGCTTTGCGGTGTGGGATTGCTGGTGGGGGCTGCGCTGCTTTTCGATGGCGGACCAGCTGCGCAGGACGGTGAGGAAGGTGGTGACGAGGGTGCAGAGGTAGAAGAGGATGGGGAGGAGGAATTCTTGGTATTCGCGCGTGCTGCGCGTTTGGAAGGCGTAGGGGTCGCGGTCGAAGATTTGGCGCTCTTGCCAGGAGCCCCTGTTTCAATTAGTATATTGGGTTTGTTCTTTGTTGCGGTTTGTGCAGGGGTGGTGACGTACCAATGTCGAACACCCTCCCAGACGGCGGCCATGCATAGTGGCGTGAGGACAGTGTAGAATACACTCTGCAGGATGAGTGGCGTATGCTGCAGATACGACCTATCGACATCAACGCTCATAAAGCAGCTGATCGTGCCGCAGGCGGCCAACGCCATCAGCCAGTACCATTTCCAACGTCGGCCGATGATGTTCCAGCGGCGGTCGACGGGCAGGTGTTGCCGGCCGTGCTTGCGGAGGTTGAGCCCCGAGAAGAAGATAGACGCGACGAACAGGATGGCGAAGACGAGGCCCGCCGAGGCGTGGGGGCCGATGTCGTTGACGGGCGAGTAGCACGAGGTGCCGTTGACGAAGGTCCCGTTCGCGGGGGTCAGGTGCGGTCGCCACTGGTTGAAGACTAGGTAGCATTCTGTGCCGTTGGAGAGCGTGCCGTTTGAGTAGAGCGTGTAGTTGTAGTGGTCTAGCTCGGCGCGGTTGAAGTGTACTTCGTTGATTATCACGTCGGTGGCATTTGCTCCTGGGGGGAAGGGGGTGCGGCCCCGGATGTAGAGGAGTGTCATGTTGATCTGTTTCTTCTCGCGATCTCTTCTGTCTTTCTTTGACTGTCTGTCGTTCGTGATAGTGCGACGTGTCGATCGACTCAACGACAGGTACCAGCCATCAATGCGCGGTGATCATCGCGGACGGAGGTAAGAAGAGGAAGACATCGACCATAGCGTAGAGGAAGACAACCCCCGCTGCGGAACGACCGGAGTTGACGAGACATGACAGTGGTGAGGTTGTATTCAGGGCGCAATCGATGATGCGCGGAGTGTGCCTCGATCCAACGGGAGGCCCGCTGATGAACCGTGGTTGCACATTGACAGGGTCAGGAGAGTTTGATGGATTCAAGGGTTAGGTTGCAAGGTGAAATGAAAATTTACTGATATATACAGAGATATACAAGTATCTACCGAGATATACTGATATACAAGAGATTTAAAGAAGAAAGAGAACGATATAGAGAGATGAAGCTGTACCGATAAGATAAGAACTTGTGTATTACATAATACACGCTAACCAATTGTGGATTGTACGTACCACGTGACTATATGTTCCTGTTCGCTCCTCAGGCACCATCTTCGATCCAATCAGACTACCTACCATATCCTCCATTTTGATCAAGTGAATCATTCAATTCGAATAAGACAACAAAAGCGCGAAATCACGCTTAATGCATCCTGCATATCATCAATTACCTCAACCCCCAATCCCTCAGGTCTATACCTGTCTAGATCGCCATCTGCAGGGGGCCAGGGAGAGAACCCGCTTAACAATGAGGCATTTATCACTGGCCAGGCAGACACGCTCTGTCCTCCCACAGACATGCATGTGGACCTCCCTGGGTTGCAGGTGGATTCTACAGCAGGGTGCTGCTGTGTTTGAATCTGGATCGAGAAACGGTGTCATGCTGGACTCGTCCCTCGCCTGTGTTTTGCTGGAATTGTCTTCCTTCTTCGATTTTTTCACTCACATCTCGTATAGTATCGAAGATCCTAGGCAGCAGAGGGAGCACCCGCCTTGCACCGGGTTGGTGAGTGGCGATGGTGGAACACAGCCTATAGGATCTGATGGCTGTTCTCGTCCCCGCGCGTTTTAGCTTGCGTGGTCTGGACTGCGCAAAGAGCCCCCTACACTCCCCGTTAGCAGAGCAAATTCCAGAGCGCTGCCTGATCAAGGGATCGGTCTGTTGAGATTAGGCGAGGACGTAGGGAGCGGACTACGTAGGTACGGCCTTTCCTGCCGCCTGCGACTAACCACACATGGCGACGGCGATGAATGCGCATACTACCAAGTGTATCCACAGTGTAAGCGCGCGATGGTAATCATCGAAATCAGCCGAAGCAGCGGGCGGTTGAGCCACGCCTCGTGTCTGGTCAGACTTGGCTAGAGCCGCGATTGGGGGCTCTCAACGTCGTTGCTGCTCTCGTCATCCGCGAGAAATCGCATCTTAACGGCGTATAGTAGGTGGGATGAGGACGGAGGGTAAACCTCAAAACCATGAGCAGCCTGTATAAGAACACATGCGAGGAGGTAGATCGACGCTGCATGCCCCTACAGTTTGACAGACGGTGTTTGAACCGCGAGTCAAGCGAGGTGTAAACCGGCATTACTTCTCCGATGCGCCCAGCATGGGACTTGATCGAGCTGTAGTAGTGTTGAGCTGCGCAGGACTTACTACCAGTATTTCGGTACAGGTAGAGACTGACAGAGAGTAATGTACTCCGTACCAGAGTAAGGGGCCGCGCCGGCATGCGCCATTTTTCAAAGCTGAGGATATATGTCTCATTATATGACTTTATAGACATCGACACGAAGTCCTGTATGAATGGAGCGTAGTAAGCCTTATTCACCGATGATGTGGCCTCTGGCTCATTGAGCTCGTAGGAGTCGCATTTGCGTGTAGATCATGATAATTAGTTGAATCAGCGTTGGATATATTCCGTTTATGCCTGCTCCTATAGCTCCAGGACAGACTCACAAAAGGTGTTAGCAAGAAAAGAAAGATTTATCAACGGGCTGTCAATGACCAGGGAAAACCTGGCAATGGACATCACCTGCAGCAAGTCCGCTAGTTTGAGTCGCATCTACATTGTCTGATTGTGATCATCACAATTACTGAAATCAGAAGTATACCTATCATATTTGTAGTTATATAAAATTTAGTACGGAGTATAATATACGATAATATAAACTTCAAAAAATAATATGTAGTATAATATAATACAACCAATCCATCAAGATCCAGAACCCGAGAGAACCCCTCGCATGGCCTGCATACCATCTTCATCTCATCTCCAGATCAAAAAGCCAATATGACAATCCACACTAAATTGGCAGCTCACCAAACCGACAACCAAATCCTGCAGAAACCTGATTCAATCACCTTACCCAAGTGAGATACCTACAGAGGTACCTCCCATCCTGCAGATTGTGAGTCCTCTTTCGCTTTACCCAAGCTTCTTCCTGTACATGTAACATGGTTTAGGTGATTAGCAAGTCGGAGGTACTGTCGTGCCTACCGGCATGCGCCGACATGCAGTTGTAGGTACCTAGGAGGAGGAGTATGAGTTTGGGCATCAAAGTCGTTTTGGCTATTTACGGTACGCATTAGTCTAGGGCGGTGATGCAGATGAACAGGTTGTATACGAGGTGGCGCATTTTTATTTGTATGTTTATTTCCTTTCATTTGAGTCTGTATCTGTTTACAGAGTATAACAGTTGACTGTGGCTGCGTTAACAAAAGAGTTACAAGAAGGTCGAAATGGAAGAAGAATCCTAGCGGCTATCTGCATTGGTGCCGGGCAGATATCTACCTTTTTTCTTTATATCTATCTGACTATCTAACTATCGTGATACAATAATAATCTTAATGTGCACTATTAACGACCAGACTGATTTAATGCCCTCATGCAGCTCTTCCACGCTAGTAATTGATTATAATTAGCTACCAGGCTATGTGCCTGTGCCATCAGTGAATATTAAGATATTGACGTCGACATTTGTCAGTGTCTAAGGTTGTTTCTCTTATAAGCAATAAATTACATAACTGAATGCATTATACTTGCTCTGGATACGAGTCTAATCAAAGTGACCCAGAGTCTTGGGATACTGAAATACCTTTTAGTTCCAACCTCACTTGTTCCTTGAAACACACATACACACACACCAGTCAATTTCTCCCACAATGATGGAAATCAGCTACGAGGGAAACATGACTTACACATCATGTCTCCCCCGTTTTCCCCAATGGGTAGCCCTATACTATCACTATCCACGTAGTGATGATATCCAGATGCAATGAAATGCGCACAGATGTATACATGTACGTAACCCTTCCCGGCAATCCGACAGCCCGATCAGATCTATAACATAGCGTCGGCCTCCCCGCAGTCAGGTGAAAGAGTGGCGAGCCAGGCGTATTGCAGACCGGTCCTGAAGCGGACGACTACATACTCCGGGCTCTATCGAGACGAGACTGTGGCACCTTTACGCTCGAGCCACTTCGACGGCCAAGTTACCTACCTAGTGGCTACTAACACTAATGTGGGAGGTTGGATATTTGGTAAATTCTTTGAGTAATGGGTCTTTTTATCTGGGGATGTGGAGAAATAGGGTTTATGTTTTATTGGATGTGTACGATTTACATCCCACATCATGGATTGTGTAGTGTAGGTAGTGTGGAGTATGGACGCATCAGATTACCCCGCAAGTCGGACAAGGTTGGGAGCGGGGAGGACTGGATCTTGATTTGGTTTGGGTTGGGATTAAACTTGGATTGTGTGAGGTGGTAGTGCTAGTTTAACTACTAACTAGGTACTACTGGTATAGGTAGCAATAGTAGTGACTTTGTAGGTATAGTACAACCACACGGTAGTAGTACTAAAAGTGGACTTATGCAAGTAACGAAGTGCTTTTGTGTCCCAGCGGAGACTGGACTCCGCTGGCACCAACCCCAGACTTGAATCCAAAGACCAGTGACTCATAACTGCAGGAGACAGTGCAAAACAAGAAGAAGAAAAAATCCAACATAAGAAAGATGAAGAGAAAATAAAGAAAAATAAAGAAAACCAACAGAAGCAAGGCGAATCTCATCGAAGACCGATACTTCGGCAACCCACAGACAACAAACCAGTAAATTCCTCCTCGGCTGATTGGACAGAACACCTCGATCTTTATGCGGGCTTTCAGGGACATGGGTGGTTGGTGCGTACTCCGTAGTAGGTAGATTACCTACCTACTAGGTAGGGGAAACAGAGATCCATTTCCAGGGAAAGAAAGGGCTTTAATTCAGGGTGGATGCATCACACCATCGTTGTCGCATGTTATAGGTTCCCCCACTTTCTTTCTCCCACCCCCCGGTCGATTTTTTACTTACTACTTTTTGTGTGTGGACTCGACACGAGGTAGGTAGGTAGGTCATGGGATGGATGGATCATCGTTCTTTCTCTGTATGGAGGAGTTAGTTGGGGAGATTCTACTCCGTCTTACATGGAACCTACCCTTTCCCGTGGATGCACGGAGCAGGTCGTAGCCGAAGACGAGCTCATACAATTGGGGAGATCGGCCGAGACCGGAATTACGCGTGTATCATATGAGTATACTAAATCCCTAGGTACGGATATGTATAAATATACTCCGAAACCAATTAATAAGCTGGTAGATCGTTGCGCGGCTCAAAGTATATCTTAGGGGTTGAAGTTGATGGCTGATGCCAATCGCAACTGGTTCTAGCGTTCGGTGTATATCTATATAGTTAGATCTGTTTATTGAGGTCATGTGGAGGGTCATCCTGAACTTTGTGCTGTGCTCCGTTCGAGGGACGCCGTGGTTTGGTTCGGGTGGTGATGCACCCCGTGCTTTAGTAGGGAAGTTCATCTTTTTACATTTTTTATTGAGAATGATGGATTTAAGGGGAAGGAAGAGATGATGTAAAGTAGGAAATGACTATGCATCCCTTGTCACCTCCGCATTGATGCAAGGAGCAAGCAACAGCAAGCACCGAGTGACCGACCAGCTTGGGCTTGACATTAGGGTTGTTGGTATGGTTAGTACCTAGGTACGGTGGGTATAGTTACCTGTATAGCTACTTACTGTTTGTTGAAAGATTTTTTGAGTGTATTCATTGGGAGTTTTTCTTGAGAGTCTTTCTTGTGAACAATGGTATGTAGTCTATATGTATACCTACTGTACCTAGCAATGGTCGATGCATAGTAATTAGTTAGATAGACAACTAAGTATGATCTAGGATAGATACATGTATGAATAGATGAATATATGTGTGGTCTCCACGGAAAGAATGGATACACGGGAATACCCTCCCGCGGATCCACCTGTCATTTCAATACATTCGTATCCTAGGTTCATTCTCCATCTCATTCCTTTCTTTTTCTTCCCTGAACTTTCACCTAGAATCAATATCATCCCACCCATGGACTAACCCCCTTACTTTCCCCAGAGCCTTAGTTTGAGGCTCCCCGCAACGGATCACTAACATAACGTGTAATCAAATGCGGGAGGATGTCAGCGCACGCGTATACCCTTTCGGAGTGTGTGTCTTCCCTCCCTCGCTGCAGTGGGAAGGTTTCACCAAGTTCCCAGAGATCAATGCTTATTTTCGCGAGTCCGGCTTGGGTCTGTGTGAGGGTCATCTCCACCATGGATGGGTCGAGTCCGCGGAGAATGATTGAAGGCTATTGTGAGTCGGGGGTTGGGACGCCGTTGTCCGACTTATGCGACTGGTATGGGGGTTCGTAGGTATTCGTTTGATGTACTTCATTCTGATTATTCGGGTTGACTATGTAGACTGATTTGTTTGGATACTACAAGTACGATCATACCGTTCCTTTTCCCGACTACTACTCTTACTACTCATAGTAATTGGTAAGTAGTGACTGAATCTTAGCGCCTCGCATGACTGACTCCATCCGGCATCCCAGGCCATGATCGTCACGCTTAAATCGCTAGGACCCCAGAAAAAGGAAAACCCAAGCGAGGGTCTTTCAGTTGCCATTACTTCATAGCTTTCTTTCTCTTTCTCTTTCTTTCGAGTCACAAAATCACCCCAATAATCGTCTACTCCGCAGGTATCGTCAATCAAACAGTCGATCCAGCCGAAACGAAGTGGACTCCCTCCCCCCAATAACAGCTACTCAAGAAGTAAAGGAAAAAACCCACTGACGAGGTCCAAGCACCCGGAATCTCCACCGACCAATAACAAAACTCTAACCCCAGGTCGGTCATCTTGGTGCGAGTAGGTTAGCCAGGTGGAGGTACCTACCTAGGTCAGACTAAGGTAGTCGGGAGGGGCGAACAGAACCAGTCGGGTCGAATGATGGCTGGTGCTGACGACTCCCACTGGTCTCGGTGTCTGCCCTGGCTGAACTCAGTCTAATGATGGCCGGTGCCCTGACTTGACCTAGGTTCCCGTCTTGACTTGAGCGCCCCGGGGCCCGGAGGCAGGCTTGAGGGTTGTGGGTGGAGGCGCTTCTCACCTGATCCGCTGGAGAGAAGATTTATTGGGTGGAAAGATTCCCTGTCTGGGATGGTGATGACAGGCGGTGGAGTGTGACTGGTAGGTTTGGGAGGGAAGAAATGAGGTTGTGATCGTTTAGGGGAATTCTAGGTGGTGATGACCCGATTCCGTCCTTGAGATTCTCTGCACTTTGCACTCTGCATGGGTGTCCGTGCTGGGAAATATAATAATATAATATAATAATAATAATATTATTATTAATAAAATAAGAGTAAGAATAATGATCCAAAGATCTGGCCCACTTTTCCCCAGATTGTCAGTATGAGTGACTTTTCATGCTTTTCTGTTCTTTTCTTCTGTTTTCTTCTTTCTTTTTCTCTCTTCTCTCTCGAATTTAATGTCTTTGTCTCGTTCAAAACATGATTCATGCCCCCAGAAGAATCCCATCCCCGGATATAGGTCAGATGAACCCAACCGAGTCAGACAACCGACGACAACCGAGAGAAAGAAGGAAAGCAAGAGAAAACAAGAGAGCAAAAAAAAAAGAAAAAGAAAAGAGAAAGAAACGGCTGGTCAGAAACCAGTCACAACTGCAGGGCGCTGTTCTCATTCCCCAGAGGGGCCAAATGGGTCTGCGGTGTCACTGTCCGGGCAGCTGGTCTTCCACTCAGTGTCTGCCTCGGTGGGAACCAACCCTGAGGACGGAGGAGCGTGGGGAAGACCGAAGAAGTTAGTAGACAGTGACAGTGAACGAGTGGGTGGCGTCCAGCTGAGTCGTGTCCTTCTTGGCTGGGGTGTAATTCCGTGGATGTATAGCTATCGTTATTGATACTTTGACAGTGGGATAGACTATATGGAAGACTGTCTGTTACATTATAGATCGATATGGTTATAGATGTATTAGTTGAATATAGAGCCTGACCAGAAACATGAAACTCAAACCAAGTGGGATACGAAACCCAGCTGATTCCCATGATCAGTCGCTTCTCCACTGTCCACCAGTCAAGCGTGAAGCAGTGTTGGGCGTGAGGATCCACCGGGCAACTTGTTCTTTCGTGGAGACGATGCATGCTCTGGTTGGGACAGCCACTCTCATCTCATGTGGGAGACCATATTTTATATGATCCGACTGAATGACAAATTCGAACAATCAACTTATACTGTTCATTATACTGTCCCTCTTCTCTGGGTACGTCTGATTTATTCCCTTTTCTCCATTCCACCAACTTCTAACCCCTGAACGGAAGAAATAATTCATCTATCTGATTCTTTGAATGACCCGGTCAGGATTGAGGAGGGCAACAAATCAACCCTCGGGGAGACTTGGCGTCCGTCTTGCCCCCGCATATTCAGTTGAATCAAATAAATAAAATATAAGACACAAGAAAATAGAATACAGGATATAATAATACAATATCAAATAAATCGATAAATAAAATCAAGGGACCAGGCGATCTCGACCCGATCGAGTAAGAGAAAGACTGGCAATTCATACACCAGATCGATCAAAGTTTGCCTAGTCTAGCAGTCTCCACTGTCCATGTCAATACGACTTGACTCTTGACTCTTTTATGAATATCTTGATCTCTTATGGGAGAATCCAATTTAATCAACTTTATTCTCGACATTGATTCACTCAAAAGCTGTCTCTTCTCCTCTTGAGCTGGCTCTCTCTCTCTCTCTCTCTCTCTTCTCTTCCCTCTTCCTCTTCTCTTCTCTCTTCCTCTCTCTTCTCTTCTCCCACTGTATTCACTGCAGACTGCAGACTGTCCAGACTGAACCAAGTCATTCGGTCTTCTCCGTCCTCCGTCTTCAAACTCCTTTTCATCTTCTCCACCTTTCCCTCTCATCCCACCACGAACGGACCAGGCAATTTATCGTCCGTCCCTCTTAGTTCCTCCCCACTTGCCCAGGCACCTCCTTCATCCCATCCCATCCACCTTTTTTCCTTTTTTTTTTTTCTTTTTTTTCTCTGTCTTCCTCCGTCATTATTTTCCTCTCTCAGATTGGGTTCCCCACTCGACACCCTAAATCGTTCAACGTCCCATTTGGCGCCCCTCATATCCTCCTCCATCCTCGGTCGCAAAACCCCTCCTCGTCTAGTCTTGATTCTGACGCCTCTCGGTCGAGTCCTCTTGACACCCCGTACAAGCATTTCTCTCCGTCTACCTTACCATCCTTGTTACTTGTCGCCATCTTTCCCTCCCGTATCTTCCATAACCTTGCGGGTAGACTCGCCTCTCCTCGAGAGAGGTGCGTACCGGCCCCATGTTGTCCATGCAAAATAGTTCCGCCTTTCTCTTCCCGTCTGCCTCCGATCTGGAGAGCCACCATGTGATCCCCCCGTCCCAGCTTGACGACCGTCGCAACTCAACCCGCTCCGTCGCCTTGTCCGAACTCCCCCCCTTCTCCGACTGTCCCTTGGCGGAGGACTCGCTCTCCCATCGCACCAGTATCAGCACCGACGACTTCTCCGATCAGTCGCCTCAGTCGTGGGAAGCGGAAGGTCCCTCGGACCGGTCCTCGTCGTCTGCCGAGGCGGAGGCCAAGATCCACGACGCCGCGCATCCCCTATTCGAGTCCGCCTTCCCCGCCGCCGCAAACACAGCCGCCTCAACGGCCTTTGGCTTCAATATCCTCGCTGTCCACGAGGACCACGACTTTGGCGACCAGGTGACCCCCAAGGTGGAAGAGGTGGACGACGTCGACGACTTGCAGAACATTAAGTCGCTGTCGGGAGTGGAGACCCCAATGGCCCATGCGACCACGGATACCACGGCTGCTCCCGTCCACGTCCCACGGAAACGCGGCCGACCGCGCAAACATCCCCTCCCCGTGCCCGGAGGTCAACTCAAGATCACCAAGGGTCGTTCCAAGACTGGGTGCATCACCTGTCGCCGTCGGAAGAAGAAATGCGACGAGACCAAGCCAGCGTATTTTGCCCTCTCCGCCATCGATTCCTCGTGTGTCTTTTTCGGTCGCTAATTGAATGTTTCGTAGGTGCTTGAACTGTCAGAAAAATGCGGTCGTGTGTGAGGGATACCCGCCCAAGGAAATCTGGAAGAGCGGCCGGCAAAAACTAGAAGATGGTGAGTACAGTCTTCCCCCCTCTTTTCCACTGGGACTCTGTATTGATTCTCACGGATCGTGTCGATCTAGCCGTGCGAAACTCCAGCATCGTCGCCTGTACCCTCCCCCTCCTGATCGACGGCGTCGAGACCGACATCGACCGACGGTTCTTGGACCACTTCGTCTACGGCTTCAGTCGCGTGCTCACCCTGATCAACGATGACTCCAACCCCTTCAAGGAGATCCTCCTGCCCATGGCCACCCAGCACCGCGGCCTGATGCATTCGCTCATGTGCCTCTCCGGCTCCCACCTGTCCGGATTGGACCCGGAACCTAAGCTGCGGGAGCGCAAGTTCTACCACTTCCACCGCGCTATCCAGGACTTGAAGGATAACATCACGGCGAGAGAATCGGGCGAGACGGAACCGGAGCTGCTGGTGGAGGATCCGATCATCGCGTCGACCATCGCTCTGAGCCTGAACACCATCTGCGAAGGCGAGACCAACGGCGAGTACCGTCCGCACATGGACGCCGCCCGCTACCTGCTCGTCACTCAGGCCCCGCGCAACGAGAAGTTCCGCCAGTTCATCGTCGAGTTCTTCCAGTACCACGACGTCTCCAACTCCATCACCTCGCTCGACCGCCGCCCCGCCCACTTCAACGGCGGCCTGCGCCTGCCGGACTTCGTGCCCCACGCCCAGGCCGGCATGTTCCTGGGCGTCTTCGACGGGCTGTTCAACTATATCTCCGAGGTGACCCGGCTGCGCGACCGGATCCGCGAGCGCCACAGCCAGGGCTACGAGCCGGCGGTCGACTACCAGATCCTCAGCGAGGCGGTCTCGATCGACTCGGCCATCCGGGCCTGGGAGACGTCCTACGTTCCCAACACCCCCAACTGGGCGCTCGCCCAGCTATACCGCCAGTCGACGTGGGTGTACCTGTACCGCACCATCCGGCCGTCGCGGCCGAGCGACAAGATCGCCCAGGTCGTCGACGACGGCCTGTCCTACCTGGACGAGCTGCCACAGGATGCGGGAGCCTACAGCATCGTGCTGATGCCGCTCTTCCTCCTGGGCTGCTCGGCCTTTGTGCCGCGGCAGCGCGAGCGGATCCAAAAGGGGTTCGAATCCCTCAAGGCCTACTCCAACCTGCGCAACATCGAGCCCGCCTTCAAGGTGGTGCAGCAGGTGTGGGAGGTGATGGACACGAAGTCGGAAGAGTGTTGGGACTGGGAGAAGATCATCAAAGCCATGAACATGGATTTTCTCATCACCTAGTTTCTTCCACTTATCGGATCTTGACTCGGTTGGTGAGATTGGCATGGCCCGGGTGCTATACCCGGACCATCCCTGGAATTTTCTGTTAATTTGTTATATGTGCATACATGCGCGTTCCGACCCTTCCGACGGAACAGCATAAGGAGATTTGATTTGGCGTCTGAAGGACAAGGCATGGAAGCGGATCCAGGACCGTGACTACCATACCATACCATACTATATCGCATGGGCCGGAGACTTGACGGCGGGAGGGTTGTTTAAAAAGGGGGGAACATGGACGGCGTGGGACGGTGTTTTAGGTTGGCATTGTAATTCTATGATTGATGTTTTGTGTCTCCTCGTGATGATTTGAGGATGGCTGTTTTTGTGATATCCCGTGTATAGTGATGATCAGCTGGACATATTATTTATTATCTATTATATGGTTTGGTAGATGGTTGAGAGTAATATAGTGAGTTATAAGAGGGTGTCTTGAAGATTATCTTGCCTTTTGTTGAATGTCCTTTCTTGGATGTTGTTGATATATGAAGGGGTTAATGTTAGATCTGCGCAACCCCTGTCTACATATCTATCTATCTAACGATCTTGCATATCCCTGTCTTCCCATCGACACAGAATGACCACCCCTTCAGTATCTTCCAACGACCCTAGTATCCCTCCAACAAGACCAACCCTACCAATGACGCGCAAACGAACGATAGAAGAAGAGACTATCACTACATGATACATAAACAATCAATCAACCCCTACCAAATGTGTCACGGGTATATACCCAATTTAGTGCACGCAAGCAAGCAACCAAGACCTTCATCCTGCTTTTTCCCACCCACTTCTCACTCCACATCTAGGCACCGAGCCAACTACATCGCCCTGTGTCTACCTACCTAACCTACCTTGGAAGACGAATACATAAAATGGATCACCACTCTATTGGCCAGACGATCATGATTATGCTAGAATGACTCATGTATCCATGGATATACCAGACTCGAGTGTACGGATGGACCACCGGCAGTTGCAGTGGCAGTAGCACAGCCCGCGGACGCAGGACGCACCCGATCTCGGCCGAAATGAGGACGAATTTTGGACGTATTTTGCCACTGGGGTTGATTCGGTGTCGGAGTCGAGTCGAGTCGAGTCGAGTCGAGTCCGGGGTCAGGCCGGGAATGAGATGCAGATGTAGATACAGGGATATGACCTTGTTCACAATGGTTGATACTCCTTTGATACTTCTCTTGGGTGGGATAGGAATAGATGGGCTGGTTTTTGTCCTTGGTGAGTAGATCAGATCAGATGGATCGAATCTTATATTCAATCTCCAATCTATTCACCAAGGACAGAGACTGATAGACAGAATACCCATCATTTGTCAAGTAAGATTAGGGATTGGATAGATTAATACCAACTAACACTGGAGAAGGCTCGTAGAGGAGATCTTGTTTGGACGGGGTGCGACTCCCATCTAATAGATCATGCTGCAAAGAAATACCACTCAGACACAAAAAGATATCTAGACACCTTCTGCTCTCTGTAAGTGATCTTTGTACATTTTAGTTATATTGCGACATGGTCGTTTACTATCTGTAGTATATCGTCCTACCTTAGTTTTGTGGAGAGTTGATGGTTAGTTTGCGATTGTTTTTCTATATAGATATGTACATGGTGCATGCACATCAATGTACTATATTATACTATAGTATAGGTAGTATGGTGTTGCAAGAATCACCACTCACGTTTTGCCTTTCACAGGTAATTCTGAAATCAACTGCGGAGTATATAGTGAGAATACTGAGTACTTACTATCTGTCGCACTGTAAAGAACCAACGAGGCAAAATAGTAGTAGTGGTGGTAGTATAGTAATAGTGACGTGTCTGTGGGCCCAATACCACAGAAATCATCGCAAGACATATGGAATATGAATAATATGAATTAAGACGAGAATGAGACAAAGGTTGGGTTGGCTGGGTGGTTGGTTGGATGTTGGAGGATGTTGGACCCGATGACGATGCGGTGGGGCTGTTTCATAATCAACCCTATGATTGAGTCTTGCAGTCTGTACCTGCGTGGTGAAGTGGCAATTCTCTCATTCTCAGTTACTTCTGTGATTCATTTTATTTACTGTTGTTCTTACATTTAGTTACTATTGCTTCAGCACAAGTTTAATTCAAAATGTCAATTGACGATATAATAATATGTATATACATATAAAAGTCTATAGGTCTATCAACATGACAAACAAGACAAGAGTAGGAATAACGATATAGAAAACCAAAAAAGAAATAATAAAAAAACAAAACCAGGAGTCGACCGAAAAGACAAGATAGACCATAATATCATCATCATCAAATCATCCAGGATTTGTTTCCTACTCCGGTAGTCACATATTTTCTGTATCCCAAGAAACGGCCATACTCCAGTGGGGAATCATAAAAATATCATCAAAAGTGGAAAGAGAAAAAGAAAGAAAGAGTGAAGTAAGGTTGAAAACGTCGTGGAGGAAACGAGCGACGTGTGGAGAAAGAAGAAGGGAACGACGTTGGTGGACTTGGCTTGAAAGAACGACGTTGGTGGGAAAATTGAAAGGAACGACGGGATGGAGGAGATCCACGACGTTGAGGTTGACAGCTTTCAAAGGAACGACGTTGGAGGCTTCAATGGACGACGTTGAAGGTAGCGAACGACGTTGGCCTTTCAAGAGACGACGTTATGGAAACGAGCGTTGTGGAAAATTGATTGAAAGAACGACGTTGAAAGATGGAATGCGTTGTAGGCTTTCAAACGAACGACGTATTGAAGAACGACCTCAAAACGAACGAACTAGTTCCCGATCCAGCAGACAATCTAGTTGCCCATCTTCAGAGTGAAGGTGGTGTCGATCGGGCAACCGTGGGTGGCATGGTCGTCCTTGGGCTGGAGATAAGCCTCAGCGCAGTTGGTATCGCCCGCATGGCAGTTGACGGACGGGCAAGTCTCGGTGATGTGGGAGGGTTCAACAGCGAAACCGTTCTTGGTGAACACTGAGTCGGGGGACATGTCAATGCAGCTCATGTCCCAGTAGATGGTATCACCGCTCTGGGTGTACTCGAACTGGAGGACATCCTTCTGCTCCTCGGTGGTGGAGAGCTTGATGGAGATGCCACCGCCGTTGTCGTTAGTGCGCCAGCCTTCCTGGTAGTTCCCACCGTTCGCAGAGAGGGTATGCATGTCACTGACTCTATCAGTGACAGACCACGCGTAGACGGTAGAATCCAGGTTGTTGATGATGTTGACGCCTCCACCATCGCGACGGACAACGGTGCCGTTGGTGGGAGTGGGAAGGGCGGAGCTGAGGGTGGCCAAGGCGGCAACAGAGATGATCTTGGAGAACAGCATTGTGATTTAATAAAGATGGATTGAAAAGAAGTGTTGTTTTTCAAAGATAGTTGAATCTGATCGACAGATCGTAGAGTGGTTGTGTTTGAATGAAAGTGTTGTCGAGATAACTAGATCTCAAGACAAGTGAAGATAGTTGAGATTGAAAGAAAGTTGTTGTTTGATCTGAATGATTGTAATTGCTTGAGTTGAGAAACAAAGATCCCATCTGGACGAGCATCGAGGCCCTATTTATGTCTGAGATCCCCCCTGGTGAACGGCCGATAGCCATGTGTATCGGAGATGCATCGGAGGCCAACCATTGGTAGCGAAGGACATCAAGAGGCGCAGGGGCGGCAAACAAAACCAGGCCGAGAGTGAAAGAGTGGAAGCGATGGAGAAAGAAGAAAAAAAAGACCCAGATCCATAGGGGCGAAGAAGATGGTTCCAATGCAGGGCAGCCTCTCGGAACCAAAGAGATATCCGGATGGAACAAGGCAAGACAGATGACAGCAGCCTTCACTGTCAGTCAGCCAACATTTCTTCCTTGAGTTGGGCACATTTCATCTCAGATAGAAGATAATACGAGACTGTGGCTGAAACAGACTGTTGCATCGAATCTGCTGCCCGACTGTACCTGCATCAGATATCGCGACGATGACTTGTCAGCCGTACAGTATTGAATGAAATGCCCAAGATCAAGTGGCGCCAGCAAATGTATCTCGGTCTCCACTTTTCCAGCATACAATGTGCTTGGCAATTGATACAATTTCTAAGAACAAGGCTCCACCTCGCGTGGTTCAACCCATGGTTTATTCACTGTCGTCTCTTTTTCCATGCTTTTTGCCGAGTGGAAACCTTGATCTGGTCCGGTGGTATTAGATCTCTCGGCCTAGAAAGCCCGTGGAAATAGCCATTTGCCGCCGGAGGAGTGCGTGGAGATTTCGGCCGAGCCCTAATCTCTGGTTCGCTTGAACCGTTCTTACCATGGATCTCTCTCTCTTCTCTCTCTTTCTCTGTCTTTTTGACTCTCTTTCTCTGCTTACTCTATCTTCAAATAAAGAAAATTTCTTTATTCCCGCTTTCTTGACACGTCGAGTAAACCCGGCTCTGGAACCAACGTGGCGTCCACCGATTTCCTCCCGGTTCCTGAATGCGCTCCATTTCGACCTCTTTTTTGGCCACTGAAGTCTCTTCTTTCCTTCTTTTTCTTTTACCTTCTTTATTTTATTCTATTTATTTCTAGTTGATTTTCCATGTTCTTTGTAATTCTTCGCCTCACCTTCCACCAGTGGAGCCCAACATCAATGAATCTCAGCAATGACAGATAGTTAGATAGATAGTTGGATAGATACAGATAGATAGAGATAGATACCAACAAGGCCAAGATCCAGCCAAGATCGACCCACCACCACTACAATCTTGCATACGCAAACCATTCGGTCTCGCCCGGCCTATTCTATTCAATTCCATCCATTGCCCTAGCCCACTTACTACAAGACATGCCATCCACTATTACCCACTGTTCGCCGAGTTCCCTCGTAGTGTTGGTGTGGGCCTGCTCGGATACTCACCGACAACCCCACCACCACCACTGTCAGTGTCAGCCCATCTGTGACCTGTCAGGCAATTTAATCCAATCCCCGTCTGTCAATGTCAGACCCGAGACCTACCGGGCTACTCCATAGTACGTACGTGCGCGATTTCCACACGAACAGACCAGCCCCGGTCGATCCACTGGCCTAAACGGCCGGCCGGCCTAGGCTGAAGAACGCCCACCCCCACCACCAACCGCCCACCAGACTGGCGCCAGTGATTCCGGAAGGAATGGGATCTAGAACGTCTGGATGGTAAGGTACACTACCTTCGTTTCGGGTTCCTGGTTTGGCGGCGCCCCCTCTTTCTTTCTTTCCCCCTCTCTGTTCCCGCCGTTCCTGGGGAGGTTGGAGGTTGGTTGGTTGGTTGGTTGTGTGAGGAGACAAAGAAACTCTATCGGCTTTTGGTTTTTGGTTCCTGGATTTTCTTTTCTTTGTCTCTTTGTTGGAGGGACGGACCCACGAGGCTTACTCCACTTTCTACATGGGGTAATGATAATGCATGTAAGAATGAGAGAAAGAAAAAAGGAAGGGAAATGGTTGGAAACTGATCAACTGTGGTATATTATTGGCGGGGGGATGGAAAGAGTCTTGCGTGGACTTGGACTTCCCCATGAAAGAAACAGAAATGCCAAGAAATGTGAAATGTAGAAAGTAAAACAAAATGGGCGGACAAATGCCATCCATGAAAGTGTATACAACTGTAATAGTAATAGTAATAGTAATGGTAATGGTAATCCATTCGATATGGAAAAAAAATCCTCAAAAAAAGTACTTCCTCACCAATAGGGCGCCCGTAACCCTGCCAAACTTGTGATAGATCCCTCGGACGAGGCATCTTCGCGCTTGCGGTGTCCAGCCAGCTCCAGGTTGATCTGGCGGTGGATGTGCACCAGCCAGTCGACGTAGCTCTGGGCTTCGTTGTTCCGGTCCTCCACCAGCATCCGGGCAAACTCGTACTCCGCCCCGTCGAGCCCCTGCCGTGCCAGCTGCACCGTCACCGCCTTGGACCCGCGCACCGTCTCCAGGTACTGTAGCAGGTTGCGCACCTGCGCGTTGAGGTGTGTTTCCAGGACCGGGAGCGCCGACATCTGCGGTTTCAATGCCTGCAGGGAGTTGAAGTCTGGCCCGAACAGGTCTGCCAGTAGGTTGGGCGATACCTGCGCATGCAGCCACAGTAGGCACACCTGCCCGTTGTCTACAATGTATGCGCCGCCCTCCTCGACCCGTGCGAAGCTGGCCCGCTGCGTCGGCGGCACTTGCAGGTGGCCCTGCTCGTTGGGGAACCCGTCCTCCGGCGCCATGTTATGGACCGGCATGATCCGCGGGTAGAGGTATAGCGACAGTTCCGTGCATCCAATGGACCGTAGCATCCGAATTTCGTGTACTCGTCGGTCGGGGGCTTCCTGACCACCTGCAATGGAGTCAGTATATTCATGTATAGCTTTGATCGTTTGGAGAATTTCAGTCCAGAATGACTCACCCTTGAACGCCCGCGACTTCAGCAAGCTCAACATGTACATGGAGAATTCCTTGAGATTTTCGGGCAGCACCAACTGCCCCGGCGGATGCGACCCCGAGAAGACCTTGCGGTATCCGCTGAAGATGTCCACGGTCTTTTCCGTGATGCCCGCCCGCACATCTTTCAGGGTCTTGTCCGACGTCTTGGCCGCCGCTGGAGAGTAGTTAGTACCAAAGATGCTTTAAACGTTAGTATAGTAAAGATTGACGCACCTTCTTTGGCAATGAGGCTGACGATAGCATCTTGATCCACGAACTTCATGGTCTCCAGACCCCCTTCGTTGACCGCCGCCACCGAGTTGATACAACGGACCCGGCGCTGGCCGTCGGCTGAGGTGTACAGGAGAGCGGCCTGGAAGTGCGCGTCCAGCTTGGGATCGAGCTTCCCGTCGTAGCTGAACGTGACCCCGATCGCCTTGTCGGCATCGATGGCCCCGATTTCCAGGTCGGCTCCGAATGTGTGCTGCACGAAATTTCCGTGGTACCCCGAAACTTGGAGGCCGTTGGAGCACCGCACCTTCATCAATGCCTGGTATCCTGTCTCCCGTGTGGCTGCGTGCGCCAACTCCTTGGACAGCTTCAAGATATCTCGCGGCGAATGGAAGTTCGGGTAGAAGAATGTCTCTCCACCGGTGACTTCGGGCACGTGGCCTATTCTCTGTTAGCAACCGCAATACCGCAAATATGCAACGAACAAATTACCTATCGTAGCCACATCCAGGTACATCCCGCCGGGGGCGGCCACGAACATGTCAACGCCGATCCCCGCACCAGCCATTTTTGTAGCTGTCTGTCGCCATTGTGGGTGTTCCGTCGTAAACAACTTCCGCTCCGCATCCGTTCCGTGAACCTTGGGGTCATCGCGCATGGCCAGCGCCCCGGGGCCCCAAGTAGGTAGGCTGGCGATAGTGCCAATAATCTTGCCGCCAGTGGCCTGCAGGGCGGACAGGGCCGCATTCAAGGCGGGTAGCAACGCGGGCTCTGGGTTCTTGATTTGGGAAAAGATGGATGGGATGCGGCTCAGAAGAGAAGTAATGACGTCCCTAGTTAGGATCTGGTGTGAGCAAGCGTTCACCTCGCTGGTTGGGAGGGGTTGCGTACTTGGATTCGTAAGGATCGACGAAAAGGCCCTCACTCAGAGGGACAAAGGGCTCTTCCAGGTCAGTCATGACCATCATCTGTGCCTGATCGAGTTGAGCCTGAAAATCGCGTTAGCATCGCTGGGTTTTCTCTCTCCCCATTCCTGGTATCCTCTATCTACTACGGACACATGAACATACACTGAGATTGTAGAACTGCACTTCCCGATCGTACGTGACGATACCGATCTTGGCGCCTTCGGGTATCCGGCGACCAGCCGCTTCGCCCTCCTCGGTGGCCTCCGACGTGTCGTAGAGCGCATTCAGGATACCCTTGCACACGCCCTTGAGGAATCCGCGGTTCACCGACTCCTGGCTGACATCAATCAAAAACAACGTCTGCAGCCCCACTGGCTCCTTGTTCCAGTACTCCCTGGGAACCGTGAATTCGACAGTGCCCATCATCAGCTCAGGGCGCTGCATGCGGTCAACGCGCGTCCCGGACGGATCCAGGGGCGCAAAGTACTCCATGGGCACATCGTTGGGAAACGTGCACATGTTGCAGACAAACTTATTGCCACCCGACCTGAACGACATGAATGGATTGATGTAGGCACGGCATCGACGGCACCGGGGCGGGCCCACATCCCCGAAATCCAGCACTGGGATGGGCTGCTCGCCCGAGTCGAGCTGAGCCAGCGGCTGCAGGACCATTCCCAGCGGGAGGGCGGTCGAAGAGAGGAAGTCGGAGGTGGAGGGGATGTTGTTCAAGGTCAAACGGGCGTATTTCGGAGACGAGTTGCCTTGGTCGTGCGCGATAAAGGGGATCGCGGCGGGAGGGGGAAGATGCCGTTCCATCGTGGGGTACACGTGGTCCAAGTAGAATTGTGCCGGGGCATCGCGCGATCGAGGTACGCTGGGAATCTGTTCCGGGTCAATCTTGCCCTGCGTCGGCACCGCCCCGGAGACACCCATAGGCATGCCCGGCTGCGGAACCGGGACCTGACCCATTGGCGCGGGCGAGACGCCACGCTGGGCCTGGTTCAATCCGGTGTTCAGGAACTGTGACGCCGGCTCCATGCCTGGCTGAGGCATTTGGGCGAACGGTTGTGGTGGTGCTGCCCCCGGTGCGGTGCCGATGTCGTGGTGGGCATGGCGGTGCTTCTTCCTCCCCGGACGAGCTGCCCCTCCGTCTCCTCCCATGATTCCCAATCCACTCATTTGAGAGTTCAGTGCCGCCATGGAGGGGTCTACCGGTGGTGTTCCCGCCACCTGGGGATCGGCATGATAGGCAAACTGGGGACTCGGGGCTAGATTTGGCGGAGGGGGTTGCATCGGGTGTTGTGGGGAACCGTAGGCGGGGAATTGATTCGGAACGGGTTGCTGGCCGTAAAAGGCGCCCGGCTGGGGAGGCGAAGGTCCCGGTGGAAACCCAGCAGCAGGAGGGTATTGCGGAGGGAACTGATGGGCGACACGGTTGGGGTCGGAGGGATCGTCAGCAGGCGTGCCGGCCTGCTGGTAGTGCTGTTGTTGATACATGGATGGGTCGGCCATGACGAAGGGGATGTCTCATTCCTGGACCTCACCAAAGAGACAGGGGGGATCCCACCAGAGAGGGCGGTTGTGGAAGAATTGAATGTAGCAGAATGACCGAGGCGAGGGGGAAACAGTAAAGCAATCAAGCACCAAGAACCAGGAGAGACGTGAAGTCATTCGGAGAATGCTGAAGAGAGACCGAAATGACACCTCAGTCAATAAACACGGATCAAGATTGTTCCGGGCCCAGCCGTTATCGCGCGTCCTTATCTCCTCCCTTATCCTTATCTCTCCATCGCGTCTTTTATGCTTCATCTCTCTCTCTTCCTCCTTTTCTTCTTCCTCCCCTCACGTCTCCATCAATCTACTCAATCTATACAGGAGGGATTGATTGGATTATAGGCAACTTGTGCCACTGGTATATTGCTGACGCCTCTGTGTGGACCTCTGATTTCGTCCATTCCTATGGGAGTAAGTTCTAGGGCGAGGTTCTGCATACTCTAGTCCTGCAACTGCAAGGGCTTTTATCTGGGTCAATTGTAATAAAAGCAGGCTCTAATCTACCTGGATCCTAGTTAGTCTTCCAATTCATGCCAACTCAATATATACACAGAAGGCGGATTACGATCTATACTTGAGTTGACGGACGAGGTGGAGTAAGTTATCGAAACAACTTGTCAGCCAAGAACAACAAGATCAGTTCGATTTGTTTTTCTGTCAATCCTACAGTACAGTCAATTTGACTACTCTTACGTATACCAACTTCTTCTAATACTCGTTGCCCAGATCGCCATCGCTGATCGATCGCCCTACCCTTATCTTGAGCGGGGCTCCTCACTGTTACTTATGAACCGTAAACAAACACCCTAGTAGGGAAGAAAAAAACAAAAGGAACAGCAAAAGCAATCTTTCTACAAGAAACCCACTACGATTATGGTCTCAATCCATAATGACGACGAGCTTCTTCTAGCCCGAATTGGCTATAAACAGGAGTTCAAACGGGAATTCTCTAAATGGTCGACCATCTCCTACGCCATCTCTATCCTAGGCGTTCTAGGATCCGTTCCAGCGACCTTCGGCGCACCGCTGGCCGCCGGAGGGCCAGCTACGGCCGTATGGTGCTGGTTTATCGGCTCGTGCATGGCCATGTGCATCGGGAGCTCTGTTGCTGAGCTGGTCTCGGCCTATCCCACCGCCGGGGGTATGTACTTTGTCACCAAGCACGTCGTCCCCGAGGAGCATGTTCCTATTTTTGCGTGGGTCCAGGGCTGGTGTAATTTGTTAGGACAGACGGCTGGGGTTGCAAGCGTGACTTACACCGTGAGCCAGATGATCCTGGCCTGTGCTAGTATGAACTCGAGATTGGTGGAAGGCAGGTACTCATACTCGCCGTAAGTCGCGTCGCCTCCTGCAATTGGGCGACGGCTAATTGCAATAGTACGGCGCTGGATACGGTTCTTTTGACTATCTTACTTCTCTGTATACTGGGTGTGATCTGCTCTCTGACCACCAAGTCTCTGCATCGCATTATCCTTTGGTTTGCTCCGATCAACAGTATGTCACCACTGTAATTCCAGTTGGACCAACTGACATGGGACAGTCATCGCCACCGTTGTTATCTGCCTAGCTCTGCTATACTATACTCCCGACAAACAACCAGCCAGCTGGGTCTTCACCCACGTCACCGACGGCTCTGGATGGGGCTCCAAGTTGTTTTCCTTTCTGCTCGGATTCATTTCCGTCGCGTGGACCATGACTGACTACGATGGAACCACGCAGTATGTCTCCTCTCCCATATCCAAGACCTATACTGACCGATATCCACCCAGTATGTCCGAAGAGACTCACGACGCAGCCGCCCTAGGCCCCCTAGCCATCCGTTCCGCCGTCTTGGTATCCGGTGCTTTTGGCTGGATCCTAACAGTGTGCATGTGTTTCTGCCTGACAGACTTCGAAGCCATCCTGCACACCCCTACTGGCCTCCCCGCCGCGCAGATCTTCCTCAACGCCGGAGGGAAGACAGGCGGGACCATTATGTGGGGGTTCGCCATCCTGGTGCAATTCTTCACAGGATGCTCCGCCATGCTGGCCGACACGCGGATGGCGTACGCATTTGCGCGTGATGGAGCATTGCCATTTTCCACGTGCGTGTCCCCATTATCTCCGGCCTTTCGCAGGCATGGTCCCAAGATTCAGCCAGTCTGACCCATTAGCACGAGATAGGTTCCTCTCCCAAGTAAACCCATACACCCAGACCCCCATCAACGCCGTCTGGTTCGTCGTCGTCTTTAGCAGCCTCCTCACCTGCATCGCCATCGGCTCCACCGAAACAGCCACAGCCATCTTCAGCATCACGGCTCCGGCCCTCGACCTATCATACGTAGCCGTCATCCTGGCGCACCAGTTGTACCGGAAGGAGGTCAAATTCGTCGAGGGTCCGTTCACACTGGGCCGATGGGGCGCCGCCGTGAACTGGGTGTCGGTCGTGTGGGTGCTGTTCATTAGCACCGTGTTATTTTTCCCGCCAAGTGTACCGGTCACTGCTGTGAACATGTGAGTTTCGTCTTCTACCTCTACTCTATTGTCACTGCTGAAAAGGCTATCCAATTCGACGAAAACACTACCCCCGATAAGAAAATACATCTACTAACTACCCACCTCACTAGGAACTACGGTATCTTCGTCGGCGCATTCATTGCGGCATTCGCGCTGGTATGGTGGTGGGTTGCTGCGCGCGAGTAAGTACTTCCATCTTCTTCTCTTCCTCCACCTATCCATCCGATGGAACACATCCAACCTGACATACATGGTCAGGAGATACACCGGCCCCCAGACGAGCGACTACGTCCAACAGGTACCGACGGAGGATGTTGAGAACGACTATGGCGCTATGCGTTGATTACTTAGATATCCGAACTCGCTTGGTCGTCGTTCTTTCTGGGCCCGATTTGGCAGGTGTTGGGTATAGACGTATACCAGCCACCTCCCCCCCCCCCCCCCCCCCCCCCACTCTTTTATTCATGTTTGTTTGTTTTGAGTTGCAGCGATAGATCGGGTCTTATTTTGATGTGTTTCGGTTTAATTTACTAGCCAGTTATGAGTATGAACTATAGAATGACAGCGTTGGTTTACTTCCACATGGCTCCAATGGGACAGTGAGTACTGTTTCTATAATAACAAGGGAAAATATAATCACCCGTACATACTACCTACTCTCATAGCTAATGTGAATAGATACAATATCTTGTAAATGTGGAGTTTGCGCCGTTTTATTACTTAAACCTGGAATTGCCTTCACTCATCTATACTAGGAAAGACAAGGAACAATATCTTTGAAAACGTGATTAAACGAATCGTTCATTGTATCATCGATTATATACATAGTACACGTAGGGATTTGGTCACTTTTCCTTGAACGTAAGTGGCCCCTCATCCTGCACCACCACAGCGCGCATGTTCTTCGACATAGCAGTCATTCCATCCGCACTGCGCACAGACGCAATTCTATGCTCCGGCGTAGTATGGAGATCACTTGACAACAACGGAAGTACCATACACTTCCACAGCACGGCGTCTGTCTGCTTGCTTCCTATCGCAGTTCCCAAAAGCAGCGCCAGTGATCCCAAAGCAACAACGACCGGGAGAATGATCCACGGCCATCGGACCTGAATGAATCTCTCGTCTCGAAACGCCTTCCCGGAAACCTCGCTACCGTGCCCATTCTTGCGGATCGTATCGGTGACGCTGGTGGACATTGAGTCGAGTATTTCGCCGAGGTTACCCCTGCGTAGAAACGATGCCAGCTTCAACGTGTCTGATATTGATACGTTGAACCTGTTGCCATTGTTTGTACTGTTGAACAGGCTCATCATTAGAGGTCTGAAGCTGTTGAACGTTAGGTGATCCATGCTGTATGTCGGGTTTTTTGATAGTGTTGCCGACCCCTTTGGTGGGTCAAAGTAAAACGGGTCTGGTGAGTAAATATCGGGCCGTTCCTCTTGGGCATCTTTCACAATGAGCTCCTGTGTATCGACAACGTGCAATGGACTGCTGTCTTGGGTGGTAGGCCGGAAGGTGCCTGCTGCGTATCGTCGCTCGCAAAAGTATACAGCACATTCGGTTATCACTGGCTTTGTTGGCGGGGCTGTCGCGTTGGATACAATGTAGCGAACCGGGTCGATATAGTCTACCTCAATGAGGGAGACAATTGGGGCTTGAATACCCAGAATTGGGTAATCCGCCCTTGGGCGTAAACTCCAATGATTCATATTGAACGTGACATTATTACTTTTGTGTAAATCTGAATCCACACCGATAGTGCCGTACGCGATGCTTTGGGGGTGTTTGAAGTCGAAAGAGAAGTTACTCGGGGTTCGGTAGCTGCAATTCGTAGGAGCTTCCCTGAGAGCCGGGTGGACGGGGATACCCTCCCAGAAAGCCAGATCGTCTTCCACCTGACACTTTTGGTCTGTGCGAGCTGTGACATCCTCGCATTTGCTACACATCCCCAGCGCAACAAACTCTGGGAAGTCGCAAGAGAGCGCATTGCATTGAGGCTCCAGAGGGCGTTGTGTCTGCATGAGGCCGCTTATTATGGCAGTGAAAAGCGTCGGCGGAAGCTCAAGATGTACATCACTTTGATCCAACCCCCCTGTGGAAGTCCAATTTTGCGAGGTTTGGGTCAATGCCGTGGCATTCAATGCAGGAACGGTTCGTGACGGGAGTGTCAAAATTTGCTGCGCAAATGGATCCACTGCTAGAGCCAGGATAGTAATAACTGCCCCAATATAAGTCAGACTTCCTGTTCTCGACCCAAATATCCCGCCCAGTAAAATCTCCAAGGATCCCCAGGGTCCCCGACTGGCCTGGTCGATAACCTGCATGTGATATAGTGGCGCAGGATCTTGAAACAGGTTCCATTTCAGCTGGCCGAGACACGAGGACACTGGGACCAGCAGGGCGGCTTTTGTGATAGTGACAATAATCGACACGACAGTATTCGGGGACGCGGTATATTGCCAGTTCGCGTACGGGGTGTTGTTTATCGTGACAAGAAAGGCAACCAAAAGCGCAAGGCCCACGACGGCTAGGGTCACAGATCCGATTTCCCATGCCCAGGTGTCATTCCAATCGAGCCATTGTCGCTTTGTGCTGGTGTCTGTTGGCGGGTCCTGTGTATGCACAGTTGTATCATTTGTTTCTGAGAGGCCCGTTTCAGCGTCGCTGGCGCGCCTATGAACAGACATAACAGCCAGGTATTCAACCTTTCGAACTCGAGATCAGATTCCCTCTAGCCGATGTTTAAAGTAGAATACGGCCGATTGCTTCTTATTGTGACATTGCATGGCCCACCGAAGTAGATCACAGTGCTTATATCGATGTTGAGTAGTCTCCTCAGGCGAAGGCGGGGGAGGTGGAGAGGTAAAGGGGTCTTCAGCACCTAGCTGTGGCTATGGGCGGCTTAGCCTCGACAATGGCCATGGATTTATGTCGATCTGCAAGGATACGACAAAATATCACATGTAGTCTATCATTCATGGACTGTTCAGTCCCTTTTTAGCAGGGCCACCAAGCTGCTTGGGTATGGTGTCTAAATCTACTGTATCACCTATGCTGCCCTCCTTATAAGTAAAGTAAAGTATACACAGAACAGTCGAGTAGTAACTGGTGCAGCAACATTTTCGTGATTGTTTTGGCCCGATCTCGTCGTGCCAAGCGCGCCGGTTCCTGAAGCCCATGGACCACGCAGCCAATGTACATCCAAGACTAGATCCACACTTGCGTGGTGGGCTGAGCAGGTGTCAAGGATTTAAACTTGTGAAAATAATCTTCAGAGATCAAATGCTTGCATATTGATACTCTTTACCCAATATGGAAGTCTATTACTAGTCTTTATTTTCTTTCTGTTAGTCTGCTTATGGAATTATCCCACAGGTACTACGGATTGGTCTGATGAGATGGATAGGGGTAGTTAACAACCATTATAAATACAGGATATGACTTGATTGCATTGCATTGCACCCCATCCAATCCAATCTCCTAGCATAAATTGCAAGACATAACAGACAATAAGAAAAGAAATACTAACTCCCCGAAACAACAGCCAGCCCTTCATAGATTTTCCGCTTCACAGCTAGGAAACTACCCGTTCCGCGGCCCAGCCCACCAGTAGTAGCGGCGGCACCAGCCTCGACCTCAATGCGGCCGGTGCCGGACTTGCGCACCGCGACTGTCCCGTCGATGAGGAGGGTGCCCTCGCCGCGGAACTCGGCCTTGTGGCCGGCGCTCTGCATTAGGCGGCGCAGGTCTGCGAGACGGAGGTCGCCGACGTGGAGGGGGCGGGTCATGGACCGTGTGCCGGCTGCCATGTTGGCGGGGAGGATGTCGAGCACGGGGTAGATGTCTGGTTTGTCGGATGGGTGGGTGAGGGTGGGTTTGGTTTCGGGGCGGGTGGTTCTGTTGTTGGGGTGTCGGGGTTGGGGTCGTGGTCAAGTTTTTGTTTCTTGCTGGAGGGTGAGTCCGCTGGTTGGTCTTCCTGCGGGTGTTTCTGGTCTTGCGGTGCGGCGGCGATGGAGGCTGCTTGGAGCTGTCCTGTTAGGGTGACGACGCCGAGGCTGCGGACGTGCTGCCATCTGAGACGGCGCACGAGGTTGTTGCTCAGCTTGACCATCCAGGCGTTGGTGTCGACGCTGGCGTCGACCATCTCGCCGTTGGCCGGCGTGAAGATGATGGCGGCGTCGGGGGCCGCGGTATCCGCAGTGTCGTTTCCAACGCTGACGCCTGTCTTGGCTGCAAGCAGCTTGCGGCATTCCGTTGCCAGCGCGGTCGTCTCGTCCTCGCGGCCGCCGACCAGGATCAGCTTGCGCGGCTGGATCAACGGGATAAGCATCTCCAGGCTGCGCTTGTCGTGCAGTCCGCTGAAGTCGACAAAGGCGAGCCGCGCGTTGAACGTCAGCGCATCCTTCTCGTAGACAGCCTTGGCGGGACCCTCGAACGTCTGCCCGTTTGCCTCGTCCTCTGATTCCACCGCACCGTCCGTGCCGTCCCCGTCGTCGGTCATGCTCATGGCCTCTGCGTTATTTGACGCCTGCGATCGCTCGACGCCGCCGCTGCCGGGTGCACGACCGCCGTTAGGGCCCGCCTCGTCCCATCGTCGTTTCTGGCCTAGCTTCGTGGGGTTCTCGAAGCGTCGCTGCTGCATGTCGGCTTCCTCGCGCTCTTCGGCCCGGAGGTATTCCTCAGGCCGAATGAACTCTCCGTACTCGTCCCGTTTCTTCCGGGGCGCCACGTAGGGGAACATGCGCTCGCGGCCCTTCTTGCCGCGGACGTCGTAGTCGTATACGTTCTTCCGCCGGAGAAGGACGTTGATCCCGAGGTCTTCGTCGCTGAGACCGAGTTTCGTGCGGTTCGCGTGAGCCAGTGACGTGGAGAAATTCAGCACCTTGCCTTGCTGCTGCGAGTCTTCTGAATCTTCAGACGAGGAACTAGAGCGGTCGTCGAGTGCATCGGCGGCATTCTCTAGGTTCTCTTGGCCTCGTGCCTGGGAGGTATCTTGGAGTTGGCGCTGGGTGGCGAGGTACTGCTGGTAGAGCATCTGCTCCCCAGGGTCGAGAGGCGCCCGCCGTACATTCGTCCAGGACATCTCTCGTCCCCCGCCGTGAACCTGTTCCAGCATCTCCCCATCTGCGGCCTTTTCCAGGGCCACGCCGTCCTGTCTTTCTTCGTACCACTCCCAAACCATGCTACCAAGCGTCTTTCTTTTAGGATCCTCGGAGTGTTCAGCGGGCTTGCTCCTGTGGAATGACTCGGTGAGCAAAAGCAAGTTGTTTGACCCCCCGGCCACAACCTGCAGAGCATCTTTAGCCAACCCCCAGTCGAGCGAGGAGTCCGACGCCAGGATGACCTTGGGCGAGGGATCCGCTAAGATTTTCTCCAGTCGTTTCCGCCGTTCAATGAATTTGAGGTGTTTAAATGTGAAGGGTCCAGTTCGCTTCTCCTCGCCTTTGCCTTGGTTTTGACCGCCAGATCGCTGCCCGTCGGCTCCTGACCGCGACTGGCCTGTCGTCGCGTCCACACCCTCCGCCGCTTCGAACTCACGCACGATATTCTCGTCCATCCACTCTAGCATACTCCGGGCTAACCGCATGGTGGTATGGGCTTTCTTGTTTGCCATGTACAGCCCAGCGCCTTTCAGAACATCGTCTTGGCCGTTTCCCTCTGCAGCAGTCCGCCACGCATGCTCCAGTGAATAAACCAATTCCAGCACTCGGGCGCTAGTATCGGTGGGAATTAAAACGGTACCTCCCCTGGCCACCGTGCTGCGGATCATGTCCAGCAACAAATCATCGCGCTTCTTGCGGCCGCCCGGGAGCGCGAACTTGTCGCCACCCCGGGTACTGCACACCAGGGCCGTAGGCTTGCGCAGCTGCTCGATAACTTCGGTGCCGCTGGCACCCGAGCCACCGAACCAGGCCGCGCCTGCGACGACGCTCTCGCGCGCTTGGTTCCAATCAACAGCGTAGACGATCGACTCCATACCATGCTGGATATGCCATATTGTTCCTCCGACCGTGTGTCCAGCATTGTAGGCCGTCAGCGTAAGACCGTCCAGGGGAGGAGAAAACGGGGACGGGGACGGTTGGTGTGGCTGCGAGTATTTCAGTGGTTGGATCAAGGAGAAGAAACGGGCGATCTCCTCGCCCGACGGCGGCTGTAGGAGGATCCGCCCGGCGTGGCTCGCATCGTTGTTTTCGTCGCCCTCTGCCGCGAACGCTACTGCCGATGCAGGGGAGGTGGTCGCGCCGGGTTCTGAGACCGAAGCCTTGGGTAAAAATGTCGCGGCCAACGGTGACGACTCATACAGCTCTTGTAGTAACGTCCGACCCAGTGCGATGATAGGACTCGTCGCGTAGACGGGGATTTGAGTGAAGAGGGGGAAGGTCTTGCAGCAATGTACATAGGCACCGATATGGGCGGGGGTCGCATGAGTCAGGAGGATCAGAGATAGGGTCGGGATATGTCTGCAAAAAAATTCAAACGAAACATTCAATTAGCCTTTGAGATTCCAGTATGCTGAAGAAACACATCTCTAGCGTAGGAAAGAATGGACGGAGCTTACTTCTCCAACTCCGCCAGGTCGAGCGGGTCAAAAGAATCATCCCAGCCCACATCCACTAGGATTTTGATGCCACCCTCAAGCTCCAGAATCGACTGCGAAGCCTTGGATGAGGCAGACTGTGCGCCTAGCAAGGGAGTGAAGGTGAACATGGTTCTTTGCGGACTCGGCCGTCACTCCTGGAGTGTTCCGACGGAATTGGCTTGGTCTCAAACTGGGCGAGGCAGCGCTGACTCGCGAAGCATGGATGGGCAAAAAAGTCGAAATGTCGTGTTTATCGCATCGCGTAGAATTTTGGAGTAAGAGGCGACAGAGGCCCAAATCGGAAGAGTTGTTAATCGGGTAAGGTCATGTTGTACGGAAACCGATGATGATCGATTGAAGCCATTCGAGAGTCGTGTTTGCCGTGTTTGCACCACACGAATCTATGTGTTTGCCTCAGGCATGAATAGTATTCCTTGCCCTAACATCGTCTTAGTACGAAATGTAGATCTCAGCTTTGAGCTGCAAACCATGATATTCTATCGCATAAGTAGTATTTTTATTCCTCTATACAGCAAAGTAATACTAACTACAAAGTCCACGAAACCAGTGTAGATCAAACTAATTCATACATACGACAGTCAAACTAAGCCAAACATCCCTATACATCTCGATAAACATCATCCCATGTAAGCATAGCATATGAAATGCGAATAACAACTTCAATAGATCAAAATCCATACCAAAGAATAGACTCTTAGCAACTCCCTCTACCAGAATTCTGCGGTAAATCCTATACTCCACCTTGGCTTCGGGTCCTCGGTCTCTGCGTTCCTCCTCCTACTTCACCGGCTCCGGCTGTTTTCGACTTTGGTCTTCCCTTTCCTCTTCGAGTGGGTGGGGCAACTGATTGTGTGTCCGCACCACTGGCCGTATTATTGTCATCGGCAGCGGCAGCCAATGCTGCAAAGGCAAATGGCCTGTTTCCCGAAGGCACCGAGGGCAATGTATCCGGGATGTTGAGACCATCGGGAAGTCTCATCGGACCGGCCCATGGTCTGATCTGCTGCACTCGCCGCTCCGGGAAGTGCGTTAGACGATCTCGTGGATTGGCACGGAGTCCTTCGATAAGCTGGCGAAGATTATCAGGCAGATGCTCGGTATCTGATCGTTCCCGGTCGGGCTCTCCACATTGTCCACTCGGCCCTGCCTCGGGATTGACCGGCCGTCCCTGTTCATCCCTTAGATGAGAGAGAGGCCTCCCCTTGGTGTGTTTAATTTTAACGCGTTTGGTCCTAGCGGCGCCTTGTTTGAGCCTTGTTAGTGCTGGTTATATTGACCAAGGCGGAAATCAAAAAGGCAGAGACAGATAAATCTTTGTTACTGACCGAGAATCCCGGGTATCTCTTCCGCAGCACCTGGTCGAGGCTGCTCAGGTTCTCCTCCACCGTGTACGCTCGGACCTGCGGCAGGATTGACTGGTTGTCCCTGGGCATCCCTTCGGCGAGGGGCAGGTAGCCGCTTGGTGTGCTTAGTTTTGGCGACGCCTTGTTCAAGCGGCGCAGTATCTGATAGAGTCGGCGAGGGCTCTCTTCTATGATGTGTACCTGGCACTGCCTCAAGATTGGATATTTGTTGCTGGGTATTCCTTAGTTGAGGAGCAGGCGGTCTCTTGGTGTGTTTGGTTTTGCCGAAGTCTTGTTCAAATCTTGTCAGAGCTGATTATACTAATCAAGGCAGAAATCAGAAAGGCAGAGACAAATAGAATCCCGTCACTAACCAGGAAGTGGTGCTATCACTAGTCGCGCAGCGTCCATCGCCGCTTCCACATCGTCTGGTCGAGTTGGCAAGTTCTTTCCTCTACCTAGTCCACCCACCGCTACCCAGGGATCGGCCAGTCGCTTGGTGCGCATATTCTTGCCGACGCCTTGTTCAAGTCTTGTCAGAGCTGATTGTATTGGCCAAGGCAGGAAACCAGAAAAGCAGAGACAAATAGAATCCCGTCACTAACCAGGAAATGGTTCTATCGCTAGTCGCGCAGCCTCTATCGCCGCTTCCACATCTTCTGGTTGAGTTGGCGTGTTCTCTCCTCTACCTAGTCCACCAATCGCTGCCCAAGGATTGGCTTGTCGCTTGATGCGCCTATCTTTGCCGACGCCTTGTTCAAGTCTTGTCAGAGAGCTGATTACATTGGTTCAAGAGAGACACCAGAGAGGCGGAGACAAATAGAATCTTGTCACTAACCGTGAATCCATGGTACCTCCAGTTCTGCAGGGTCGACGTTGGTAAGCCCGTGGGGAGGGCTTCGCTCGTCGGAAGTGGTTGGCTCGTAGTTAGGGCTTGGGTTTCTCTGGGCTAGGGGGAAAGAAAGTTAGCAGAGCGTATCAAACTAATTGTGGGCTCGTCATCGCCGACGGGGTATGTGGTATGCAAGCAGGCAGGAACACGAGAGCAACCGTCCATTTGTTGGGCATTGGTGGACTGACTAGCAGTCAAGGTAAGCAGGGTTGCAAGAACCATGCCACAGCCAGACACATCGGCATAAGACCAGGACAGGGTAAAATAATGGCCAATAAGATCAACAGATGATTCTGAAGACGTAAAGATAGGGACATAGAAACATGTTCCAAAATCAGGAAGACCACTATCGATCAGATCTACTTGCACTCACCGTTGTCATCAGCCTGAGTATTGTATTCCTCATCTTCGTCATCATAACAGTCTTCATAATCCGGCAAATCATCAGCCTGATTGTTGTCTTCCTCATTTTCGTCACCATAGTAATCTTCAAAATCCGGCAAATCATCAGCTGGATCTTCATTAGCTGGAATAGCGTTAGCTTGGTTTTGATTAGCTAGAAATTCGTTAGCTGGAAGCTCATATAGGAACTTGTGTTTGGCGTAAGTTACCCTGTGTCGACCTTTGCGGAATTCGAGATGCTTTAGGGACGAGCAGTCAGATATCTCCAGCACAACACGAACGTTCCATATATATTGTACATACCAGCTCGCATCCCCAGTGAAGGCCGCGGAGAATTCTCGAAATACCCCTCAATGCCATTGGTGAGTGGTGGTGGTGGAGTTTGTCCTGGGAGAGCCAATGCGACATCTGGATCAGCAGATGGGGGAGGCGGGATAGGAGCTCTGGGACCCGACGAGGGTCCTGGGCTGGATACATCTGACATTTCTTGTCGCACGCGGTTTCGGAATGCCGGATCAGTCAACCATTCGCAAAGAGCCCTGTGTGCAGCGGGATACAGCTGTCTCTCGTGTGTTATGGCATCGAAATGCCATTCAAACCTGGTTGATCCGGGATATTCAGGGGCTGTACTAGGTAAGACCAACCAGCGTGGCCGCGCAGCGGTGTGACCGAAATTAAACGTTACATCTTCAATGGGGCGAGTAAGATCAGTATCATCCATCCCCTGTGGTTGGTGACCCTGCGCGAAGCAGGCTCGGGCTTTCCGCGTGCTGGGGGCGTCACTCACCTGCAGGATTTACTGGCTCCGGTAATTCAGGAGCTACCACTTGATTCTGCGTAGTAGACGATAAATTAGGCGATGTTGCAGCATTAGGGACAGGGCTGTTCGGGGAAAATTGGTGCCAGTGGCCATTTTTCGGCCTTTTTGGATGCCAATTTCGACGGCAGTGGTGCCTTTGCTGATGATTACGCTACCTTTGAAGGACCAGCGGGAACTCTTCCACGCCCATTCGATTGGGGTCGGGGTGTGGTGTGCCCTGATTTAATACCTCTGCCTATATTCCTCGGCAGTGATCCTGGCATCTTGAGGCTGGTAAACGACGATGAGGGATTGCTGTGATATGTTAGCTTTCCGCAAGGACCCAAAAGGAAGAATGAGCGTACATACGTTGTAGGCCTTTCTTTTGTGGTAACAAACGAGTTGGTCTGTGGATTGTGGTGCGGTACTGAACTGTATGCTGTAATTCTGCCACGCATCTGGTCTGGCGAGAGATATTGGTCCTGATATATCAACAACGACCCGAGAGCTTGTTCAAAGAAGAAGGCTTCCACAATGGTACCAGATTATCCCGCAGTGGAAGTAGGAGCCTTGTACCGACTTGAGCCCGATCTATTCCTGTCAAGCCGACAAAGAAGTACCAATTACTGTGCCCTTGGCAGAAAAGTGAGGGTGGCTCAGACAACCCATGTTCTTTGTGAAGGCAAACAAAGGACTCAATCACCAGGTCGATCCTAAGAACCCATCCATCAGTTTCGCAATCGCACAAAGAAAGCCCCGCAACAAGTTGTTCGAGCAAGGCGTCTCTGGTCTTCTCTTCAAAGACGACATTAAAGACTTGAGTGTCTACTGGCGAGTAGTAAGACCTAACTTTTGGCGACCTTTATGGTCACCCCCGCCGCTCTATATCGAATCCGGCAGGGATTTTGGAGAAATAATGGACAATGCCGAAGACTCGATCTTCGGTCCGGCCGTCACATTGCTCCGAATATCCTTGGGCCACCAAAGAAACGAGCTCCGTGCCGTCCAATACTGGTATACTGGTACCCCATTCTTGGCCGGAGTAACGAGACCCAAGTGACGAACAAACAAACAAACGGACAAACAGACAAACGCCCCAGAGCGTTAGTAAAGAAAGCGCACATGTTTGGGAGATTCTTTATTACATTGACCCAGGGAGTTACCATTGAGCACCCCCTCTCTTACCTCTTTTTTCTTTCTTATTCTTTTCCCCCGGTTTTGCATGGCTGAAATGCAGGTGGTGCACCTTGACGATCTTTTGAAGTGTTTGGCGTCCCCAAATAGGACAGGCGTCTGACATAGAAACCTGCAGAGCTTTGAGATGGTTATAGGCCAAGTTTATGAAGAGCCAAGGGGATCAAACCGGTTTAGTTGACTGTACGGGTATTATTTCGAGGGAGCTGTTAGAAAAAGCCCATGCCATAGAACAGGGCAGTTGGTGAATGCCACAAGACCTTTCAGTCCACATATTGTATTTTGGCGGGGAGTTCTCATATTCAGAGACCAGTTTCTTGAACCCAGGCGTGGTTGAAAGAGATAAAATGTCGGACAGACATCCGCAGAGGGTCGAGTACCTGTCATCTGAACCTCCTATGTGTACTCCAAGTACCTACCAAGCCCTACATGATACTGTGCTCTCTTTCTCTCTCTTCCCTCTTACAAGCCAAATCATCACATCGTAAGAAGCGATCAAAACAGAAATTATTTGCACATTTAATACACAAGATATGATCATCACGGAAACCACTCAAGAGCAGCCCAACCAACCATAAGAAGGGCAGCGAGCGACGAATGCAAACCCATGCAGAAAATGCTCCGCAACAAAAAGGAAAGGATAGGATATAATTAGACAAAACATAGAGCATGCGTCACCAAAAAAGAAAAAAAGACCTAGGCGCGGCCAAACTTGCCAATAGATACGGGGGACATCAGTGTATTCCTGTCTCATTGCCAGTATCTCGGCTCGTCGAAGACGTGGTAGCGGTGGCCACGAACGCCCTGGCCCCGGAACAGTTGCGGGAAGCGAAGGCCCTCGGGGACCATTTCCTCCGGGATCATCATCTCTTCCTCTGATTCGGGCTGTCCGACGACGAATTTGCCGACCTGTTGGGTGGAAATGGTTAGTGGAGTTCTTCCACGGGGAGGGAGATAGACATACCTGGATCTCGGTGTCCGTGATCGAATCGCGGCTGATACGCGCGTAGCCTGTTCTCTTCAGGTTCTTGTAGAGAATGTACTCGCACCAGCGGTCCCAATCGGTGTGATCGATGTCCTTCATGCCGCTGATATCGCTGACGTAGGTGTTGTAGTTGCCTTCGAGCGGCTTGGTGACGAGGTAACTCAGCAGGACCATAGGGCGGGAAGACGAGCCCATCAGGTTCGAAAGATACTCCGTCTGGAGACGGCGGTCTTCGGGGTCTTCTTCCTGGCCGGAGTGGAAGACAACGACGTCGACCATCTCCCCGTACATGTCCAGAGTGGCACTGATGGCCGGGGCGAGTTCACCCACGGGCGAAGGGAGCAGGTGGTGAGTGGAGTTGACGATCGGGAACTTGGACAGCAGGGCTGAACCCCACGTGTGCTTGTTCGGCCCTGGGCCGTAGTCGGCGTACATGCCCAGGTCCTCGGCCAGGGTCTGCGTGACATCACGGTTGCCCATGATGATGCGCTGGTTATCGGACTCGAGGAGGCCAATGACGTCGAGCTCCAACTCCTGGATCACATCGCGCATGCGGCGCTCCGAGGCCCACATGTCGTTGTCCAGGCCGAAATGGACGGTCCAGATACCCATCGTGGCGACCTTGTCCTCGGGATGGTAGGGCGTGTAGTTGTTGGTCGGGAAACGCAGATATGCCACGGCGACGGCAATCAGTTGCAGGACGGCGAGGATGTAGATGTAGTACGACCGCTGCTTGCGACCATTAGGGCTGATGGGCTTGTGCTTCGGGGCGGACGAGTTGGAGACGGCGGCCGAGAAAACACCGGCGCCGATGCTCAGCATGTTCGTAATCATGAGCCAGTCCGTGCGCTCCCTGACTAGGGGTCCACCCGGAACGAAGGCGTAAGCGACAACCCACACGTGGAACAGAATCATGAAGATCATGAAGACGCCGCCAATGCCGAAGGAGGTGGCAGGAGGATGACGGACAGCCGATCCGAGCAGGACTGGCGTCACTGCCATGGTGTAGAAACCGAGAGTAAGAGCACCGTAGAATCCGGCCCAGTGACTATAGCAGGTGAGGAAAGCTGCACCCAGCGAGCCGATCCCAAACGCGGTCCAGCTTCCCGCGACACGGGGATAATAGAGACCGAACACAAGTCCGGCACCCATGACAAAGATGACCAGTGCGCCGTGAGGGGCGGCAATAGGGCCACGCACGGGGAAGCCGTCCCAGACCCAAGCGATCATGGTGCTGGATTCGGTCAGGAGAGAGAGCATCGTAAAGAAAAGGCCGCCGACACCCAGACCGGCCAACGCCCCAGATCCTTTCTTGCCGCTGGACGGGAAGTAGTCCCCTCCGCTGACGGAAGGCTGTCGGTAAGATCGGAGAGCAGCCAAGATGGCCAGTGCAATGCCAACCTTGTTCCAGCCACCATTTTCGGCATGCATGATAGGCCACACCGGGTTGTTAGTTCGGAATGCGAACTTGGAGACGGTTGACATGATCAATCCAAGACCCCACCCGAAGATCCGGGTCTCCAACCGCGCGCTGTTGGCTCTCTCGGCGTACAAAGTAGCAGCCCACGTGATCAGCGTGCACGAGAGGGAGAAGATAGTCAGGAACAATCGGTTGGCGGGATCCTGGGTCTTGTAGGCGAAAAGTCCAGAGACGGCGAGGAACTGGAAGACACGAGGACTCCGGATGACAGCGGACCTCAAGGCCGGGATTGCCAGGAAGAGGGGGGCCGCATAGGCAACAATGGCCACTTCATATCCGGAGATACCCATGTGCCACAGGGGGAAGTCTGTTGCGGTCAGAGATCAGGACGTTGTGTTAGAATGCGCCACCACTTACACCAGACAAGGACAGGCAGTGCCGTGCACATGCTCCAGAAAACGAACTACAGATGTCAGTATGTGGGCCAAGGCAACTGGTTACGCATGTGGTTTTACCCCGTTATAAACATCAGCGGCGGCGTCGGCGACTTCGCCCCAGGAGAAACCCTGACCGAAGGTGTTGCCCACAGGCTTGCCCTTCCTAGCTACGAGTCAACAGGTATTCGTAGTTTCTGGAAAATGGATTGGACGCACTCTTTTTCAAGGACGGAGTCCGCAGTAGTTTTCAACTGCCTGAGAAGGAAAAGAAATCTTAGACCATGCGTTTCTTGTATAATAACCCTGCCTTGGCAACCGTACATTTCCCATTTCTCCCTTTTTTTTTTTCGGTTTATTTCGGAAGCCACTGTACATACCCTCTGCTGACCCCTTTCACGTCCCTGACCACGATCTCAAACGCCTCAAAGTCAAGCGCAGTGACTGCATCAAAGCCAACGTCGAACAGAATGAGGGACCATTCGAAGAATGCGTATCTCGTGTAGGCTATGACAACGGTTAGACCTTTGTTCCTCCATACCACCGACGGTAATGTAGACACTCACCTCCGGCAACCTTATGAACCTTGTGCTGAATAAAGAAGTAAATCAACGGCACCAGGGTTCCGAAGAACAAACTGGCCATGACCTTGCGGTACTTGGCCGCGCGGCGGTTCTGGCTCAAGGCAAGGCAGCCCAGAGTCCACGGCAGCGTCGCAACCAGATAGGAGATCATGAAGATATCATGCCAGTCATGGTCATCGGTTGAAGTCACGTAGGTCCAACCTCCGCAGGTAAACGTCCGGAACAAACCGACACCCGCGACCACCTTCGGCAGGGTCGACTTGGGACGCGAGGTCAGGATATACCAGAGGAACACGAGGGCGAAACGGGGACCGGAGGTAATGGCGATGAAGACCTGGAAGAAGGATCGTTCGGGATATCTGTCGCCAATGGTGGCGGAGACGGACGGGAACCATTCATCGGGGTAGCCGTAGTGTTCGTTCTGGACGATCTTCCTGAAGTGCAGCGACATTCCCACTATCAAGGCGCTGAAAAAGGCCAGGTAGGCAAACACCGTATGCGTCCAGGTGATCCATTTTCCGTTGATCTGAAATTGGTCAGTGCATGTGTCGCATGAAGCCCATGGTCATCAAAAACCAACCGCTACGACAGCATCCCCATCTTTGATCCTGGGTGCCATGGCAGCGCCGGAGACGCAGGTCGATCTGCCGTCGATGAGGCAAATCCAAACAAAACTAGAACAGGAGAAAAAAGGAAAAGAAAAGACAGACGAACGAAAGTCAAGAAGAACAAATAAAAGAAAGAGAAAGAGAGAGTAAATGGAATTGCGGCAAGTAACAGAAACCCCTGACTGACTGAGGCCAACAACGCGACAATTCCATTGAGGCTCGGCAACCACGCGGGTACCAAGCAATATCCCCACTAGATCCCAAAGGGGCAGGCGGTCAGCTGTCATTGATCGGAGGTCCAATGCGGGATGCCGACCACTTTTCTCAGTCTAAGCCATTTTTTTTTTATCTCCGCTACCAGTGTCTGACAGAAGAGCCAACAACAACCATGTCAAACACCACGGATAAGGCACGCTTCTTTTTGGAGAAGTCGGTGCCGGAGTTGAAGGAATTTGAGAAGAAAAAGATATTCAGCAAGGTATGCATGTCTCCACCGGTTGATATTCTGTCGCGACCAGAGGAATAGAATGACCAACGAGTGTGTTTTCGTCTTTCTTATAGGAGGAGATCACGTCGATCATCAAGAAACGGTCCGACTTCGAACACAAGATCAATGCCCGCGGTGCGCAGTCCATCGACTTTGTGCGCTATGCCCAGTATGAAATGAATCTCGACAATCTGCGACGCAAGCGAGTGAAGCGGCTGGGAGTCAGGTCGACCGGATTTTCGGGGCAGCGACGGATCTTCTTCGTCTTGGATCGGGCCACGCGAAAGTTCCCTGGGGATATCGGATTGTGGGTTCAGTACATCGAATACGCCCGGCAGCAGAAGTCATACAAGAAGCTCTCCACGATCCTCACGGATGCGCTGCGCCTCAACCCTACGAACGTGGATCTGTGGCTCTATGCGGCGCAATACTCACTGGACGAACATGCGGACATGACCCAGTCGCGAAGCTACATGCAACGGGGGTTGCGATTCTGCAAGAGTTCGAGGAAGTTATGGTTGCATTATGCCAAGTTGGAACTGATCTACATTGCCAAACTCTTTGCCCGACAGCGGATCCTGGGTCTCGACCGCGAGATTGAAGCGCCCAAGGATCAGGGACCTTCCCTGGACGACCCCGATGCCGATATGATTGCGATGCCGCAGATCACCGAGGAGGATATCAACCCCACCGCTGGCGGTACGGACGAGGCCAACCAGCAGGCACTGCAGACCCTCAGCGCGACACCGGCCCTCACTGGTGCCATTCCTCTGGCCATCTTCAACACAGCACTAAAGCACTTCGAGAACGATGACCGGTTCGGCCATGAGTTTTACGACATGACTCTAGAGTTTGAGGATCTGCCCTGTCTGCGCCGGATCCTTGAAGAGGTGGTGGACGCGATGCGGGCGACGAAACCCGCCAGCCCCCATACGCAGATCTGCTACATCCGGCTCCCGACCGCTGGGATCCGTGTCACTTCAGCCGACTTCCCGCGGGCATTGGGCGCGTCTCTGGGACGTCTCAAGGAGAGCCAAAATGACCCTCGGGTCGCGAAGGAGGTCATTGGCTGGCTGCAACCGATCGCGCAGACCGAGAACCTGGATCCTGCCCTGCAGACGGTCCTTACCATCACCATCCAGAATGCGGAGCGGGTACTTCCCTCGGCGTAAATGGATCTCCTGTGCTATTCGAACTCCGGCGTTATCGGGGGGCTGTTGTTGAGAGAGTAAAACATAATGGTGTTGGGAATTCGTGCATTGTTTATTCGTCGGATCTGCCCCGGCGACTAGCCTTTTTGCTGCTAAGAAACTTCTTTGTCTTCAGTCTCGTTTCATTTTCAGCCTTTTTTCTGTGTATACCGTCAGTGTGATATCCTATATAGTCCATATCCAGCAGACATGAATGGAACTATCCAAATAGAAAAGGGAGTTAAGAGAATAAGAAGAATAAGAAGAATAAGACGGAACATACAATTTAGCCACGCGATCCTTCTGAGCCTGCGACGTCTCCCCAGGAATCGCATCGTCCGCGGTGGTCCGAAGCAGCTGGTAGAGCTTGTCATAGCAAGCGTCCACATTGGAGGTCTGCTTGCGCGACTCCTGCGACTGGATAACGAGCGACTCGGAACGTTCCGCGAAATAGCGCGACGACCGCAGTGGACCGTGCAGCAGGGGAGGCAGGAGCGGCAGGAGACCATGGAGGGGTAATTTGAGGGTGGCCTTGGAATTGACCCTAAAGGGGGTTCCCATTAGTGAGTGGCTTATAGCAGTGGGCTGGATTGGACGGGCCCAGGTTTGGGGGGAACAAGGAGGGGGGGACAGGGAGGGGGGGGAACATTAGTACTTGTTGACGTTCTGACCTCCTGGGCCACCGGATCGACTGAAGGAGATTTCGCAGAGATGACGCGGGATGGACTTGGAGTCGAAGGTGGACAGCCACCGTCTGGCTTCGGTCACGTCGTCATCTGAGGGGGCAGTGCTCGTGTTGGGTAGGGAAGCGGTGCGTCTGGAGGCGAATGTTCTGAGGGGGGTTGTGGGGTGTGGATGGGGGAGCCAGGAGGGGGGAGAGCAGCGTGTTGTTAAGAGGATACGGGTTGGTTGAAGGATCATGTTGGTCTATCCTTCTTTCTTTTCCTTTTGGCTTCTTCTTTTCTTGTTTGCTTTCTTTGTATTCTTTTGTTTTTCTTAATTTCTAGTTTCGTTCATGTGTTGTGGTTATTGATGAGTCTTTTGTTATTAAAGTTTGGTGGATGTACCTTAGTAGTGGAAGGAAGAAAGATGAGTGGACATTGAATTAAAGATGAGGATCGCTGCTAAGAATAAATAAGCCGTAGTCCGGACTGCCTTGAGGATCTTCCAGCTCCAACACCAAGCTATACATGGACCCATTCTTGACTTGATCCTTAGGTAATACAATCTACTCTGTATACAGACACACCTAGAGTCAAACTGGTTTCCCTGCATGAATCTGACAGTCCATGGCCTATCATTCCACGTTCAGATAACAATGGCTTGCATGGATGGAGTCCTGCTGATCCGTCGTGAGTACTTTTGGTTCCTACATAGTACATACATGGTGGTACGGGTGTAATGTGTACATGTAACGGAGTCCTCTCTTTCCGCCATATACGAATATTCCATGGGGTTCTAGGGGATGTAGTGATAGGACTAATGTATTGGATTAATTAATTAGGATTCAATAAGTAATGATAGTCCCATCGATAATCGTGAAACCCAAGAGAAGTATGATGAAAAATGGGTAACACTAATTATACTAACGAAACCTACATAAACTTTATCTGTAAATTACCAAAACCATTTGGAATGAGTCACTTATTCACTGAATTACCGAGGCATACAGTATTCTTGACCTTTTCCCTCACTTCTCCCTACATTCTCTCCATATCTCTCTCTCTTCCTCTCATTTAAGTTTAACTCTGGTATTCCAGTGACACCATGACTAATCCCTGACTAACCTCATATCTCCAATTCTTCCTCCCGACCTCACCGGATCATTCATCAATCCTCAACCCAGGAAGTTCCGTCACCCACCAGACTGTGGACTCGCATACACTTGGCTCTATTTACTTCACTAGATCCACATCTTACCTTTCGCCTCCTCCTTATCAGTCTTCCTTTCCGGTTCCTACAACTTATATCATTGTTCTTTTCTCCTCTTCCACTCGGTCATCACTTCTCCAATCTCCTCCTACTTCCCTACTACTTACTCCCCCTGCGGATTCTCCCCGACCTCCCCTTCCTCCCTCCATCGCTTCCTCTATCCTCGTCTATCTTACCGGCCCGGTTCTCCAACGCCCCGTTTTTTTTTCTTTACCTTTTTTTTTCCTTCTTCCGATTATCCTTTCCCTTCTGTTCACTTTTCCTAAAAAAGATAGCCCCACCTTAGCTTCGTCGATTTTTTGAATTCTCCCTCCCCCCATCACTGGTGGTTTCTGGGATCTTATTTCCCTTCTCCTCCCCTTTTTCCTTCCTTCTTGTGCTTCTTGTAGATGAATCGCCTCTTTGCCCGTGGTCTACATGACGCCCAGTTCCCCAGATGAGGCTCTCCACTTTCGAGGCAAGACCCTAACTCCTGAGAGCCCTCGTCCGCTACACGTCGCGGAACCCACCAGTATCCCGGTGCTGCAGAATCAAATGGACCCCATCTTCAACGATACCTCTACTTATGAGCAGTCCCCTCGTGACTCTTTCGCCCCAGGCAATTGGAATTCCCAGGCGCAACAGAATCATTTTCCTCAGTCGCAAGGTCATCATGCGGGGTTGGGAAGCGTGACGACCCAGGATCGGGACTATGAGACGGGGATGGGTGGAGGACGGCAGCAGCCACAACAACAACAACAACAACAACAGCAACACCAGGCAAAGCAAGCACCGCAGCACCCACAGGACCAAGGTAGTTCCCACATTGGCTCTTTTTTCACGGCAGATGGATCGGCGACCTGGAGTTATGATCGAACGTCGCTCCCATCCAGTCAGCCTGCAGTTTCTATGGAATCCCAGAACCCTTCAGCAGCACCAGCGGAATCTTCTCTAACTACATATCCTCCGTCAGATTATGCCGCCTCCCAACTAGCGTATCCCTCCCCCGATGTCCCTCCCTCTTCCTCTTCCCATATTACCCACGGCGTTTCCCATGCGAACGCGGTAGACCCCGCAGTCACCACCAGCTGGGCAACCCCGTCAGCGCCCGGTCGCCTAGATACTCAAGACTCCCTCCGTGACGCCCGTGGGGAGGACGGGGTGGACTTCCAGAACCTCCTTGATAATCTTCCACCCTCGTCGGCTGCCCCTTTTGCCCCTGCGGTCTCGGAGACGGCCCCCATGTCTGCCCACGATGCTGAGGATCCCACTCAATCTGCCCTCGGCCTCCCCCCTCGTCCCCCTCCCCAAGACAAGCCTTCCATCCACCCCAATTACCATCCCGGCGACGATATTCGCTCCTATCATCAATTCCAGCCGCCGTCGTCTAATGTGCAGCCCACCCAATCCACCCAGCAGAGTAATCATCCCCCATCCAATGCAGGGCTGCCCGGGGCGGCGGCGACGGGAGCCCCCGGGACGAGCGCGGCCGCTAGTAACTTGCCGCCTCCCCCCGCGCCCAGTTTCCAGCAGTCGTTGCCGACCGAGGGCCAAACGCCCCGATCCCCTAATCATAAGAATAATCGCGAGGATAGACAAGCGAACCGTCAGTCCAGGGTGTCCAGTGATGATGCCCCCTGGGGTCCGGAGGTCCAGAAGAAATATGACGAGTTTCTGCACAATGAGCGGATCTATGTGACGGAGGGTCTTTGGGACCGTTTTCCACACGGGTCGAGGTTGTTTGTTGGTTCGTCATGCTTGGCCCTTTTCTAGCTGGCGTGGGTGTGTTCTAATCCGTCGTCCGTGTTCTCCAGGCAATCTTCCCACGGAGAGGGTCACCAAGCGTGACCTATTCCATATCTTCCACAAGTATGGCAAGTTGGCCCAGATCTCCATCAAACAGGCGTACGGCTTCATTCAATTCCTCGAGTCCGGCTCCTGTAAGCAGGCTTTGGATGTGGAGCAGGGCGCCGTTGTGAGGGGGCGCAAAGTCCGTAAGTACATTCCGGAACGGACAATACGCGCACACGTCTCTCTTTGCAGACAGCTGATTGGTACTATCCCTCCCAGATCTCGAAATCTCAAAGCCTCAGCGAAACACCCGGCCCGGTCCCGCCCCGGCTGAGCCCTCCCGGGCGCCTCCGCCGCGGCGATCGAGGTCTCCGGAATACACTCGCGGTGGCTCCGGCAGCCGCAATCCCCGAGGCAGCGGAGACCGGTACGAGCGGGCGTACGAGTCTACTCGCTTGCCATTCAGCGACTTTCGAGACGAGCCGACCCACCGCAGACGTGATGACTATCGACCTCCCCCGCGATCGCCGTCGCCACGGCCGTTCCGCGGACGGGATGGATACCGATCCCGAGACCGGACTCCGGAGCGCTATGATCGACGGGACAGGCGGCGCTCACGATCGCCGTATGCGAGAGACCGGAGGTTTCGGAGTCCCAGCCCGCGGGGCCGTGGTCCGTACGAGGGCGATTACGAGCTGCCCGTCCCCAGGCGAGCTCCTCGTGACGTTCCGGAGGTGCAGATTCTGGTCTTGGAGGATGTTGATCGGTTAGTATTGACCCGTTGCGAACCTTGCTTTGTTCACCCAGCACTCATGTGTTTCGAACGCAGCAATTTCATCTTTTTCGTGGAGAACGCCTTTCGCAATCGGGGTCTTCGGGTAGATGTCCTGGCCCTCGGACCCCGGATCCCGCTGAACGCGGCCGTCCAGCGTCAGATCAGCGAGGGTGTGCTGGCAGTGGTCCGACTGGCACGGCCGAACCAATTCTCGAGGAAGATCCCGCTGCAGGTGTTTGATCGCAGTGCGGGGGTGGATAATGTGCGGTTCAACGGTGAGTCGGCCTCTGCGAGCTAATGACCCCTCCCGTCCGTGAACCTTGTCGCTGATCATTGCAATAGAGTACCCGGATGTTGAGCCCAGCATCGCCGCCGAGATCGTCTTTCACGCTCAATCGCTCCACCGCAGCGCGCCTCCGACCCCCTTCCCCCCTCCACCTCCAGCCTTTGGGGTCCCTCCCATGGCGCCGGCTCCGATCCCATCGACTCTAGTGCCGCCGGTGTCGATGCCTCCGGCGTCGATGCCAGCCCTCAATAACCCAGCCAATGTGGCGAACCTCATCACGTCGCTGGATGGCCCGACCTTGCAGTCTTTGTTGAGTACTTTGCAATCGCGGCCGCCGGCCGCCCCCGCCGCACAACCCCCCTTTACCGCGGCGCCCAATGTTGGGGGCCCTTCCGGGGTGGACCTCGCCAACATCCTCACTGCTGCCACCCGCCAGCCTCTTCCCGCCAACCCCCAGCAGGCAGTACCCCCGCAGCCCTTTCCACTGCCCCCGCGCAATGTCCCGGCGGTGTCGGACCCAAATCTGTTGGCGCTTCTTGCCAAGGGCTTGGGCGGACAGCCGCCACAAAACCAGGCCCCGGTTGGTCCTCATGTACAGCATCTGATGAACCAGCTGGGCAAATGGAAGCAATGATTTACGAGATCTCTTTTCCCCCTTCTCTTATTCTTTTCTCGTTTCCTTCTTTGTCTCCATGATCCCCAATGCATTTATTCTCTCTCTTCTCCTCATATTTGGGTCCTTTACGGTCTTTTGCATATGGTGTCGGGCGTTGGTGAGTCATTATGATTGAGGACTTTATGACATGGAATTCTAGCTGGCCATCGGTAATGGATGGCATTGTTCGTTTGGTTTTCCTCTTAATGTGTCCCACGAGTGCGGTCTTGCCCTGTGGTGTGGATGTCTCGTTCGAGACATCAAGACATGCGCTTTTCGAAGGAAAATGCATCTATCTTAATCGCATGGCGAAGTGTTGATTGGCTTGCTTTCTTGCTTGTTCTCTGTGTAATAATCTAGCATCTAGCGTTTACTTGCAAAATGGCACACAAGTCGGTAGTTTTGACGTGCATTGACGTTGATATACATTGAATAGTCATTATGCTAGCGTAGTAAGTAGATATTGTACAACACGAAGATAGGAGTACCTTCGATCTATAAAACAGCATCATCACCATCATTCCCCCATTGTTACCTTCCTTTCCTTGTTTCTCTTACCGCGTCAGTTATTTCGACCCCGACCAACCCTGAGTCTTCAAACTGGCAGCATCCTCCTTCTTGATCTTCTCGATCGTCTTATCCCGGTTATACTCCATCACGCGCTTCTCCTTGAAGTACTTGACCTGTTCCGACGTCAGTATCCGATTCGAGTGACATTCGCAGAATAGCACTAAATTATAAATGCACTGGATTGGATTGTGTAAACATACCCAAGCCTTGGCGCACGCGCCCTCAAACTCCGCCAGCTCACCCCCGCATTTACTCTGCGCCTCCTTCTCGTTCTTGAGCGCGTCCAGGATGTTGTTGTTATCCAAACAGGTGAAGAACTTATCGCGGCCTTCCCAGCATCGTTCGCGGGAGGTGCGGTCCGGCGCGATGCGGCCGCCGTCGGAGGCTTTCGAGGTGTCGGTGGAGGAGGAGGAGGACCAAGGGAGCCAGCCCATGTTGATATCAGGTTATCGGGTATAGGAGGGGGAGAAAATATAAGACGGAGACAGAGAGATTGAGTGGTGGCTGTTGATGATGTTTGGATTGAAGGTGCAGTTGGATGGATAACGTTGCGGCGGTCTTGGCGGAGCGGGCTGTTCTGCCTGGGGCGCTAAGGCTTGTTTAGGCATGGTTCCGTTCCGCTAAATCCGACAGAGTGTCTCCGTACTGTTAACTGTTAACTATCTTGATTCTGGGGATGGACTAGACAGCGGAGATTCCTGTCTATTTACTCCTTTCATCCACTCTCCTATCTACCTCTCCCCTACGTTAGGAAGAGTCTAAGACTTCCCGGGGATTATCATCCACGGATAGCTGCTATTACCATCTTTACTCCGACCCAACGTGCATGTGTCCCATCCCGCAACCCTTCCACCACCCGACCTCGCTGGTCCTGCGCCAGCCGCAGGATTGATCAATCTAATCCAATCCACACCACCTACCTGTCCGCGAGACACCCACACAAAGTTGATGCCGGTTCGCCGACGGCGTGCTGCGGGGGGCGCCCGATCCGAGCTGCCGCCGCTGAAGATCGTGCGCAAGATCCTCCTGCTACAGCTGGCTTACTATGCCTCCGCGACGGTCTTGATCCTGTTTACTACGCTTGTTTACGGAACGCCCTTCTCGCTTGATCTGGTCTTGAACTGGGATGCTATTCGTGGGGATACGACTATTGGGTGGATGTTGGGGTTCGTGTGGGTGTTGAATAGTGGGATAGGGTGAGCTTCTTATACTCCCCCTCTTGCGGCAGAACTAGGACTAACCCTCGCTATCATCTCAGGGTGATCTTCCTTCTCCTACTCGTCGTCCGATCCAAGCTGATCCCCGACTTCGCCTTGACCATCCATTTTCTACACATCATCGCTACCACCCTATACACGCATTCGATCCCTCGGAACTGGCTCTGGTGGGGTCTGCAAGGCGCCAGCGCCTCCCTCATGACCTTCCTCGGAGTCTGGGCCTGCCAGTGGCGCGAACTCCAGCCCATCAGCTTCGGCGGGATCGGAGGCTCCAGCAGCGGCAGCGGCTCAGGGCCGTCATCCCAACCAGCCGGAGACGACAACGGCGAGTCGTCACGCGGTCGCGGGCGCGCCCGGGATCTAGGCGGGAACGAGTACGAGATGGGCGAGATGAAGGTGACCGGTGATCAGGCGGTGTAATCCTACTTATTTTTTTTCTTATATATCTTCCATTTTTGATCCTGTCGTGTGTGCCCATCTCTTCGGGAAGGAGGGGGAGCATTGATCTATGACTTTTGATGTATACCCTACTGGCTTTCTGGGACCTGTATAGATGGCGTTCCTTTTGGGGGGTTGCTTCGTGTGCTGTGCGGTACGTTCTGGTCTTTTTATTGTATTCTGTTTAGTGGACGAGATTACCTTCTTATAAATAATAATTACATATGGTACATAATAGAGTCGTGATTCCAATTAGATCGTGTATTTACGGACTTTCGTCCGCTGCGCCTTACAGGAACATCTGCGCCTTACGGACACCTTCAACAATCCAATCAAGCAACGCGATCCGATTGCATTACGCAGTGGGGGAGGTGGGGAATCCTCTCAATCAAAGGGCGATAAATAGCTGGATTAAACCATTTTCCTCCAACAATCATTGACAGCTTGATATATATCATACCTTATATATCTCTATACGATTTCCCCCAATCACCAACAACATGTCAACAACAACAGCAACCACCCAACAACAACAAGTACACATCACCGCACCACCCAACCAGCAATACTCCCCCGCAGACAACGATGCAACCTTCCAAGCAACAGCGCGAGGCGACCGCAACGGCACACTCAAACTCCGCGGCATTCCCACCTTCACAGACCGGCTCGCCCAGCGCCAGTGGATGAAAGAGCACATGGCAGCTGCATTCCGCTTCTTCGGCAAGCAGGGCTACGGCGAGGGCATCTCAGGCCATATCTCCATGAGGGGTGGGATATCCCCTTCTTTCTCCTCACTTCTCTATTTCTGTCCCTGAAATAACCTATCCCTGACAATACACATGAGTAACTAATTCGATGATTGATAATGATGACAGACCCCGTCCAAGAAGACCACTTCTGGATGAACCCCTACGCAAAACACTTCTCGGCAATGAAAGCCTCGGACCTGGTCCTCGTCGACGCGGAGGGCTACGTCGTCGACGGCGGCAACCAGGCGCCTATCAACGAGGCGGGCTTTATGATCCATTCGGAGATTCATCGCGCGAGGCCGGATGTCGTTGCTGCGGCGCATACGCATGGTGTTTATGGGAAGGCGTGGAGCGCGTTTGGGAGGGGGATTGAGATGTTGACTCAGGGTTTGTCTTGTCTTTTCTTCTTCTTGATTCGCTATCTTGGGGGATTAGGATGGATGGGATGGATAGGTTGGGTATGCTAACGAGACCTCCGGGCAGATGCGTGCAACTTCTACGGCCGACTAGGTGTCTACGATAGCCACGGGGGAGTGGCACTGGCGCAGGAGGAAGGTGAGAGGATTGCGAAGGCGTTGGGGGAGAAGAATATTGCGTGTATTCTACAAAACCATGGGTGTGTCCTTTTTACCGCTGGGCTCTGTTCCCTTTATCCAGATTTATCGACTCCTGAGTCTAACCCTAAAGTCTTCTTACCGTCGGCCGCACCGTGGACGAAGCCGCGTTCCTCTTCTCCAGTCTGGATAACTCGTGCCATGCGCAGTTGCTTGCTGATGCGGCTGCTGCGAATGGGGTGCCGAAGAGGGTTATTGATCATGAGGTTGCGCAGTTTACGGCTGATGCGGTTCAGAATCCGGTGTGTTCTTTTTCTTTTCCCCCATCTCATATGTTTTACTCCGAAATTGAAGAAAGAAAATGTGTGTACTAACTGCACAGCACAACTTTTATACCGAGTTCCAACCTGAGTTTGATCTGATTGTGGAGGAGTCGAATGGAAGGGTTCTTCAGTAGGGGTTGCTTTGGTTGAATGGTTGAATATTTGTTATGAACTGCAATGAAATGAAATTGATTGTGATTGCTTGATGTTTTTCCTTTATCTGATGGTCTACATCTCGCTAATATTCTCGAGAAGCTGCCTTGATGCTAATATACAGATAAATATCTGCTAGCTCGGATTACTTTTATCTCCAACCATCGTTTCAAGTCCAGCTCCTGCAACTTTGGACCGTCTGGACACATACAAGTTGGACTCGCCGTCGAGATTGCATTTCCTTGAGACGCAAACCCTCGATATCTACATCTCGAAACTATCAGTCTGACCCATCGTCCGTTTCTTTCATACAGTGCCTTGTTCGACTACTGACCGGTCGACTCTTCTTTGTTGGACGCGAGTCCTAGAAAGAGCCTTTGATCTACAAAGCCATTAAGTCTTTGTTTGTCTCATACTGGTTTGTTCATTTGTCTCATCTTGTCTCGTTTCTTTGTCTATACCTCCGAACAATGATCTTGTCACGATTTGAACTATGACTCGTGTCACCTATAAATTATCATCATCCAGTCCTTGAGATCGAATCCATCAACTAAAACACGACCATCACCTACAATCTACGACAAACGCCCAGCATGCACGCCTGCAAATCCTTCCAAGACCTCCCGGTGGACATCCTCCTGTCAATAGCTGACAACCTCGATCTGCAGGATCTCTTCACCCTCATCCACACCCTCCCACACCTAGCACCCTACCTTAGCACCGCTCACATGTCTACACAGGAAATTGTCAAAGGGACCATCCTGCACCTGCTCGCCGAAGAGCACGGCACAAGGATCGATCTGTTCAAGACGGCGGTGCACAAGATCCAAGCCCCCCAGATCAACGCCCAAGACATCTACCGCCGCACCGCCCTCTCCACCGCCATCTGCTTCTACAAGATCTCCATGGTCGACATGCTCCTGCAGCACCCCGACATCGACGTCAACCGCCCCGACATGTACGGCATCCCACCGCTGCAACTCGCCGCCATCATCGGATCCACCTACATCATCAGCATGCTCCTCGACCACGACAGCATCGACACCAGTCTCCCCCTCGTCCCAGGCGGCCAGGCCCTCGCCACAGCCGCCCGGCAAGCCCTCAAGGCCGGCCAAAGGGACCAATACCACGCACTGCTGGAAGGTCTCGTCACCCAGACCCGGCTCCACGTCGACGACCGCGACAACTTCAACTACACGTTCCTCTCGAAAGCCGCCGAAGCAGGCGACGCCACAATGGTGAGTGTCCTCCTAATGATGCTAGACGATGACCTCGCCAGCAGCTCGCGCACAAACCCCACCCGCCGCCCCCTGATCAACGTCAACGCCGAGACCCTCAGCGGCTCGACCCCCCTCACCTACGCCCTCATCCTCAACCACAAGGCCGTCATGCAGCAGCTCATCCCCCGCCCCGACGTCGACGTCAACCTGCAAGGCTTCTGCCGCCCCCCACTAGTCCTAGCCATCCTGCAAGGCGACACAGACACCGCGAAGCTGCTTCTCGCGCGAGGCGCCGACCTCCACGCCGACGCGCTCGATTTCACAGGCCGCACACCGCTGGCCTGCGCCGCGGAGTGCGGGCACACGGAGATCGTACAGCTGCTGCTCGAGCGCAGCGACGTCGACCCTCACCGCGTTGACAGCGATCGCTTGACCCCTCTGCTGCATGCGATCGCCGCGGACAAGTCCGACGTCGTGATGATGCTGCTGCGCCGTGGGGACGCCGTCTGCTGCTCGTTCGACCTGGTTCTACACTCGCCGGCCATTTACTGCGCGGTGCTCGAGCACCCGGAGTGGCTGGCGTTGTGGCCCCGCTGTGATTGTTTGGGCTGTGGTTACTATCATCTGAATGATCCGGCTTATGTGTCTCGGCCTGATTGGAAGCAGTATGTGCGGGACTATTATTTGAAGTAGTAGCTTGATTTATATAGACCTGTGTGTGAGGTTATAGAGACAATAGACTTGGATGTGAGGTTATAGAGATAATATAAGCGTGTGGTTGGTCGTGTCTGCATTGTATAGTAGGTAATATGACGGTGATGCCGATCACCCGACCGCTTGCTGTATCCGGTCTAGCGCATATCTTATCGTCTACACTCTACGGAGTATCCGTACAGTACATAATTTTGCCTCATCTTGTCATCGTTCCAATTCCAACACTCGCAGATATACAAAGAGTCGCCCTTTAACCTATAAGTTCACATTACAAATTTTACAGCAAGGAAATTGAGGGAGTGAGGAGAAGAACGAGAAAACAAATTGAACATGGCAGCCTCACTAGCCCCCGAGTGCAACGAGATCAAAGAGTGCGTTCGTCCTAGTCTATTAAGATTATCTTCTATCGTCTAGTATATCCTATTCTCCCGTTCTCCACATGGAGATGGATATACAGAACGAAAGAAGAAAGAAGAAAACTCAAGACAAGACTTGCTAACTTGTCTCGCAGGAAATACGATACCTGTTTCTTGAAATGGTACAGCGAGAGTATGTCTCTATTCTTTTCTTCTTCTATCCTGGCCCTTTCTCTGATGCGTGCTGTGCATTGTACTGCGCAGCTCATTCATGTGTGTATGGTGTATACTAACAACGACCAGAATACCTCCGAGGAAACACCACCTCGAACGAATGTGAGGAGCTCTTCTCTAAGTATAAGGCTTGCTTGAGTGTATGTCCTTCCTCTTCCTCCTCTTTCATATATATTTAAAGAATATTAAAGGAAGAATACTAACGAGACTAGAAAACCCTCAAAGACAAAGGCATCGACACGATGCTAGAAGACGTGCGCAAGGGGAACAAGGAGCTGGATGCGGAGTTTTTGAAGCGTTGATTACTTACTTCCTTATTTCTATCTTACTATTGATTTACCTATTTATGGTTTTGCACTTTTGAGGTTGTTTTTGTTTTGTTTTTGGTGGTTGATTGGTTTGCTATTTACGCGTTGACTCCGCTAGATGGGTTGCATTGTACTATATATACAGCGTGATTGATCTGTATTTGTATTTTCTTGGGTTTGGTTTTTGGGTTGGGTGCTACTGTGTATGAATAGCTCTCTTCTCTGGCGATAACGTCTCTTATTCTTATCATTTACCTTATGATTCACCTTACTATCTATACATATGGCTATGGTTAAGCTCGCGTATCGAATATGAAAGATTAATTAAGAGTATATCATACATCACCGATGTCCCCTTCTCCTTACATCCCCATGCCCATGCCCATACCCATACCCATGTCCATACCCAGACACCTTTACCCCCCCATTCGCAGACCCGCCCATCCCACCCCCAGATGAAGACGAACCGCCGCCTCCCCCACTTGCTTTCCGCGGCTGCGTCAGCATCGACCACACCTCGGCCATGCCGGCCCGCCGCGCAGGCAGCATGCTGTACTGCATGCTGTACAGGTTGCGGCGGTGGATGGGCGGCACGAAGCGGCCTGTCATTAGGCAGAAGATGACCCGCGGTGAGAGGTAGTGTTTGCGGAGGCGTTGGCCGAGTTGGAAGTATTGGTCGAACATGGCGCGGAGGGCGAGGGGAATGGACTTTTATTTATAAGCATCTTTTCAATATGTAGAAGAAGTGGAGGGAAGGAAAGAGGGGAGGGAAGTTACCTCTAGGTGGATGTAGGGTTTTGTGGATGGTGGGTCGGAGGTTTTGTCTTGCTCTTCGCGGAGCTCGAATCGGATACCGCCTGGTTTGGTTAGCTGGTCTGGATCTGTCGATAGACAGAAAGATAGGAGAAAGTACCTGGTAGCCGCCGCGAGTCCTTCACGCGCAGCATCAGCGCAAACAGCGGAAAGTGGTTCAAAAAAGCTAGACACGTATCGAGGGCCGCCTTCACGGAGATGATGAGCATGCGCGCGGTAGCGAAAGCGAGGTAGAACACGATGACCGTCGGCAGGAGGAAGAACAGGACGGTGAAGAGGATGGTCCCGATGAGCAGCTGATCCAGATCGTAGTCGCACGAGTCGATCCGGTTGCGGAGCACGTTCCGCTTCTTGCCGCGGAAGAGGTGGAAGAGGGAGATGATTATCGTGAGCTGCCAGTTGAAGATGCGCGCGGACGCGATGTAGAACGAGTAGATGTGGACTGTGAGGATCGATACGAGGTCGGAGAAGAGCGCGATGGGCATGCTGGCGCCGGCGAAGCTGGAGCATCCCACTACGTAGATTATGTGGGGGAGGTAGGGCTGGAGGTTGGCGATACATGCTGTTTTCGTTAGTGAGGACGGCACAAAGCGAGACTTAAGTCACTTACCTGCCCAGTTCTCGATCACCCATAGGAACAGGTCACCCAGAAAAGCTGCGAGCTCGTTGTTCAGCTTCAGACCTGCCGGCCAGTCCATCAGCCATGAGATGGTCCGCTGCAGCCCCTCCACCGTCCACCCTGTGAGGACGGTGTTGATCTGGAACGCCACCCAGTGCGCATTGTCAATGATATACGATCCCAGCGCGATCCCGATAATCACATCATTGGCAACCAGCCACAGGCTGTTATAAAATCGAATATAGTCCGGATGGCTGGTGGTCACGCTCTCCCAGTTATCCTTCCTCTGCCGCAGCTTGACATACTGTATGGGCCAGTAGCAAAATTGCTGGAGTCGGATATCCACCTGCTGCGCCGTCGCGGATATATCTTTCAAAGCCGCAGCGTCAGGACGAGCGCGCCATTCAAGGACCTGCAGGACGACCTCGGCGATGGTACGGTGGAATACCAAGCCGACGACAAAAACGCGGGTGGCCACGGGCCAGATCCATTGCCAGAACACGTACGACACCCCAAGAATGAATAGATCCCACAGCGTGCTGGCGGATTCTACCACACGCTCGCCCACGCTCATGCTCCTCTTGACGCGGATCCCGATCAAGTGGCTGTTCTTCTCCATGAGCTTGGCCATCTCGTATGCGCAGTTGACCTGGTTGACGATGAGGGGCAGCGCCTGCTCCTTGGCTGACGGCACATGCTTGACAACCGTATGGAGCTTGAGCTTCTCGACCAGCATCTTAGACTTGGCTTTATCCAGTTCCTCCTCCGTCTCGATCTCATCGGCCAGCGCATCCGACTTGTCCACCGCGAGCGCCTTATCCCCGAGTGCCAGCGAGATCGGATCCAACGACATATACTCCATTCTCGTCGGGTGGGGGCGATGGAACATGATAACTTGAACCGAAAGGTTGGTCTCCGGCGGACAGTGTATCCGGGGAACTTTGCTCGAGGGGTGGGTCGTCACATATAGATGCGAAGGATTGAACGCCGTCGTCGGAGGTTCTCTCGGGTTGGTCGATCCCAGAACATGCATGGCAGACCGACCACATAGCGTAAATATCCGCACTATCGGATGGGGGCTGTTGCGAAAGAGGATGCCCGCACGGAGCGCATTGTCGACATTTCGAGGCTATCCGACCCCCAAAAAAAACCGTCAATAAACCATGTTCATAAACCTCTATCGCGCGCACGGCAAACCCACCTCGACATCCTCCAGCACAGTCAACACAAACAGGTCTAGCTCCGAATTCCGCCAGCCCACGATCACCCCCGGCGCCGAAGACCGCGGTAGGTCGTATGGCCAGAATACCCGCAGCAATCCATCGCTCATGAGCATGTTGTCATCCTTCGGCGTCGATCAGAAGGAGCCTCGACGGCGGAGTTGTTCGCGAGCAGAGACGCCCAGATTCTCGTAGCGTGGGTGCTGTAAGACCGGCGATCAATTAGCCTCCACCTCTGTACGCGCGCGCGAAGCAACAAATTCCACCATAACATACCAGTTCGCCTTCCCTCGCAGCCAAACGATTGATGGGAAGAACCAAGAGGAAGAAAAAGACCGAGAGGAGCAGGAAGCCTTTAGCGGTTCGAGTCTGTTGGGTGCGCGAACCAATTGATTAGCTCCGATCATGCACCACGCTCCCCGAGCCAAGTCGGGGAGGCGGGGGATTCGCGAGGGGCTGTGCCAACATACCACGACGCCGTGATCCCACGCGAAGATGGCCAATTCGTAGAGCCGAGTGACTAGATCCCACCTCGCGGTGATGTAGCCAGCTACGAAGATTCCGAGAGTGAGGATAGAAAAGGGGTGCATGAATTAAGCTTGTTGTTTGTCGGTTCAGGTTGCGCGCATAGCTGGTTTGGGAGTAATAGGTTCGACAACGGTATCAGAGGGACAAACAGATTGAAAGAATGACGACCGCAAGAAATTAAATGAAAGGGAATGAGAAAGACGGGTCGAGGGAGGCAAGATGGTGAGCGAGGGGGAGAAGACGGAGATGTTGCTGTCCCGCATAACATCGGGACTCTCACCGCGGAACACGTGATTCTATACATGGCCTCGACCCTGCAAAACTTCGACTTGAATATACGTCCGTAGCAGTTATGATAGAAAGAATACTATATTAAAACTGAAAAAAGTCAATTTATATTCCATCATCTATCTCGCAGACATTAATCCATATTTTAACAACCCAACGCCCAGCCGCTATCAACCGAACAAAGCCCATCCATATCTCTCTCTATCGACAACTATAACGTCTTAATTCCCTGGAACATCTTATTCGCCTGCAACTTCTCATCCGCCTTGACGAGGTCGCGCATGATCTGCCGCTTCTCCTCGACAGAGAGGTTCTTATCCTCCGTGTCAGCCTTCCACTTAAGCAGCATCGCCTTGAGCAGCGCGCTGCCCTCCTCGACCTCCTCCGGCGAATACGGATCGACGGCCATGGCGGACTGCTGCTTCTGTCCCTGGTTCTCAGAGGTAGTAAAGTCCTCGAGCTCCTCTGCCTTCTGGCGCGCCATGTTGACCACCTTGTCCGGGAAGCGCACGAGCTCCGCGACGTGAATGCCGAAGGACTGGTCGCAGATGCCGGGCTCGACGCGGTAGAGCAAGGTGACTTGGTTCTGCTTGGCTTTCTCGGCGTCGGCGTCGGCATCCTGCTCCGTGCCGTCCCCGATGAAGGCCACGACGTGCAGGTTCTTGACGGACTTGGGGTACCGGTCGGCGAGGGCGGTCAGCTCGTGGAAGTGTGTGGCGAAGAGGCCGAAGCAGCGGATCTCGGTGACGATGTGTTCGGAGATGGCCCAGGCCAGGCCGAAACCGTCGTAGGTGCTCGTGCCGCGGCCCAGCTCGTCGACGATGATCAGCGACTCGGAGGTGGCGGACTTGAGGATGTTGGATGTCTCGAGCATCTCCGCCATGAAGGTCGAGACGCCCTTGAGCTGCGAGTCGCTAGCGCCTACACGGGCCAGAATGCAGTCGAAGATGGTCAGCTCCGCCTCGGTGCAGGGCACGAAGCAGCCGGTTTGCGCCATGAGCGCGATCACCCCGATCTGCCGGATGTAGGTCGATTTGCCGCCCATGTTGGGGCCCGTGATGATCAGGAAGGACGACTCGTCGCGGACGAGGGCCACGTCGTTGGTGATGAACGAGATGTCATCCTGCATCTCCATGCAGGGGTGGCGCGCCTCCTTGAGCACGGTGTTGCCTGTGCCGCGCGGGTGGATGGTAGGGCGGACGTACGGCGTCGGGGCATGCACGGCCGAGTGCGCAAAGCTGACGATGACGTCCAGGTGTGCCAGCACGCCGGCCAGCTGCTCCAGCACGGGGCAGTACGACGCGGCGACGTTGACGACCTCGTGGACCAAGCCCGTCTGGGTTCGGTTGTAGTTCGACGACAGCTGGTCGTGCTCGCGGCGGAGGGACTGCATCCTCGAGGTGGTGAAGTACACGCCGTTCTTCTGCGTCGAGCACTCCTGGTAGTGCTTCTTGTTGCGAATGCAGCCAGCCTCGTTGCGCGTGAGCCGGAAGCACCACCCGTGCACGCGGTGGTTCTCCAAGAACAACTTCTTGTCCATGTCCTGGTCGAGATCGCTCGCGACGGTGCGGTGTTCCGTGTGCATGTCATGCCGCAGCTTATCCAGCTTCTTGCGGATGACGCGCAGGCTCTCGTCAAACTCGGGCTTGATAATAAACTCGTGGTTCTCCAGCGCATCCAGATCGACCGTCGTCTCGACCATCTCCTCCAGCTTCGCCAGGCTATCCGAGTGAGCCCGGAGCTTAGCCCCGTACTCGGTTTCCAACGGCGTCTGGTACTGCTCATCCATCACATTCTCCAACGAACTGACAAAGCCCGGCAGACGGATAGACACCTGATACACGCGTACCACATCCTCCAAGTTCGCCTGCTTCCGCTGGAACCGCTTCGCCAGCCGGTACAAATCGGGAATCGACCGGAGATGCTCCTCCTGCATTGTCTGGCGCAGCTCAGTGTTCTCCACAAACGCCTCCACCAACTGCTGCCTCTTCATAATCTCCTGCCGATCCATAAGCGGCTGCTTCAACCACTGCGCCAGCAGCCGACTGCCAACAGGCGTCTTGCAATGGTTCAGCAACCCAAACAGGCTCATCGTGCGCGACCCGTCCCGCGGGCCAGGCATAAGATTCAGCGCGCGCAGCGCCGACGAATCCAGCTTCATAAACTGCGATAAGTCATGCTGGTAGAGCTGGTACTGGCCGAAATTCGTCGGGTCGGACATAACACCCAGGTACTTGATCAGCGCCGACGCAGACCCCATCGCCAGCTTCAGCTCCGTCTGCGGCAGCGTGCCCGCAGAGCGCTCGTCCCTTAGCAGCCGCGTCAAGTCCTGCTCGATATCCTTGACGCCAAAGTCGGCCACAGGACGCTCCGAGATCGCAATGCCGCAGCTGTCCGCGATCGTGCGGATCTTCGCCAACTCGGCATCCTTGCGATTCACATCCGCCTGCACCAGACACTCCTTCACACCGAGCTGAATAACCAGCGACTCGAAGTTCGAGTAGATATCATTATCCAGGAACTCGCTCACGCCCAGCTCGCGCACACTCGCGTCCGCAAAGCAAACACCCACACTGCGGCCCTCAGCCGCCTTAGACGAGATCCGCACGGAGAGTATGATAGGCGCCGACTCCGCGGAGAGCCCACTACCCACACTCCCCAGCTCCTCCTCCACATCCTGCAGATTCCCCGGACTAGCCTGCTTCACGAGCTTCCACTGGCCCTTGCCAAAACCGCTAGAGCCCCAGATCTCAATGCGCTTGTTCAGACGGAAGAGCGCCTCGCGGAGGAAGTTTCGGAACACGGTCACGCTCATCGTGACGGAAGGGAGGCCGCCCGTCTCGCTGCGCCCGAGGTTTCGGAGCACGGAGGTCGTCTTGTAGACGGTGCGGGCGATGAATTCGGCTTCGGCGCCGTGCGCAGAGTACCAGTCTCCGCGGTCGAATACGCGGATGGTGTCATTGTTGTTGTCGGCGGTGGAGAGGTTGCGGTAGAATCGGATGAAGCCGACTTCGTCGTCGACCTGCGGAGGAGGTCAATCAGCAAGGGTCTTGAGGACAATTAGTTGTGGATTGCACTTACTCTGAGATCTGGCCGGGAAGACATGTTTCCAGCAATGTCTCTACAATATACAGTCGAGACGGGGTTTCCAGCTGGGTTGGAAGAGATGAAGAATGTCTCTCTGGGTTGAAGATGATGTATCAACTGTTGGCGACGCCACGACGCGCGCCGCGGCGTACGGTCACGTGGACCCGCGTCGCGCCGTAAGTGGTTTCTGCCTCAGGCTGGATAATCAATCATGGCTGCCGATAAGATTACTTGCAGTATTATTGCGAAAACAATTGTGATCATGTGTTCAATTCAATGCTATTATTCATATAGACAATATAAAATGCGCTCATAAAAAAGGAAAAGACATGCTCATGCTACTCGGTACAGGTAAAAAATGCCATCATAACGCCGCACATGAGGTATCATCCAAAAGGAAATAAAGCAAAAAGAAAGACGCTATCCAATCATGCGTTATACCCGAGACTCCAGTGCAGATGCATCTTCCTCCGCCAGGTTCAATTGACACGCCCTAGCCCCAATCTCCTTTGGATGGACGTCAGAACAAGACTTGAGGACCACGGTCTTGACCTGGTTGACAGCGACGAGATTCACCCAATGACCAGCAACGTCCGCCCGAGCCATAATCTCCAGGCAAATCTCCACCTCGCGGTCTGCGATAGGATTGCGTGTCGAGTGCTGCACGCTCCGGATGATAGTGTCCATCCGATGCGGGGAGCGCTGGGCGGCCACCATGGCTGTCGGCCCGGAACCAACGTACCCAGCGGGCCGCAGCAGCGCCACAACGGAAGCAACCTCCTCCACGCGCTGCGCCGCCGCCTGGCGGAGGAGAGCCTCCTTCGTGGGCGGCGGCGGCAGCTGAGACTGCCGCATCTGCTTGCTCTTGATGCGATCCAGAAGCCCCATGCGGCGGTTGGTCGTGGCCCCCACCGACTTATCAGTCGGGGCATCCGTCTGCAAAGGTTCCCGCTGCTTCTCCGTCTTCAGCCGGATCACCCCGCCCTTCAGATCCTGCAGTCGCTGCTGTCCCTTGCGGAAGGCCGTGAATGGAGTCAGCGACTCGTGGACGGTCGCAACGCCCAGCGTCGCGATAAGATCCACCCGGCTCTCGTCGCCCTCCACTGCATCCAAGGCCTTCTCCCAGAGCAGATCCACCGCCTGCTCAAACTGTTCCTGTCGCTCGGCCTCGTCCACCGCATTCTTCTGTCCAGGACGGCTCACCCGCTCCAGACAGACCCGTCCCAGCCCATAATTCGCCAGCCGATAGCCAGAGCCCGAGAAGTCCGCCGCCCCCTGCTCGCTAATCCAGAGCAGCCGCTGCAGATCCTTCACCGTCACCTTCCGCTTTTTCCACAACCGCTCAACACTAGGCATAACCTCTCTCACGTCCGCAGGCGTCGCAGGGCCATGGTGCGCCGCGTGGAACGTCATCGCCTTAAGAAACGCCGCATGCAACCTCAACAGATCGTGCACCGCCGGCGGCCGCGTATCAAGGATCTCACACGCCGGTTCCTGCGCAGAACGAGCCCTGGCCCGTTTCGAAGGGGTATTCGGAGTCGCGGGTCGGTCGGACCCTCGGACACTGCCGGACGCAGACCGCGTGGGAGAGGCATAGTGGCCGCTCCGGGGGGTCGACAGATGTAGCTCACTGAAACGCAGCGACTTGGACGGGGTCTCGGCCTGGGCGGGCGCGGCGGCGATAGCGTCGATGGTGGTGGTGGTAGTGGTGGTGGTGGTGCCTTCCCCCTTTCCAAGCGTCGTCGTGGTCGGATTCCCCCCGTCAACATTTTCCAGCTCATTGAGTTTCCGTTTCTTGGAAGGCGAGGCCGACAGCTCTTTGGCAGATTGACGAGTAGAAACCCCAGGCTTGGTCGCTCTTGCGAAGCTCTGTATGCCGACCTGTCCGCGGGCAAGGGCGGCGGCTGCCTGTCGGGTAGAGGTGCGCGGCATGGCGACTACCCTGATAAGGGAGGATTAAAATAGAATAGAATTGATTATAGACGAAACATAGAGGGAAATAAGGCAGGTAGGTATGCACAATGGTAAGTTGCGATGGGTGGGTTATTAGTGTTTATTAAAGTGGTGGAGAGCGAGAATGGAGCTGAAGAGGAAAAGGGTTTTCTTTTGTTCCCGAGTGGAGCGCGTCGCGCGGGGCGCGTGTTGGCGCGACGGGCCGAATGGGGTTATATTACTTGATCGATTGGGAATATTGATGGGGAAATGATATGTAAATGCGAAAGAAATAAAGGAGAACAAGAAGAGAAAGAAAATAGTGGTTTTGATTTTGTCAAATATCTTATTTCATGGGCACAATGCACAATATAACTGTGTCAACCCAGCACCCCATCCCTCCGGTAATCATGGAATGCAGCATTCCTGACTGAGGTCTAGAGTGGCTCCCAGACTGATAGTATGAGGTCCATGCACTTTATCCACAATAGTTCGTTGTGTTGGAGACAGCTTAATCCGCTAGACTGCGGAGTAGATACATAGTATACACCCAGAATTGTATATACCCAGACTCCGTAGATACTACAACGCCTACCATTCTACCATCCATAACCAATCCAAAGACATCAATAATCAAGGATACAGTACACTTGCACAGTAAAAGGAAGAAAAAAAAATGATAATAAAATGAATTGAAATAAATTAAGCAATCTGCGCCCACAATTAACAATCACCTCAATAGTAGCAGTACACTCCACACAACCATCTCAAATGCACAAGCAGACCATACTACATACTACCTAGGCAATTCCGATGATATTCATGACAATAACAACCTATTTTCCAAACCACCCCGACACCTTCCCCTTCGCCTCAGCCGCCTTCTCCTCAACGGACTTATCCAGCTTATCGATCCCCTCCCGGGTCTTGATCGTCGCGTCCTGGCGCATCTCATCCAGTTTGTGGATTCCCTCCTGGGCGTCTGTGGTTGCTCTGGCGCGGGCTTCTTTTGCCTGTCTCTTTGTTAGTCATTTATCTTTCTGGGGTTTCTCTTCTCTTCCCCGGTTAAGAGACATGTTCAGGGACATGGGAAGAGATGTTGTAGAAGATCGAGGAGGGGAAAGTAACATACCGCCTTATCCACATTCGAGCCCAGCTCGGCGCCGGCTTTCTCTGCCGACTTCTCCGAATGAGGGAGCTGGTGTCGTGCCTTGTCTACGTCGACTGTATCGGGAAGATCGTCAGTTATTGTTCAATATACTGTAGAACACAGGGTGTCTGGTCGAGGAGAAAATAGGAAAGAAAGAAACAAAGGAGGAGAGGGAAATACCTCGAATCTTATCCCCGGCCTTAGATGCATCCCCACCAGCTTGGTAAAGGTAGTACCCGATTCCCGCAAACGCAGCGAGACCACCGTAGAGAGGGGCGCGGCTTTTCGACATTGTGATTATCTGGTGGAGGTAGTAGACTGATAGGTTGTAGGTAGGTAGGTAGGTAGGCAGTAGTATGTAAATAGGATGGAAGGAATGAGCGGTTAAAGAAGGGTGGTATTCAAAGATATAGACGATAGAGTAGTAAAAAAAGTAAATGACGAGCTTGGGAAAAGCAGCAAACTTAAATACCCAGCAGGCGACCAGACTCGCAAGAAAGTCCAATGACAATGCCTACGTCAAGGCCAAACCTGGAATCGCAGGGAAAGGCGCGCGGAGAAGCACGGGGTATGACGTCGAACTGGGACGCCGGTCCATCTCTGCGCTTTTGACTGGCCCCAACTTGGGGTTCGAACCACACTGGAGACACTGCGTGCTACCTAATTGATTACCTCACTAGGTCTTGGTCGAGACGGTGTACACTGGATGATTCAACGGGTGGTCGCTGATTGGTACTGATGGGGTGGTTTCCGATGGTGAAGTTGTCGGGTACTATGGTTTCATCGACGTCACTTGGCTATTCTTGTTTGGTGAGTCTATTGCTGTTTCAAGACTTTTATCGGACTTTCTGTAGCCCGGACACCATACAGCTGTTCGTTCGCTCTACACGCTTCAACCTACAAGAAAGAATGAACTGACCACTGTCTGATATAAACTACCGACTTTACACGACGCTGATCCGCAAACAGATGTAGTAAAACAAGCAAAGCCACCCCACGACCACAATAGGAAATTCCATCACCTGAACCTCACGGAACTCGGATTCGAGGCCGGGGTATCTTCATGCTATGGACAATCCCAGTTCCAACGCCAAACATGCAGGGACCAGCAACACCCACCGACAGAAAGGGAACACCCGAAAGAAGACTGGTGGTCGGTGAAAACAAGGAAACAAACTTGAAAAGTGGAGACGGCGCAAAGCCCCGGGAAAACGAGATATATAGGAATCGGACGATAAAAAAAAAAAAAAAGATAAGATCAAGATAAAAAAAAAGGCCCCTGTATTGACAATAAGAAATCCGTCGCGTATGCATCAGTCATCAGTCATCACATCATGAAATTCCCCCCAACAGCGATATACCGGCAAAAGAGAACTTCCTCCAAACGATGGGCCAAGGGTCTAAAAACTCCAAAGCTATGTCCAAACGGAAAGATAGAACGAGGGTGGAAAAACGAATGAGGAGAAAAAGGGGGAAAAGGTCCGGTGGTCCTCAATATACAACACCGACCGTACAGGAATCAGGAAAGAGGGCGCCAGTTGCCAGTGGCGTCCACACTAGAGCAATGCACTTCGACAGACCGATCGAACGGATCGCATCCGCAGCTGGTTTTTGTTTGGTTGGTGACCTGGGCGTATGCTGTGTATGCTTATATATATTGACTTTCGCGGTCGAAGTGACCGTCCAAGTGGCCGCCTAAGTAACCAGTCTCGTGGGCCCACGATTCTCGTTCGTCGCCACAGCGACCAGCGCCTCCAGCCGATCCATCCCGGATTTGCGCTCGGAGGCATGACTGAACAGGTCGGGCCGCGAGTCATGTGCGCCGTGATAGCCATCAGGCTGGGGTGCCTGCAGTGCAAATTAGCGGCCTGGCCGTTATCGAAGGTCCGGGTAGCGGGGGCGTACTGTCTGAGACGTCTCGGACGCATAAGGAGTATGATGGGGCTCGACGTATCCGTTGTTATGCACGATGGCGGGATGATACTCGAGCGACGCGGTGGACGGGGTATGGACCCCCTCGCTGCTGCTCGAATCCTCCGGGGATGTCCGGGTAGCCTGCGAACTATTTGTTGCATTGCTGTAGCTGGGGGCGTGACCGCTGGAGCCGCGATACTCCGGCGCCTGCGGCTGGTAGGACGACGACGGGCGCGAACCGACGCTGTGCAGTTCGGCGATGGTTTGCTGGCCCCAATTCGAGGCGTCCCGCTGGAGGGGCTTATCACGGATGTGGAGTCCCGTCAGGTTGGTGTGCAGGGACATGTCCCACGAGACGTGACCCCGACGGTGGCCGGGACCCGAGATGGGGGGCGCCGGTCGCACCGACGGCTGCGAGTAGTTGAAGCCGCCCCCAAAGGAATGACCAGGCGGTGCGTTCGGATGGTCCAGCTGCATCGGACTGGATCGGCGGACGGGCGGGGTGAGGGGTCGCTGCGCAACCACCTTGTCGAAACTTTCGATGCCCGGCAGGCGCGGGGGTTGTTCTCCGGCGGCCTTGGCCCCCCCGGGGACCGCGAAGGACTCGTGCGTGGAGTAACCACCACCAAACCCACTGGTCGCCGGCCGGGGCGCCGCCGGGAACGTCGACGGATGCCAGGTTCGCCTCCGCAGGTCCGCGTCGGCTGCACTGTGAGCCCCCTCCTCCCGAGCGCCGGAATAGTGGGAGCTGGCCGGACTGGCGAAGGAACTTCTTCCGGGGGGGTACGCCGTCGGCGTCGCCGGGTTGGCATACCCAGCGGGCGGGTAGGCATTGACCGCCTGCGTCGTGAAGGGGTTCGCCCCGGTGGGCACCGAGAGACGACGCGCCGCGGTCTTCCCATCCCAAAAGCCCGAGGCGCGGGACGCGGCCGACATGGGTGACGCCACATGGGGACTCCCGCCGTGGCCGGCGAACATGTGGGAGGACGTGTAGGGCGAGCCACCCGTCGCGGGGCCGGGGAGTCCTCGGACCTGGCCCGGGGGCGTGCTGGGCGGGTCCCCGCGCGGATCCAAGGCCAGCCGGGGCCGCCCGTCGTTGGACATGATCAGCGGCGGGGGTCGACGGCGCAGTTCCTGGGGTTGGCTGTAGGTCGACGTCGCCGAGGCGATGCTGGAGGTCGAGAGGTTCCGGCTGTGGCCTCGACTGTGTGCCCCCTGACTGCCGGCCGTGCCCGCCCGCGCGCGACCCTGGGGGCGTACCCGGTCCGTCCGAATCTGGCGCTGGAATCGCGTCCCCGTGGCCGCGAGGGAGTCCCCCGGGATCTCCTCGTTGACATGCACCGTCTGGGCGTGTTGGCGCAGGTTATCGAGTCGGGAGAAGCGCCGGGTGCAGTGGCACTGGAAGGGGCGCTCCCCGGTGTGTTTGCGGATGTGTCGGGCGAGATGCTCACTGCGGGTGAAGCTAAGGTTACAGGGCGGGAAGTCCGTGCAGAAGAAGCGCTGGCCCTTCTTCTTCTTGGACGGCGGAGCGTTGTTGGACTGGTGGTTGGACTCGTGGTCCGAGCCCTCTCCCTCCGAATCCCCGGCGGCTCGGTCATCCACGCTCCCCTGGGACTCGGGGTGTCGGGGGGACTCCTCCTGAGCGTAATCATTGCGAGGCGTCCGGTCGTCCATCCGCGTGGGGGAGATCGATGGGTCCCGCGCATCAGGCATGCCCTTCGAGGCTGGACGGGGCGTGGTGGGCGTGGTGGCATCCTCCATGTCCCGATCCGGTGGGGGCGAGGTATTATTCACAGGTAAAAACGAAGACATATTGACAAGCGATGCAAAGGATCTATGTACGAATCGGTAGGAGGGCCGTCAGGTAAAACGTTTCCCGGCACACATGAACCTTCTCACGGTCCAAGGGGGGAAGTAGATGAAACGGATAGCGGAGAAAATGCGGTGACGATCAAAAGGATGCTGATTACTGAACCGATTTGCGCAAAACATGTCAGCAAGTGGATCATCGGTAGTCTTGTGCAAATGACACGGAGAGCAGTGGACAGGGAGAGGGGCGTTGCTTGTATTGGACGATGATCGGAACACTTACCACCACAGAGGGGGAAAAGTCGAATGAAAGTCTCCTGTCCGAGGGAGTGTGGGGGGGAGGGGGGGTGTGGTGAGGATAGTCAGGAATGTGGAATGTCGCCAGTGTTTCGACGAAGGTTGTTGTTCAACCGACTGCCCCGACCAGGAAGGCGAAGCAAGGGTGACCGTGGTTACGGGTAGTTGGACAGGATATCACACAGGAAATGGGAGCGGACCACCATTAGTATCGAGGAGACATGTCTCCCCGGTTCGATATGGCGAAAAGGGAGCGGCGACGAAGGTCGAGAAAGTAGCGGTATAGTCGCTTGTTGTTGTGGCAAGCCGAAATGGGAGAGAGGGGAGGATCAAAGATGATCCAAGATGATCAAAGGAGGGGAAGGATGGATGATGAAAGATGGAGGATGTGATCCAAGGATGACTTGGGAGGGTTTAAAGAGATTGGGGAGGGACGAGGAGAGGGGGGAAAAATGGAGTTGGGGAGGGACGAGGAGAGGGGGGAAAAATGGAGTAAAATCGAATGAAATAAATAAGAACCAGAATAAACAAGGAAATAAATAAAAAAATCAATGTTTTAAGCGTGGGCAGGCGTTAGTTCGGTGAACTTGGATTGATTTTCACAGCAGTTGCTTGTCGAGTCCTGGCCCTGGTGGGGATGATGACCGGTTTAGACAAAGAAGAGGGAAAAAAAGCCCCAACTAAATTTCCCAGATATCAGAATCAAATCAATCCAATGGAGATTTCACGATTCAACCATTTATCCAGGAAGATGGATCCGAAAAAGAAGCCCCAATCAACAGAATTATCCGTCAACAAGAATAGAAATCCAGGGGAAAGCAGCAAAGCAGAAAAGGACAGGTCAAATATCGTCCAGGGGCAAATGGAGAGAGAAGAATATCCAAATGGGGAGATATATATAGATCGATCCAATCCGTGGCGATAAGGAAGGACGAAGGGAGAAAGAAGTACAGAAGGAGAGGTGAATCAAAAGAGAAGGATGGATGGATCAGATGGAAAAGGATTGATCGAAGGATTGATGATTGATGATCGATGGATCGAGATAGAGAGAGATCGATGATAGAGGAGAGAGGGGGGGGGAAGAAGAAGAGAAAGGAAGGAAGAAAGAAGACCAGGGAGGAGATGATACGACTGTAAAAGTAGGAAGCCGAACAGTAAGAGACAGGTTGGATGACGGCAGCGTCTGAGGGGGGGGGGAAAGAGACGGAGGAATGGTGACGACGATAGTATAATACAGAAAAAGAGGATAATTTACGGTACCTTAGAGAGTCAGCCCGTCAGTAGTTCATAGTAAGTTAAGTTCATCTGGTGTGGGGGAAAGGTAAAGGATTGAGGCTTATCGGAAACAACGGTCGGCAAGAGGCGGGCGAAACGAGGGGCAAATCTGGTTATGGAAAGGTGGGAAGATGGGAAGATGGAGATTGGAAAGATGGAAGATGAAGATGGAAGATGGGAAGAGAGGGGAACGGAGGAGAGAGAACCATGGAGAGGTAGAGTTTATCTTGACTATACTCGATCATACTCTATACTCCCGTCTATACTACTATTCTACTATCATGATTGTATCTTCCGTAGATAATTATATTGTATAGTATAGAGAGTAGGCACTAGATACTAGATACTAGATACTGGGTAGTATGGGTATAGCATACAGTAGGTACATAGGTAGGTAGTCCTCTCGTCCAGGTACTCATGGTTTGGACCTCCGACACGAATCATCGACTAGTAAATCACAAAGTCAGGACCAGTGGAGTTGCCAGAATGGTACGGAGTACGGATAGATCGAATGGATTGAATGGACCCAGTCAATAACGTTGGAATTCCCTTGTCTACATCGTGGAGACTCCAAGTCATGATTCCATCCCGATCGATTCTTTTATAGATCATACTAACTACACCTAATCAACGTGGAAGTACCAACTACCTATCGCTCGTATTATCAAAACCGTATCAGGAACCTCCGCGCTTAAATCAATAAAAAAAGAGTCACACGCAGTGGTGGCTGATCCAAGATGCGAGGTACTGATGGCTTGATGCGTTGGCCAAGGTCAACTTCCAGGCGAACAGAGGCATTCAACCATTTTTTCCTTTTTCCCTTTTTCCTACCTAGGTATTTTACAATTTTGCATCGATCGGTGCGAGTCTCGACCAATACTCTACCGTGGAACAGTCCAGGTGGGGTTCATTGTGTCCTGCTGCTTCGTATGATTGATTGAAGGCACCAGGAACTCGGACCCAGTAGGAGCGGCTGACACTTCCACATTACAGAGTATTCTCTGTTTGATGTTTTACTTGATCGATAGAAGTGTCTATATATATGACTATATATATATATATATATATATCCTAACTTAATTATTTAACACATGTACAAATATATATATGCGTATGTGCTATACCTTCTAATCGTGTTCTCTAGAATATAAAGATCCGATCTACACTATAGAAGGCCCATCAAACCCGGGCATGGACCCATGGTTCCAAGCCATGACAACACCCGGTGACGTTGACCACTCGGACCCTGGGGAAATGGTTGTTCTGGTAACTTTGGATACTAATATAGGTCCTCGGTTGACTTTCGCCCTTCCCCCGGTCGGGTCCAGACCCGACCCGGGATGAGGCATGGCAAACCACTGCGCTGGTTCAGCTTAATTTCGTCTTGTCGGGACTGTATCATCACTAATATAGAATATAGAAAAATCCGGGGGGTAAATGAATGAATGGATTAAATAAATAAAGGTAACTCTGCAGACGCAGGCAAGGATGCCAGCAGAGACGGTATCGACTCCAGAATTCGAAACCCGCCCACAGCAACCGGATGGATTATCCTCATACAGAATGATTACAGATAGCTTCGTCGCACGGAGTTGACTAGACTAGACTAGATCAGACCCAGAAAACTCCTGTGCCTTTGCATAATAGTTCCGATGGCCGACTCGCTCTTTTTTTTTTTGGTCCTTGGAACGGGGTTGCAATTGTCATACATTAGATCGAGTGGAGACAAGAGACGAATCCTCCAACAATCATCCAGATCCAAGGAAGAATCAATACAAGAGGTATTGTCCAGCCGATCGATCCATCCATGATCCCTCGAACGGACCACCGAGGGACCTTGTCTGGTCCCTTGTTCAAAGCTGGAGAGGGAAGTGCTGGACAGGGAGAGTTTCATCAGAGTTTCAACCCTCCCAACCTAGACCAACCTAAAATCCAACACGTTCCCCACTTGACTCCAGCTGGAGACAATTGGTTGATGACATCTCCAGTAGTAATCTATTCGAGGCTCCCACTGGAGGGATCATCGATGTAGTCTCGTCTTTACAGTTTACATAGTCCTCCTCCCCCACATACATACCTACACACATACATACCTACATACATACCTACATACATACCTACATACATACCTACATACACACTCCATAGATACGGATACACAGACAATAGCCCACTGGATCAATCACAAGACGGAGTCAACGACAAGTGTAAGGCTAGAGGCTAGACTCCCTAGTATAACGCGACTGCATTAGCCGCCCTGCAGGACCGAGTTTCCCTGTCCAATTGGCCCTGTGGGATCCGATCGTGGACAGGAGGTACCTTGCCTAGGGAGTGACCTAGTGAAGTCCCTGCCTACTTTACCCACTCATTCGTAGTCGCACAGGCTTGGTTGGTCTGGGTCTTATCTATTGAAATTGGGTAATACATTCTGGAACGCCACTCGAGAGTCCAGACGGACTGGACGGAGACTTGACTCAGAGGGTGATCGACGCGTGACTGACCTTGCCCTGTTGCCCTGTCTGCCCCTCTTGAAGCCTGACAGGAGACTGTCTATAGTGGCCCAAGCGAGTGATCACTGCAAAATAAATAATAATAAAAACACAGAAAGAAAGAAAATAAATCAAATATCGTGTAAAATCAAAAATCAAAAATAAAGAAACCCAAAGAATATGAAATAGCAAAGTAAAACCTACCTACACGAGTTGACCCAACTTTTCCATCCATCCTCACCTACACTTTACCTTCTACCATGAGCACACCACGATACTACACTTCTATTTTAATACGACCAAACTCACATTTTACCTTTCTCGCGACAGGGAAAACGCCAGCCACCGTTCCAGTTCCCAGGGGAGAGAGGGGGGAGGGGGAGAAGGGGCGATTTACGCCACCATCTCCAGCGTCCCAGAAACCAATCCATGCTATACCCCTTGTGCCTTTTGGCTTTTTTGGCCACGGGGGAGGAGAGGGCGGGGTCATGAGGGGTATGTTTTATTTAGTATTGGTATAGTAATTGTTATTGTAGTATTAGATTTATTTCCACGCTTTCTTTGAGAGTATGATATATTAAGCACTAATTTGATCTACCCATACTACTTTAGCAACTACTACTTCAGCAACTACTACAATGATAACCACTACAGTAACTACTAACTAGTACTACTACATGCAACTGCAACTACAACTACAACTACAACCACGACTACTACACTACAGCCAGATGCAACAAACCCCAAACGCGGGGTATCAATCAATACATGCCCCTAACCCAACAAACAGCCTACCTAGTACAGACCCAATCTTCAACTCCGGGTCAGAGACGCAAGCGTCATCACCAGGAAACCCAGATCTCAAAGATCCATGGCATAGGATAACCCAAACAAGGCGCGATGGGGTGAGTGGGTTATACGAGATGGGGGGCGGGCGCGGGGAGGGGAAGGGGGCGAATGATGGTGATTCGATCCAGGTACGGAACTTGTGACAAGTCGGTGTCTTGTGTTCGGGGATTTTTTTTGCTCAGAACAAAGAAAGGATTTTGAGGTCGGGGTTCCCCGCGTATGAGTGGCAATCATGTGTTTTTATGATGCGTTGATGTTTATGATTTGGCTTGTGATGACCACGTGTATAGTATTATCCATTATCTAGAGTATGTTGTTGTATGATGATACTTAGTAAATACTAGTATTGAATATGGAATGGAATGGATGGCTTCGTACAAGGCTGACGTATGCTCTGGTCGGATCATTCTGATCGACAGTTCCTGATCTATCTGGAGGTGGGTTAGATCAACCAATATCTAAATATGTCTGTCTGTATTCTAGATATAAACCTAGTTGTCTAATACTGTGCAGACATAACTAAAAACACACAGTAGACCATAAATCCATATAAAATATCCCAATCCAGGTACCTTACCCTGATAGTACATACAATATATTACTTCCATCCGAAGCACATCTGGAATATAATTCCTCTCATAGACAAGCGGTGAAGATGCATATCATGCTCTGCATACATAGATACCGACGTCACGGCACAGTTTCATCTCTGAATCTCCCTGTCTACTGTATGTATCCCTCGGACAGCTCATTGTCCATGACCGACTAACTCTGCTGGCTGCTGGCTGCTGGCTGGCTGAATGACTGACTGACTGACCGCTGGCCAAACCACTGACAATAACACCCTGTCTATCGACTCCCTTTCAAACGCCACTACCACCATGAGTCCATGAATGAATGATAGACAGATATATATCAAAACGCGGATGCCTAGATTCTGACATTCGCACTTACACCCTTGGAGCCTCACGTGAAGATTCCATACAATAGTAAGAAACACAGCCGCAACCAGTCAGCAACAAGAAACAAAGAACAAAAGCAGAAAGAAGAAACTAGAAAATCATGCAACAGACACCCAACAAAGAAGAAGAAGAACAACTCCATGCTCACAAGACGCGTTGGAAACGCATGGTGCCTTGTTCCTTGCTGATTGGGGATTCGTTCCTCGATCTTCCGGTTTTACCTGTCTTCTACATTCGTTTACTATCTATTGATTGGTTTATTATTTGTCTATGCACAGTACTACGGAAGAATCAGGAAGTTCTACGTACCAAGCTGGTGGATACTTAGCTGCTTACATATTAACTAGGTATACATGTACCGAAGGTCCATACATATCTATCTATATATCTAGGTATCTGCCTACTACCGTAAGACATGTGGCTGACTCGTATTTCACATGCTGCCTGCCCTGGTCTACTCCTTACTCCCTCACCCTGGTCCCATCCGTGACTCACTGGTGGGTATGTAAGTGGTAAGCAATAAAACCAGAACCGTCTCAGAAACAACAGGGGAGAAAACCGGATTTCCGGACGGTCGGCACCGTCCAGTCCAATCATACATACAATATGTATAGATCTCGATGTAGGTACGTAATCTAATTGCTTTCTTTGGCTGCCCTGTTATTGTACGCATAAATAAGATGTAATTAATTCATGTTGAGGATTAATATATAATGTATAGCTTGTGTCACTTTCTACCGATCAGGTACATTGGTCATGGTCACGGCGCCGACCATCACAGCCGCCTCGCGTTCCCACGTTCGCTCGTTCGTCGTCCCCGTCTCGCTGCCTAGTCGGCGTTCGGCGCCCAGGATCGACGTCGGTAGTTGCGACCCGCGCAACACGCATTCTCGGACTTCGCGTTTCAGGTGGTCTTTGCCTGCGCGGAGGGTCCGCGCTGCGACGCCCCCGCGTGTGAGGATCTCCTGGGCGCGCATGGCTAACGAGGAAGCGAGGGAGCGCCAGAAGTAGGATGGGAGGGAGGTCGTGTCGAGGGCGGCGTGGAGTGGCTGGACCAGGTTGCTGTTGTTGCTGCTGCTACCCTTGTCGGTGCTGTCGCTGGCGGAAACGGCCGGGAGGAGAGGGTGGGCTGGGGCCCGGATATTACCGAGGATGGCTTCGAGCGCGAATATGTCCTGGCATTTGGCGGCGACTTCGTTGAGGGTGCGCTCGAGGATCGGCGGCGTGGTGATTGCCCGCGATAGGGCGTTTAGCGAGGACAGGATCGCCGCGTTCATGTAGCCCTGCAGCGCGGAGAGGAGGAGCTCGGGCTGGAAGTCGGACGGCGACTGCAGCTGCTTGGGGACCGGCGACAGCACGTACAGGATGGTGACGGCGGAGACGAGGCGCGCGCGGGCCTCGCGCGCCTGCTTGTAGCCCGACTGCGCCTGGGACCCCGTACCGCCGGTGGCGATGGTGGACATGGAGAACCGCGTGATAGCCTGCTGCGCTCTCCCCTTGACCATGTTCTCGGCCGGAATCATGAGCTCGCCGCGCAGCGTCCGCACGACTTTGACCCGGTCCAGCCCGTGGCCTTCCTCGCCGGGCTCCGAGGCCGAAAACATGCGCCGCAGGCCGACGATGGTAGATGCTGCGCGCTCCAACGCCCGGTAGTCCTCGCGGGATGGGTTGGGCGAATTCGTGCCGTCGCCGCTCCCGCCCGCACCGCGGCCTGTAATTTCGGGCAGTTGGCCTTCTAGCTGCCGGCTGAGCGTGATGCAACGCGCGACGGCCCGGGCGAGCCGCGCCGTAGCGAGCGACTTCTCTGCGGCGACGCGGGTCTCGTCGGCTGTCTCCCACTTGCGGAGGACCTCGCGCTGTAGTCGCTCGTAGCCCTGCGACACGGAGGCGATCTGCTCCTCGGACTCCTTGAGGATCTTTCCCGCTGCCGCGGTTTGGTCCCGCGTGTGCGTCAGCAGGGGGAGCGCCGATTTGCTAGTTAGCGTGTGGATGTGGGTATCGATTTCCTGGAGATCGAACAGCACGCGCGATAGCGGCGTTGATAGATCTAGCGGGGTGTCGGTGGCATTGTTGGTGGCGACTACCAATGAATTGGCGAAGGAGGCCGCTGAGAAGTCGGGGTCTAAGAAGGTCTCGTAGTCTATGTATGATGGTTCACCTTCGGCCATGGTGGCGGACTGGAGGTTGATCTCCTCCAGTAGGGTTTGAGAAGACCGATATAGTACACTTCTTGCAAATTGTTCACACGAATGACTTATGGACGCTGATCAATGTGTAATTGCGTTGTTTGGTATCACTGCATGTCCATGGGGTAAGATTGAACTTAGCGACAGCGTGTTGTCTGCAGAAGCAGAATGGACTCCCAAGTGAGTGAACTGGACTTAATCAAAGTGGTGGATTTGATATGCCGAAAGAGTGAGTCCTGGGTATCATGCACGTTTGCCCGATGTTAGGTATAGGACAAAGTATCTCCCCATCCGTCTGTTAGATGGATCATTGCTGGCATCTCGACCAGACACTATTCCTTTTTGGGCGACTCGCTTGGTGCTGAGTCATCTTTATACATCTGTGTACATACAAACAGATGGACCAATTCAATACAACAAAGTAGGTTTTTACTCGTTAATAGACGACAAAATATGAGACTTATTCTATAGGAGATTTTCATATATTATATCATAAGGTTAAAGATTGTCATTCTTCAACGAGCCACTTCTTTTCACCTCGGTATGTGCCATCCAGCATCATGCATGTACATTCGGCTCATATACTTACCTTTCCTGCGCAGTGGATAAATCAATCAATGTCGTATTGGAAGAAAGGGACGAGCCGTGATGTCGGACCCAAAAAGGGCAACCCAACCGGCTATGAGATCCACCATATCAACCAAGACACGCGCTCCAACCAAGCTCGGACAATCCTCAAGCTCTAGCCAGAGTCTTACGCCGCTGCTTAAGCATATACCCATACATCATCACAGACCCTATGGAAAAAAAATTAGCACACAACCCCCAGATACACTAAAACAGAGGGATAACAAACCAGGCCCATAAAGCGCAAGACAGAAATACCAAACGCACTCAAGCAGCCACCCCGTGCTCGCAGCACGCGCAGCCCCAAACATCAACCACCACTCGCCGCCGATCCCAACGGGATACAAGATGACGAAGAGCGAGTACCTGCCCATTTCATTATTAGTTTCGTTTACCGTCTAGACTGCAATGCTTCAGAGGAGATGCAGGAAGACATAACATACCTAAGCCACTTCAACCACCCCGGGATACGAAGTCCGGCAGACATGATCACGAAGTACAGATAGCGGATGACATCAGCCGTGGACCAGGCGACGAGCATGGCCGTGTACACGGGGAGCGAGCTCGCCATGACGTCTGGGTACCCGTAGTTGATGGCCCAGACTTGGACGGAGCGGGCGAAGACTTGCGTGAAGGTTGTGAGGACGGGGCTGCGGGTGAGTCCTGCGTTGGGTTAGTCTTTTGGCTTTGGGTGTAGATAGTAGGGTGCATATTGGTTAGGGAGGTAAGGTATGAGGGATTACCTGTAGCAGCGTGAAGAATCTCCGCAACAGCGAGAGTCTGAGTCCATCGAGCCCATGGCTCAACGGTGGTATAGATTGAGACCGGAATGGAGGAATTGGGATTGGCGGTGTCGGTTTGGGATAGGAGGATGCTGATAATCGACAGCAGAATGCGGAGCCAGAGGAGAGCGCAGGTTGCGTTGTATGCGAGGAGATACACCCTCTTGGCTGTCCAGCCGGGTGACTCTTTAGCTTGAGGCATTGCTGTTCTTTTCATGGATTGGTTGCAAGATATAAAATCATGATTGGCATCGTCGATAACGGCAAATCTGATGCCGGTAACTAGTGGCTGCTGATAGTCTGGTTTTATGCTGCTTTGTCAGCATATACATTTTATGCTAATTATACAAGACCTGGCTAGACAAGGACTCTGGTCGATTCGACCATGGTATGAGATTAGATCCTTGGAGTATTGTTAATAATGAAAGAAACTTTCTATCGGGTAGTCGAGATAGGAATGTACTTCCGTGCTTACGTCTTGGTATAGGTACACAAGTACAAGGAGTAATCCAGAGCCTTGTGCCGCAGATCACTCTTATGCAGAGGTAGTGGCGGATAGAGTTCCTGTACAATTGACCCCGGAGATATCGGATTTTTCAGAAGCGACAAGATGCAGATAGCTCCGATACGATTGGAGCTATCAGTTTACCATTCCCGAATAGGGCAGACGGAGGAAGACTTCGGGGAGAACACCGAGATTTCTCAGTGTCTCAGGCAACACAGATACTAGGCAAGGACGAGTCTCATGTTGATCATTGAGTATACTGTATCCTCCACTTTACAATCCCAGATGATAATACCCCAACTGTGGGTAGTACGGAAGGATCCCTCCCCAGGGCTATTAAAAGCCACGAGTGAACGATTCCCTCGAAGAGCGGTGAATCACCGTCGCCCTGGGCTGGGGCTCAGAAGTCAGAGTTAAGGTTCAATAGCGGCATGTAAGAATCAGCCATTGGTCTCCAGCTGAGGCTCCCCCAGAATTGCAAGCAAACATTTGATTCCGGATAAGGAATGATAGTCAAGGAATGGAGGGGGGAAAAAGAAAAAAAAAAAAATTGAGAATGTCTCCTCTCGTGGCTGTGTGGGCGTACGTATGTATCATGCATGTCTATTGTGTATGCGTGTGGGCGCATCGTTCTACCACTTACGTACGTACATGTATCACGGTTTACGAGGTCGTAGGGCCCTGTACTCCGTACCTACTGTACTTGAATGTATCGAGCTATCCATCCGATAGCGGGACAGCTAGCACGGCATGGCATATGCAGTCCAAGCGCGTCGAGCGGGGAGAGGAGGGGGGGAGGTACACAAGGGCGTGATGCCAAACAGGTCGATCGACGATTTAATCAAGGTCATCCCTGATTGTTGGGTTGCTGTCCCTGTGTGGACGGGATTCCTGCCGTGGACCTCCCATTGCGGTCTATCTTCGATGGATACCGATAATTAGAATAAACAAGTAACTGCGGGTCGCGATGTGGAGAGTGGGGAGAGAGTCGAAATTGCAGTTGATGGCAGTTTGGAGGGAGAGTTTGACTTTTGGATAAGGAGAACGAGAACAGTGGATCGGTGGGGAATGCCATGTGCTCCGTATCAGGATAATTTAATATGTTGAACTGTGGTTTGATATATCACCTTCCCGTCCCTGTTGAAAATTACCCCCCATGTCAGACTGATACGATGACAATGACTTAACCATGCGCATGAACGGATCCCTGGTTCAACAACCGCGACCTGTGTGTCCTCCCCGGGTCTTGGGGGAGCTTCGTTGCCAATGAGATTCGACTGCGGAGAGTGGCGAATACGAGAGGCGGTCCCAAGGGCCAGGTTCGTGTTTGACAAGTGTCTGTGCTCGATATGCAGGTGACTTACTCAAAACCATGGGAAGTGGGTTTGGTAACCAATTCGAGAATGGTTTCCTCAAGCCATCTTGACCGAGCATTTGTGGACGGGGCGGGAGAGCTCAAAGAAAGTCCAGAAGTGAGGCGGGCACCTGACCACTTTACTTTACGTCAGTGGTATGTACTCCGTAGTATGTACTTGGCACGGCCACCGTCGATGGCAGTAGTCCATATTTACCCCGGACAAGAAAACTCAAAGCAAAGACGGGCTCTGTTGATTTCAACGGGATTTGGTGTGCCTGGGTTTGGTCTCCTGACTTGTCACACTGAAACATCCGTGGATGACAGTTTTGTTGCATGCATGACTAGTTCTTGTTGACTGATACTAGTCGGAGGAGTGACGGGTGAGTGGCGGGGAGAGCATGATGTAATGATTTCACAACCTGTAATGAGGGTTGGTTTCAATACACATGTGCCTTGTTTCTCAGGTTGAAATTGTTCTTCGGTTTTACTTTGAATATACTCCGTATGTCAAGATAGATATAGATATACGAAGTCTTTGTCTCAAATATAGAAATACTTTAAATAAAAACAAGTAAGACATCATCTATCATACTTTCTGTTCCTTGACTCGGGGCGACTTAAACGCGGGAGAATCCAGCTGCAGGTACCACCGCTAAGCCCGTTGCCGTCCAGGGGACCAGCGGTTACACCAGCGTTGGCGGCAGTCAGGAACCGTCAACAATCCTACCCTGCGTATGTTTCATGCCCTCTGAATAGTGTCACCCTCCTTGATCATTCTCCGGTATTTGACCTTTCTTCTTACAATTTTCTTCGCTGGTCTTCTATAGTTCCTCTCTCCTCGAATCATTTATTTATCTTCGTATTATTCTTATCAGTGCAGCAGATGGAGAAGTGTGGGAGGAACGGTGGGCCCCACCACACCCAGAGGGCTTGGATAATCCATGATTCAGACCGACAGGGGTTTCAGACCAATGATTATCCGAGTATCCAGCACACCATGCGTTTTCTGTCTTCCGCGCCCCCCCTCCCTGTCCGATGTCAGGAGAAAAAAAAATAGCCGGACTTTCCCGAGGAATCCATCATTCCCCAGGGAGGATGGGGAGGGAACAGGGATATCAGCCGGACAGATAGTTGTATATGACAGCTGAACAACATTCCAAGTCTCGGAGGATCAGGTGTGGCATACCGCTGCTAGTGCAGCCAAGTGAGACTGAGGGCGTTTCAATCGAGTCCTACCTAGACCGTGATGAGGTTAGTCGAGCGGAGTCATTCTCCACTCCCCCCCCCCCATCTGTCCCCATCCGCTTTTACAGTTTTTACCCCTGGCCGTTCGGGAGGGAAATGTACTCTGTACTCCGTACCACGCTTTCCCCAAGGATCCATTGAAATCGCCATTGATCAGAATGAAAGCAAAGGGTTGAGTAACGTTGATGGCATGCAGATTGTATTCTTTGTTACTGATCAATATAAATAGATCATATACATATATATACAATTATATCTATTGATATCTTATGATCAGTGAAATACGGATAATGACAATGTCTCACGGGCCATTCTCGACTAGTGTCCTCGTCCCTCCATATCTATCCGGCTAGTCAACTGTCTAACAGTCCGACTATCAGAATTAGACTGGTACGTGCAACAGGTGGCTCCCGGCATTCCCCTTGCGTCGTCTTGCAGCACACTGTCGATTATCAGGCGCTTGGAGGGTTTAAGAAAAAGAAAAAAAAGAGGACGGAAGACGATCAGCCGGAACATTTCTCTGCTTATGATGAGAATAAGTCTGGTTACAGTCTTACAAGGCTTACACAGAACACCCTTACCAGTTGCCACAATGTCAAGGAAACCGAAAAAGTGCAATTCTTTCAGAGAGCACTGCCCAAGGTACTGTAGAGTTACTCCAGTCTTTCCTTTATTCAGGCTTGGTCAATCCTTGTCCCGTTGGGAGGGCTCCATACTCCATACTCCGTAGATGGTACTCCATACAAATGATCCCCACCGTGCCAAATGATGATGAACAGGGTGATCGGTCCATGCATCAGGGCCAACCTTCTTCATCACTTAGTCCTACTTCCTAATTGAACCATCTCCTTATCGGCATTCTGGAGAGTCAGACAGATGGTCCGCGGTGTGTCGACGAGTCGTGCGACAATCCTTCCTCTCTCTTTTTACTCGTACGGAAAATTTCTTCCATGCTCGGATCAATGGATCATTCCTGACCCCATCATTGAACAAAAAAAATAACAAAAAAGGGACAAATGAATTGGTTCAGGTACAGGGATTGATTGCCTGTTGGGTCCGTCCTCTAGTGGGGAAACCCAGTATCTATCCCGTTGGTCAACCGCCTGTTAAGATCCACGCACAGGATTTAGGGTCACGGTCCTCTCTCTGTTCATAGAATGGGGTCTTCGTATATTGAAAGGAAGGATGGTAGATAGCAATGAGGGAAAAGAAAGAAAGTCAAATCTAGATGTAGCCTCGTGGTCGAGTCCAGCGCCCTGGGTCCCGAAAGAGTCGATACTTGGTTCGATTCAACGTTAAGGGTACCGATACGGATACGAACCAGATACAGAGAGACAGTAGAATAATGCAATGCAAGTCACGGAGACCACTGTATCTCCACTCCCACCGGCCCCTAAAGCATCTCCCCCTCTCTTGCTTGCTTTTTTCTTATTTATTTTGATTTTGATTTTGATTATATTGATTATTATTTTATTTCCTATCCTTTTTCCCTTTTTTATGATTTGATTTTATTTTTTACTCCTGCCACATTATTCTCAATCAGGAACCATTATCATTTCCATTCTCCTTCCCCTCCTCTGGTTCCCTGATATTCAGTATTATTATCACCATCGTCATTAATAATAAAATTACCCTCCTTTTTTTTTTTTTTTCCCTGAACCAAACTAAATAGATTGACTTTATTCTCCTTATTGATTGCTTGTATCGCTTTCCTGATCGTCATATATTATTCTTATTATATTGTTATCATTGGGTTGGAGTATCCTGTGGATGCTAGTGTCCTTGATTTACAGTACCGTACTTTTCCGTACCTGAATCTCCTGCCTCCCCTCTGCGCATCTATTAACCCGTCCTTGCCTTGCGCTCCCTGCTTTTGCTGCCTGCAAATTCCTCCTCCATCCATCTTCTCTCCCCAAAGGTTCCTTTCGACCTCTCACCACCCCCCCCCGTTGACTCGGAGATATACGACCTATCCATAACAAGTCTCCCCTCGTTCGCCAACCCGGAGACTATTCGAGTCGCGCGCCCTGTCGGTTCACTCGACCCCTCGCTCGCATTTTCGGTGGACTGGTTCTTCCCCTTTCCATCGGTCGACCTGACGCAACTCGCGACTTTCCCCCATTCCGACCCGTCGCCCTTTAATTGCCTGTCAGTTGAGCAAAGACTGACGCCATTGGCCACGTCTCTCCTTTGAATTGTCTCCCGGCCACACATAATTCTTGCGCGCGCGATTAGGGGGCTCCTTAGCTCGTCAATTTCCGCGGAAATTCGTGAGAGCGCAGATTCAACTCAAATGAGCATCCTTCCGCACGCCTGAGACCCAGCGCCCAGTCCCCGTTCCCCCCCCCCCCATCCATCGAGGACTGTCTATATACAACCGAGGAGGTGGGATCTTTGTTGCTGTCGACCCCGGTGGCCAGTCGCGCGACAAAGTCCATATCACGCTCGCGTGCGTCTACCGACTTCATTCGAATCGACGTGCCTTCCTTTCATTCCCATAATGTCCGTTGCCACTATGTTGCAACCTTCCAGAAATTCGACGTCCTCCTCTTCCTCCTTCCAGCCCGTCACACGCCAGAACACCATGTCGTCCCATGACACTCGTTCGTTTCGCCAGTCCAAGCGGCTGTCCGTCACGGCGCTATACCTGTCGATGTCCGCTAAGGACAGAGACTTGGAGATCTCAGATGACTTGGCGAGAGGTGGGTTTTGGCTTCCAACTTGCGTCCGGGAGATCGTGCTAATCCGGTAACAGCCCAAAAATACCTGCGAGAATTAAAATCCAAGATCTCGTCCCAGTCCAAGAAGAACTTCGTCCTCGAGAAAGATGTCCGATATCTGGATTCGCGGATAGCCCTGCTGATTCAAAACCGGATGGCCCTGGAAGAGGTAATCTAATTCGAGCTTTCCTTTCCTCTGTCGTGACCGTCCCGCTCACCCATCTCCAGCAAAACGAAGTCGCCAGCCACATCGATGATGCCATCGACCCCCAGGAGGGCTTCTTCCCTAACGACGACAAGACCCAGAAATACGGCAATCTCCTTTTCCTCCTCCAGTCGGAGCCGCGCCATATCGCCCACCTGTGTCGATTGGTGTCCATGTCCGAAATCGACTCCCTACTCCAGACCGTCATGTTCACCATCTACGGAAACCAGTACGAGAGCCGCGAGGAGCACCTGCTGCTCACCATGTTCCAGTCCGTCCTTACCTATCAGTTTGACAACACCCCCGAATACTCGTCCCTGCTGCGCCAGAACACCCCGGTCTCCCGGATGATGACCACCTACACCCGCCGTGGTCCCGGCCAAAGTTACCTGAAGCAGGTTCTGGCCGACCAGATTAACTCCCTGATCGATCTGCGCGACGTCGATCTGGAGATCAACCCCCTCAAGGTGTACGAGAGCATGATAAGGCAGATTGAAGAAGAAACCGGCACGATCCCCGATTACCTGGCCCGCTCGGTCACCGCAGAGACGGCCGAGGAAAATGCACAGGTTCAGGCCATCATCAAACCCCGGTTGAAGATGCTGATGGACATCGCCAATGCGTTCATTTCGACGATCATCAACTTCGTGGACGAGACCCCGTACGGGATCCGGTGGATCTGCAAGCAGATCCGCAGCCTGTCCCGACGCAAGTACCCGGATGCGCAAGACCATACGATTTGTACTTTGATCGGTGGTTTCTTCTTCCTGCGCTTCATCAACCCGGCCATTGTCACCCCGCGATCGTACATGCTGATCGATGCGACCCCCACCGAGAAGCCGCGCCGGACCCTGACGCTGATCGCCAAGATGATCCAGAACTTGGCCAACAAGCCGTCTTATGCCAAGGAGCCCTACATGTCCAAGCTCCAGCCCTTCATCGAGCAGAACAAGGAGCGAGTCAACAAGTTCTTGCTGGATCTGTGCGAAGTACAGGACTTCTACGAGAGCCTGGAGATGGACAACTACGTGGCTCTCTCCAAACGGGATCTCGAGTTGCAGATCACCCTGAACGAGATGTACTCCACTCACGGCCTGCTGGAGAAACACAGCCTGGCCCTGGCCCAGGACCAGCACTCGCATCTGCACGAACTCCTCCAGGAGCTGGGCACTGCGCCTGCGCAGGTCCCGCGTAAGGAGAACCGCACCATCACGGTGCCCTTGTTTAGCCGGTGGGAAACCGCCCTGGATGATTTCACCGCCGCCCTGGATATCACCCAGGAGGAGGTGTTCTTCATGGAGGCGAAATCGACCTTTGTCCAGATTCTGCGGTCGTTGCCGCCGAACACATCGGTGGCCCGCCGGCCGCTGCGACTCGACCGCATTGCCGAGGCGGCGGCGACCTTGAAGAATGACGCCGTGATGGTGCGCAAGGGCATCCGGACCATGGAGCTCCTCAGCCAGCTGCAGGAGATGGGCGTCATCGACCGGTCAGACGAGTTCAGTCTGCTGCGGGACGAAGTGGAGCAGGAACTGGTACACCTCGGCTCGCTGAAGGAGAAGGTGCTGACGGAGACCAAGAAGCTCGAGGAGGTCTTCAACACGATCCGCGATCACAACGCGTATCTCGTGGGACAGCTGGAGACGTACAAGTCCTATCTGCACAACGTCCGCAGCCAGTCCGAAGGCAAGTCGCGGAAGCAGCAGAAGCACCAAGAGCTGGGCCCCTACAAATTCACCCACCAGCAGCTGGAGAAGGAGGGGGTGATCCGACGGAGTAACGTACCGGAGAACCGACGCGCCAACATCTACTTTATGTTCAAGAGTCCCCTGCCGGGCACATTTGTCATTAGCCTGCATTACAAAGGTGAACCATTACTCCCGATGCGGATCCTCGGCCGGCATCTTGCCGAGTCCCTTTCTGGACTCTATACTGACAAAATGTCAATAGGACGGAGCCGGGGGCTGCTCGAGCTGGACCTGAAGCTGGATGATCTGCTGGAAATGCAAAAGGACAACCTCGTGGATCTAGATCTGGAGTACGTCCAATTTAACGTGACCAAGGTCCTGACGCTCCTGAACAAGCGATTCGCCCGCAAGAAGGGATGGTAAGCCGGTGTTGCTCCGGGACAGGCTGCCCTTCCTTTCCCCTTACGACGTATATGATGCGGAGCGACCGGCCCGATGACGATGATTCCCCGAGTTGCCAGCTCCCAGGGGGTTTGATGGAGTGAGGAGGATCCGGCCCTGATCTGCTCCCCACGTTGCCACCTGACGACCCCTGTGGCGGGATGGGTGATCCGTTTGATGATATGGAGATGGATGCATGTTTTTCTTTCTCCTTTTTCCTGTTTCCTCTTTTTTCCTTTCTCTCTCTCTTTCCTTGTTTGTTTTGTTCTTGTTTTCTGTTTTTATACTTGACGGTTTCCCCCGGCGGGCTCCGTCGGGCCGGGGGAGTGGGGCGGGATGTGAGCTGTCGGGTGGATCTGAACCGCCACATACGCCCCCATGACTTGTTTCTATTGTGTTGCATATCGACGTGTCGCTACCAGGGGAGGAGGAGTGTAATATGGCGAGGCAGATGGCCGAGTTCTTCTCGACTCCGATGGGGACGGGGAATGAGACCTCGCTGGTTCGAGGATCGATCGCCCCGAGTTCTTGTCACCGGATTGGGAGGATTTGGTCTCTCCTTGTGCAGGATACCTGGCGACGGTGATACCCGGTTGAATGATTTATCTTATTTCTATCTATTTCTTTGCCCCCTATCCTCCTCTCTTTATGTTGTTGCGTGAGTTTTGGCGGGCGAATTTGATGATTCTTTTTTCCTGTCTTGTTTGTGATACTTCCAAGTCCCGACGCCCTCTGCACCGTTCTGCTGTTTTCCCTTTTGATTTTTGATTTTTGATTTTTTTTTTTGCCTCTGTTTCTCAAGATGTAATTATATGTGGTATGGGATCCCTACAGACCGGAAGATGGTGGATGAGGGGGTTCCATCAATGAGATGCTCATTGTCATGGTGTTTTGAGCAACACGGACAGTTGCCATTGACTTGATGTAGTGGAAGTTGGTGGAACGGACGATTATTTAATACTAATTTTAATCATGGCAGTGACGATTTGACATCTTGAATTGATTTCCATTCCAATCTTGTAGTCGTGTCCTAGTCGGGAGTAGATGCGAGTAATTAGTCGTGCTGATCTTCCACCCAAACCAGTTGACCAGTTGACCAGTTGACCCTGAGAGCTGGAAGCAGAAAGGATCATACCTGTTCGTTTTTGAATAGGAGACTACATGAGAGGAGGTTCATAGGAATCTGTCCAGTTCCCCTTTTATCCTTCTTCTTTTGCTTCTTATAAAGGATTAATTAATTGAAGGAGATATTGGTACAGAAAAGACCAACTGTATAGATCACACCGCCCTAACGCAACGGCAACAAACACTCTTCTGTTTCCGTCCCGGCTTGACCGTCTTCTCTTCTTCTTCTCCTTCTTCTTCCCTTCTTTAACTTAAACTCAACTAGTAAGTCGATCCCTCCATTTCTGCTCTTCTTTTTTTTTATTTCCCCCTTGCTTCACTCTTTCTCCTGAGGATTAACTCCTAGAGATTTCCTCCAATTATCTCTCCCCCTGTCATCTCTGACATTCATCTCCCCCCTCTCCCCACTTCTTCCCCCCTCCCGTCACCTCGCAATTTCGCCTCCACACCCAAAACAACTTTCGCCCCCCCTAGAACTGCAACTCTTCCTCTCCCTCGCCTTCTTGATTCTCCCAGTCTCTACCGTACACCCAGTTTCTAATTGTCGCAGCACATAAAATCAGTCACCATGTCGACCCCGTCCAAGTACGACGACTATGACTTCCCGACCACCGCGCCGGAGTCTCAGCCCGGCCACCCTGGCCACACCACCCCCGAGCAGGACGCAAAGGTCGTCCAGCTCCGCTCGGAGCTGGAGCAGATGGGTTTTACGGAGCGGTTGGACACGCTCACCCTGTTGCGTTTCCTGAGAGCTCGCAAGTTCGATGTCGCTGCTGCGAAGACTATGTATGTTTGTCCGGGAGGCTGGTCTGTCCTACGGGGGTGGAGGGGTGCGGTCATCCATTGGGAGATGACTGTACCGTTCCGAACCCGCTGGAGACTCGGTCTCTTCTCCTGTATGGCTGATGCCGAGTTCATGTGCTAATAATCTCCTGTCTAGGTTCGTCAACTGCGAGGAGTGGCGAAAGAACTTCGGCACCGATGATCTGGTCCGTACCTTCGACTACCAGGAGAAGCCCGATGTTTTCAAGTACTACCCCCAGTACTACCACCGGACGGATAAGGTATGTTTACACTCTGGCGGTCCAATGAAACTAGACTGGTTGGACAGAACTGACGAGAGGGTCCTGAAATAGGACGGACGACCGGTGTACATCGAGAAGCTGGGCAAGATCGACCTCAACGCCATGTACAAGATCACCACCGCTGAGCGCATGCTGCAGAACCTCGTCACGGAGTATGAGAAGCTGGCGGACCCCCGCCTGCCCGCCTGCTCGCGCAAGGCCGGCAAGCTCCTGGAGACGTGCTGCACCGTCATGGACCTGAAGGGCGTGGGCATCACCAGCGTGCCCTCGGTGTACTCGTACGTCAAGCAGGCGTCGGATATCTCGCAGAACTACTACCCCGAGCGGTTGGGCAAGCTGTACCTGATCAACGCCCCCTGGGGCTTCAGCAGCGTTTTCAGCGTCGTCAAGGGCTTCTTGGACCCCGTGACGGTCAGCAAGATCCACGTCCTCGGCTCCGGCTACAAGTCGGAGCTGCTGGCCCAGGTGCCCGCCGAGAACCTCCCCAAGGAGTTCGGTGGCAGCTGCGCCTGTGAGGGTGGCTGTGAGTTGAGCGACATGGGCCCGTGGAAGGAGGCCGAGTGGACCAAGGAGCCCAAGTGGGCGACCCCCAAGGCGGCCCCAGCTGTGGCCCAGAGCGAAGAGCCGGCTGTGGAGAAGAAGGAGCCTGAGGCGCAGGAGGCGCCTCAGCCCACCGCATAGATATATATCTCTTTCTAAACCTTTAACTATTTTCTAATTATTTTTCTTCATTTTTTATCTTTCCCTATCTTTGGGTTTCTCGTCTATCCCCGTTCGTGCGTCATTTGGATTGGGAGATTTGGTGGAATCGAGGGACCAGCTACAAGGCTTGCATTGTGTTTCCTCCATGCTTACCATCCTCGATTCTCATTTCCCCGAAAGTCACATCAATCGATTCTCTCCAATCTCAGACGGCAACCATAGCTGTTTCCCCTTTTGTTCTATTTCTTATCTAAGCTTTTTTATCCCTTCCAGTCTTGCAGAATTTGGTTTTTTCCTTCCTTTCTGTTTATTTTTGGGTCGTTTCCGAGGAAGTCATTTAGAGGTTAACACAAGAACGCGGGGAGTACTTTTATAGAATGGTGGGAGAATGGATCATATCATATCATATACTTATGTCTATACACCAGTATGTTACGTTAGGTAGCAAAGGGGAGAGTAAGCGCTAAGAGTGGCATTTCGCTTTCTTAGGGTTGTTTGTTTGGCCTGGGGGAAGTGTTGTTGCTGCCAGGTGTATACCTATTGATGTTTGATTTGACTACTTCAATATGCAATTACATGTGCTAGGTATGTACCAGCTGTTCTCCGCTTGACACTTCCCCCAATGCAGTCATCATGTTTGCTGTATATTTAATATTTTGATCTATACTCAAGTAAGCTACCTACATAGCTAGCTATGCATGTAAGAATAATATTCACTCATCCCATTGAAATAATTGGTATCATAACATCCATATCCATCCATCCTGTCTGACCGACCTGCCTACCCAACGCCATAACACAAGAATCAATATAACCCAATAAACGCACAACCCCTAATAAGCTCATAAGAAAATCAAACAGAAAGAAGTAAGTAGAGAAAGAAAATCAAGGCTTCTCCACAACCTCCACAGCCCTCCCAGCCCGCTCGGCCTTCCCAACAGTCGACGACAACGCCGTCTGTGTGTCTTCTCCCTCGCCTTGGAGTCGGAGAAGCGTCCGCAGGGCGTCTTCGTATACTTCGGCCATTTCGCCAGAGCGCCAGCGTTCGGCTTCTTGGTCTGTGCCGAGGGGGATGTTGAGGGTTCGCTGTTGTGGTTGCTGTTGTTGGGACGGGGGTTTTCGCTGGGTGGGTTTTGTGTCTTCTGCGGGTTGGTCGGTGGAGTTGGAGTTGGTGTTGGGTTCTGCGTCGGGCATGTCGATGTCGGTGCGTGAGTTTTCCCCTTCGTTGTTATTGTTGCTTTCGCCATCGCCATTAACAGCCCGCCCCTCCCCACTCTCCCCCTTCTCATCAACACCACGCTCTACATCCCCATCCTCACCAAAAACACTATCATCCCCCTCAATCGCGCGCCGCAATTCCGCAGCGTAGTCCTCCGCCGCGCGCGCAGGCGCCTCCCGTCTCAGCTTCGCGACAGATGTAGTGAGCGCCTCCAGCTGCGCGTACAGCGACGTCACCCGCGCAGCGAGGTTCGCGTCGTAAGGCTCGTACTCGACTGTCTCCGTGGGGCCGGTGAATGCCGCGGGAAAGGGAAACTGCTCCGAGGAGGAGTCGAGGCCGTTGATGCTGATTGAGGTGGAGGCTGTTGAGAAGGTGCGAGTTATGAACTGTTGTTGGGTTTGTTTGTTAGTACTCTGCTTGTCCCCGCCACCACTCTTTTTCGGTAGTATGTGTAAAGATGGATTTTACCTCATCGACTAATTCCCGCACTCGCTCGCGCATAGGGTCCGGCTCATCGTCGCCGGTGGCTGACGGCGGGAGGTGGAGGTCGAGTTTCTGTCGCGAGAGCGAAACGGTGTTCGCGTGGAGGTAGGTGAGGTCTGCGGGGGATTGGAGCTCGATGCGGCGGTGCATGGCCATATTGAGCGCTGTAGGTGGCCTGGACGGCGTCGAGTGGGTGGGGGTATAAGTGGTGGTTGGTCTTCGACGCGTTTATGGACTGGAGTTCACTCGGTGAGGGGGAGGGAGAGTTGGATCTTCAACGGCTACTTCGCTGTGTGCCTGAGGCTGCAGGGTAAGATATGTGTGCCTCAGGCTGAAAGGCGGAGATCGCCCCGCGGAACAACGATGAATGTCATCATCGAGATGCTCGCGGTGTCTTCGTCACTTGTAATTATACTTGCGAGCTCCTAATTGGTTTCTGGGTCGTTTATTTGTGACTTCAATATATATATTTATAGTACCTGTATAGTCATTCTTCTGATATCGGTCCCTACCTGCGAAATGACCCCAAGGCAATGACCAAATAACCCCTGGTTGCGACCATGGACACCCCTAAGATCACCCTCCGCGATAACACCGCCCCGTTCCCTCGATACTCCGATAGCGAGGATCCCTCCCGAGTAACGACAAATCTATCGGGAGCGTCGTCAGGCCGGTGGACGAGACCTTCGGTCCGAAATTCTCTGAGAAAGCGAAGATACGCAAAGTGGCAGCCGCGCCGGCTGGGACTGGCCGACGACAGCGACACCGATCGTCGCGGGCCAGACCCCCAGGAACCGACCGAGTCCGACACCCAGCTGCAAATCACCACAGAAGACTCCCGCAGCACCCAGCCACTATTCCTCCAGCAAACCACCGAGTCCAACAATGTCGAAACGACCGACTTCGCCCCCACACCGCCAGAGCAAGCCAGCGCAGGCGCGGGCTCAGTCCAGGGATACTCGAGCGCCATCGCCGTGAAAACCGGCAGCACCCATAGCGAGCTGGACATCCTCTACGAAAACCAGCGCGGCTGGTTCTTCTTCGGCATCCCGCTCTACTCGCACAGCTCGCTGCTCAACCTGGACCCCAGCGCCTGGGTCACCCAGGACATGCGGTACAGCCCCGTCAACATCACCGACGCCCAGCCGCCGGATCCCAGCTGGGTCTGGGCCTGGCGCACATGGTACGTAGATATGTCGGGCGATGTCGACGAGCAGGGCTGGAAGTATTCCTTCTCGTTTTCCTCGTCCGCCTGGCACGGCACCCATCCGTGGTTTCACTCGTTTGTGCGTCGCCGTCGCTGGGTGCGTCTACGTACCAAGCGGGTTGCGGATAGGCGTCGGAGGGGGCGCACGGGGCTGGAGGCTGCTCATATGCTTAATGAGGATTACTTTACGATTCACTCGGCGCAGAAGACGGCCAAACGCGCGTCGAGCTCGGAGCCTACTTCTCGTGTGACGTCTGCTTATTTCAGTCAGGCTACAACGCATGAAGAAGAGGAGTCGCCGTTTGAGGAAATTGCCAATATCCCGACCTTGTTGGATGCGCTGAAAGCGGCTGTCGTTGATCGAGAGAAGATAGATGCCCTTGATCGGTTTATAGAGGATGGCGGCGAAGAACTGTACTATCTGGAGGAAAAGGTAAGCGCCTCTCACCCTTTGCTCTTGGTAGTAGTGTGGTGACATGCCCCTGACACAAATATAGGTTCCCGAAATCATGTCCACCTTCGTCTTCCAAATCTCTCGCTGGCGATTCCTCAACCATCTTACCCGCATCATCGACGATTTGTCCAAACAGATCTCCAAATCGGAAAGCACCGTGGAGACGGAAAAGCTCCAGAGGAAGCGCAATTACCTATCCAAGGCGAGTAAAATGATGCGACACCATCTGACAGGACCGGAAGTCTTCGATCCTCCGGACGGGGCAAGGTCCTCGGAAGACTTGCTGGATTTGACCCCACGGTCGGAAAGCAACAGCTTGCTGAAAAGGCATTCAAGAAGCATTCGGTTCAGGCCCATAGATGACGGCGGGGAAATCAAGGGTATTCCTGTGGCGGCGGAGGTTGGACGAGAAGGTCATATTTACCGGTATTCTTCTTGATTCGGCGACGTTTGACTGGGAAATGGCATTTTGGGTTGGGCATGGCGCATTGGGTGGTACTGTACTATAATAAGGACTAGGCGTGGTTTCTCATTTTTCCTCAATCAATTTTCTCGCACCATCAAATCTCTAATTAATAGAAAGATGGGCGTATATAAATGCAGCAATATGATGCTATACTCGCCACGGTCCTCGGTCACCGGAGTATCCATCGGGCCGATGCTCTGTCTTGTCCGCTCGGGAATCCCGCAATAATTTTGCAACGGCACCGCCTGCTTGTCCTCTCCCATTCATGACCACATTAACTACTTTCCAAGCTTGACTTCGCCCCTCCACACTATCCCTCCCCTCTCTCTCCCTCCCTCTCCCCCCCCTTCTCACCCGGCCTTTTCATGTGTTGACGGTCGGAGCCCGTCGTTCTCTATGTTCGCGCGTGGCTGCCCGCGTCTGGGGAGGCTTGATCTATCTGCCGTCTTGGACAGCGTCGCAGCTAACCCTGAAGAACCTCTCCTTTTCCTCTACCCGCGTTTGTCCTCGACGGCCTGGCAGCAGCGGAGATCGATCTCGCTTCGAACGGCCCATTCCACACCGACAGAACGCACATCTCGATCGGGGGGACTCGTGTCTCGTCCACCGCCGCGGAGGTCCTCGTTCGGGAGCTCGAAGAGACGATGGATTGCTTCCGGCACTGCTCTGGACGCGGACCCCGTACATGCGGCGAAACCGTCGCACCAGCAATCCCCTGCACCGACGAGCGCTGGAGGTAGCGGGAAAGAGATCCGGCAAGAACGCGAAGAACCCGACACAAAGAACCCCAATACTTCGGAGAAGAGGATCCCAAAATCAGGGAACTCGTCCCGTCGCCATGGAGGAAAGATAGAGAATAGGGAGCGTCAACCCGCATTCGACGCCTTTTCCGACTTTAAACCTGCCCCTCAACCCTCTCCGAACGAACTACAAAATCCTCGAGTACATGCCCTCAAAGACAATGTTCCCAAGAAATGGCTGCTTGGGCGGGAGAGACGCATGCTCCGGACAAGTGCGTCTAGGAACCCGGCCCCCAGCAGGCGTGCGCCCTTTAAGCAGCTTTCGGTGCAGGACCGGCGCAAGCTCCAATGGCGGTTGCGCATGAGCAGCGCCCAAGAAGACCGCAGTCCAACGGATGAATGGGAGCAGTGGTTGAAATTCCGGGATGTACTGGAACGGCAGCAGCAGGAATCTCGTATGTGGGCCAGGAAGGCCACCCGGCAGAAGGAACTGTTGGTGCCGGAGGAGACGGTAGCGCTGCTGGCCGGCGTGACGGAAATGCACACGGAAGAGAATATTTGGTATGTGCCGGTCCACAACGGATGCAAGGTGCATGTGTTACACCCGGCCGAAGGCGAAGGTCGACACCGCAAGGTGGTGCTCTCGGGTTCGGAGCGAGTCGTGGAGTTGGTTGGGGACCGCATTATGCGCGCCATCAGCCTGCAGGAAGGGGGAGATCCTCTAATTGATATCAGGAAGCCGGCGGTGCCGGTGCTCCCTTCCCGGTATCATTCCTCTCGCCGAAATGAAGAGGTGCCGCTCGTTCGCGGAGTGTGGGACTTTCAAACTGCTACGAAGAATCCGGTCCAGCTGGACTTGCTCCTGCCTATGTCAGAAGGGCTGACAACCGTGCGGGAGTTTGCAGAACACATAGACGAGTTGGTGTTGTCGAGTTCCCCGCCTCAGACTGTGGAGGACAGCACCAAGCCTGTCCCTCACAAACAACGAGTGCGGGATGCCTTACTGGAGCTCTTCCTTCGCGAAGCAAATCAAAGCCTGTACTCGACTGCCGCGTTGAACCGGGCGCTCACACACCTGCTGGAACATCAATACCTGGGCGCTGTCAGTACGATCTTCCTCCGAGCGGAACATGTCGCCACAGTCGACACCTTCAACATCATTCTCCGGGCGCTAGCCAGACGACAGGATACCCGACTCCTCAGCTACTTCATGCAGCTCATGGGCCGGATGAAAATCCAGCCTGACTCGTATACCTGGCTCGCCTTGTTCGACTGCCTGATCTCGACCAAGACCAGATCCAGTGCCTTCGAGTACATGCTCCAGAAGGGCTACCTCGCCCAACCCAAGGCGATGCGATCCGCGCTACAACTGACCATCCAAGACCTACTGACGGTCCACCTGGACAGCGGAAAGAGCGTGGACTCTTTCGTGAACACAGTGATTACCAATTACGCCGGCAATTGGGTGTCGCGATCGCTGGTCAGCCAGATGCTCAGCGTCTTCGTCCGGCGAAAAGACCACGCCGGCCTAGACCGCCTGCTGCAGATCTGCGTGGAGCAAGGCTTCGAGATCAACAACTCCGCCACCGTCAATCAGATCGCCCTGATGTTCCGTTCGCGCGTGTTCCTCGCGCTGCAGCGCGTCTACAAATGCATCACCGACACCCCGAACTTCAAGCGAGCATGGGAGCGGCTCTTCCTAACCGCCTACAAGAACCGCCACTACAACGTCTGCCGCGTACTGTGGCGGTACGCCTGCATGGACGGAGACATCACCGTCAAAATGCGACGCAGCGTCCTCGTCTCACTCGTACGGAACGTCTCTCTCAAGCGGGGCGAGGACCTGGCGACAGCATGGAACCTGAGCGCAGGCAAAGTCATCGTCGGACTCGACCTCCACCTCCCTAACTACCCCCTACGCGATCCTCTCCTGAAGCTCGTGCCCGCCGAGTTCCACGAAAACCCAGTCTCGTACCTCATGAGCGGATACGCCGCCGTCGGCGAAGACCGCCAACGACAGCTCGCCGCCGCGAACATGATGATCCAGCGAGACATCACCGTTGGACCGTGGTATCAGCCCAGCAAGCCGCTCGGCCTCATGCTGGAGGCGGCGGTGGTGCTGGATAAACGGCTGATGTCTGCTCCGAGGCCGACCGCGTGGCTTCTGCAGAATGCCATCCATGTGCCGGTTGAATTGCGGAAAGACGCCGCCCTGCCGTGAGCCTGTCCGTCCGTTTGTCTGTCTGTCTTGTTTATATATGATGGACGATGAGTATGGGCTTGGCGACGTACATTGTTGTGTACATATGTGTATAAATATTGCGTGCATCTCGTGGTGCGGTCTGCGGATCGCCTACCTGGTTGCATTTTCGTGTACTGTATATTTGATAGATACCATATAGACTACTCTCCGTTTTCTGTCCGGACCTGCGTATAGCAAACTGCCTTAGCGTACTGTCATACTCTGCCGAATAACCAATCGTCCATCGTCTTGAGTAAGTAAGTGTCAAACAAGCAAAATGAAGTAAAGAAAAAGAAATGAAAAAGTCATAAGGTCGTCTATTGTCTATATACCGTAGTAATCCCAGCCAATCAAATAATCATACCGGCATTGCATATGTAAGTCCTCTCACATATCATATCATATCATATTACACCCGTCCCACACCCCCAAAAACCCCGCATCAGTGAAAAAAAAAGAAAAGAAGAGAAAAGAAAATCACCGTCCATTCCCCTGCAGCAACGGCGGTGGCGCCGGCGCCGCAGGAACAGCAGCCGCGCCGGACATCTCAGGCCGCGCTTCGGCGGGCGCGGCGTAGGGGTCAAACGATGTGCGCATGTTGCCGACGCCTTCTTTGAGGTAGAGCACGAGGCGGTAGGCGGAGTTGCCGTTGAGGTAGTAGCGGTGTAGGCGCTTGCTGCGGAGGAAGCCGAGACGCTCGTAAAGTTTCATGGCGGCTGTGTTTGTGATTTCTGTCTCGAGGGCGATCTGTGGATTGATTTGATTGTATTAGCTTTTTCCTCCTCTGCTTTGGAATTTGCTGTTGGATAGTGAAGCTAAGATGGGTAAAAAGATCGGGGTATGCACCTCATCCGCATCTCTCGCAATCATAGCATCAATCGCCATGCGCACCAGCTTCGTCGCGATCCCGCGGCCGCGGTATTCCTCCCGCACGGCTAACATGGCGATATACCCGCGCATGGGCCCCCCGCGGTGCGGCTCTAGCTTGGAGACGACGACGCCGACGATGGGGTCCTCCGGGCGGGAGTCGTCGACGGTCATGAAGCACAGGTCGCCCCATTGGTAGAGAAAATAGCGGTAGACGTAGATGCTGTAGGGTTCGGAGAGGTCTTTGGAGATGAGCTGGCGCATGGCGGCTACGTATTCGTCTTCGCGGGAGGGTTCGTAGCGGATGTAGCGGAGGGGGGGTGGTTGGGGTTGCGACATTGTGAGGGGGGCATGGATGTTCTTTCGTTTTCTTCTTTGGTTTCTGTTCTGGTTGGGTGGATTGAGTGGGTTGAATTGGGTTGAATGGGTTGTTGGAGTTAGTTGGAGAGAGAAGAGCGGGGAGAAAGAGAAAGAAAGAAGCGAAGATGGAGATCATCAACATGTGATCTTGTCGACTCCTTCGCTTCGTCTCCTCCATTTTCCTCTCCTTTTTGCCTTCTTCCCCTTGGTCTTGTATGCTCTATACCCCCTTTCCATTTTCGTTAATTGTTTCTCCTTATTCCCCGTCCTGTTCCTCACTTTAATTACACACATTGTCAGACGTGTTCTCCATCCATGCTGCGCCGCCGCCCGGCCAAGGACGGCCAAGTCCCCTCGTCCGCACCCTCGGATCCAAACAGCAGCTCGTCCTCCTCGAACACCGTCACTCAAACCGTTGAAAAGAAGAAGGGTGACTCCTTTCTCACCAAGCCCCGCAGCAAACGGCGCAACAGTCTGATCTTCCTGCTGGGTGGGCTGTTCGGAATCCTGTTCGCCCTCTTCTTCGCCAGCCAGCAGGATGTGATTAGCTTGGACTCGTTACTGGACCTGAACCTGGACACTTTGATGGAAGCCATTCCCCAGGGGATTGTATGGGATGCGCGGGAATTCACGGTCGGTCTACAACTGGCCCCCAAACGGTGAATTGGTGGAGTCTTGCGTATTGACATGCGATGGCTACAGCAACATGAACGCGACGCCGTCAACTACGACCCTTTCTCCGTCGGGCTCCTACTCTCAGAACAGGGCATCAAGGCCAAACACCCCATCGTCATGATCCCCGGCGTGATCTCCACCGGCCTCGAGAGCTGGGGCACCGGCGACGCCTCGCGGCAGTACTTCCGCCGCCGGCTCTGGGGCAGCTGGACGATGATGCGCGCGCTGGTCCTCGACAAGGCGGAATGGAAGAACCACGTCATGCTGGACAAGAAATCAGGACTCGATCCCCCGGGGGTGAAGCTGCGGGCAGCGCAGGGGTTCGACGCGACGGATTTCTTCATCACGGGCTACTGGATCTGGAGCAAGATCCTCGAGAACCTCGCGACCATCGGCTACGACCCCACCAACGCCTTCACAGCCGCCTACGACTGGCGGCTATCGTACCCGAACCTCGAAACCCGCGACCAGTACTTCAGCCGCCTCAAGTCCTACATCGAGACCGCCGTGCGCGTCAACGGCGAAAAGGTCACCCTCACCTCGCACAGCATGGGCTCGCAGGTCGTCATGTACTTCTTCAAGTGGGTCGAGCACCCAGACCACGGCCAGGGCGGCAAAGACTGGGTCAACAAGCACATCGCCTCCTGGGTCAACATCAGCGGCTGCATGCTCGGCGCCGTCAAGGGCCTCACAGCCGTCCTATCCGGCGAGATGCGCGACACCGCCCAACTAAACGCCTTCGCCGTCTACGGCCTCGAGAAGTTCCTCTCCAAAGAAGAGCGCGCCGAGATCTTCCGCGCCATGCCCGGCATCTCCAGCATGCTGCCCAAAGGCGGCGAAGCCGTCTGGGGCAACTCAACCTGGGCACCCGACGACCAACCAGGCCAGCCCCTCACCTTCGGCAACCTGCTCAACTTCCGCGAAAGCAACTCCTCCTTCACAGCCAAGAACCTGACCACGCCCGAAAGCCTCGCCTACCTCATGGACCAAAGCGAGGACTGGTACCGCGAGCAAGTCCAAAACAGCTACTCGCACGGTGTCGCCCACACCACCCGCGAGATCGAAGCCAACGAGAACGACCCGCGCACATGGCTCAACCCGCTCGAAGCGCGCCTGCCCCTCGCGCCAGACATGAAAATCTACTGCTTCTACGGCGTCGGCAAGCCCACCGAGCGCAGCTACTTCTACCAGGAAGAGCGCGACCCGCTCGTCAACATGAACGTCAGCATCGACACGACCGTGTCCGTCCCCGACGGCGTCGACCGCGGCGTCGTCATGGGCGAGGGCGACGGCACCGTCAACCTCATCAGCACGGGCTACATGTGCGCCAAGGGGTGGCACATGAAGCGGTATAATCCGGCCGGTGTCAAGGTGAAGGTCTTTGAGATGCCGCATGAGCCGGATAGGTTTTCGCCTCGTGGTGGGCCTAATACTGGTATTCCCCCCCCCCCCCCCTCTCTCACCAACCCAAACAAACGAATAGTGCGTGATCAGTAAATAAATACTAACCCGGGAAATGTACAGGCGACCACGTCGACATCCTCGGCCGCGCCAGCCTCAACGACCTCGTCCTGCGCGTCGCAGGCGGCCAAGGCGACGATATCGAGGAGACCTTTGTCTCGAGGATTAAGGAGTATGCTGACCGGGTGCAGATTTTCGAGTAGACAGGTAGATAGACAGGCATATATCTAGTCTCGTCATCGATCTATCTACCTATCTACCTATCTACCTATCTAGCAATGGCTTTGATGGGTGGTAGGTATCCTTTGAGGGGGAGAGGGGTGCTTGGGCTCCTTGTATGTATGTACGTATGTAATTACTTATTGATTAATGACGAATAGAGATGATTGTTAGATCTTTTATTTTATTTTATACAGTGCTGAAACCCCTCAGTGGCGTATATTGGTTTGTTATGTTTGGATGATGATTGAGTGGAGGTGTGTGTATGGTAGATAAGTAGTCAAGGAAATCCTGGTACTTGTTTACTACTGTTTACTATGTACTCTACTGTTTACTGTTTACTGCCAAGCGCAAAATCACATCAAAGACACGCAAGTCTGATTCCAAGCATACACAATATAGCTAAACTACTATGTATAAAGTAAAAAAATAATGCTGATTTCAACAATGTTTCATTTCATAAGTCATAACGCTATCGGTTTAGAATTAAGAATAGCTACTATGGAAAAGAAAAAAAAAGTGTGTAAAAAAGGTGGAAAAGAGATGATGAGGAGGATTCCACCCGTCGTCAGATCAGACCCACATTCTTCAAGATCAATGAAATGTGGGATCTGTCTTCTGTCCATTCAGTCAATCTGAAGTGGGTCAGGAGATAGATGTGATTGAGTCCGACGGCTGAGCCGTGGGATGTCCGGACGGGTGGGTGGTCGTGGCGGTAGTGGTAGTGGTGATGGTGTAGGTGTTCCATAGTAGTGGGCCATTGATGAAGGCCGGTCGAAAGACGTAGGTGATACCCCCTTTTCCTTGATGTCGTCGGGACACTTGGTCCCTCGAATCCCATATGTTCCAGGACAAACAACTCGAACCCTCTATATGCCAAACCAAGCTCGTAAACCAAACCGTCCAAAGCATCCCCTTCCCCCTTCTAAATAAAGCACAGCGAGTGAGTGCATGCAAAAAGGGCGCCAAGATGATTTTTCCCGTTTCAACCAATCCCTGGCGCCGTGGTGTGAGCGATTGACACGAATGAAAAAGTAAAAAATGTTGGTAAAGATATATACCTGGTCGAGGAGAAGAGAAGAAAGTAAGAGTCTCGACCAGTGGTACAAAGCGAAGGTCCAGAGTCGGAAAAAAGCAGTGCGCCGGAATGCCCAGCGGAGGATACAAACGCATGTCTCCCACTGGGCATCCTCGGGGCATCCCCCAACCGCAGGACTGGATCAGTCCCAACGGTCGGTGGCGGCATTAAGATTATCGACGGAAATTCCGAGGTTGCGGGCCAAACAGCTCCCCGGGTTCGCGATGATGTATGCATGTACAGGAATGAAGTCGCGCAAAAATCAAAGGAGAATGCAACAACGGTGCAAGCCAGGCGAATCACCCCCTAGGGAGCATTATTAAGCCAGACAAGACCGGGTCGCGTATTAAAGATATATGTGTCGAAATCGGCTCGATGCAAAAAGAAACTCCAGCATGTCATCAGATGGTGTAACGCCGTCTCATAAATGGATGCAAAAAAGAAGAAAAGTAAAAGCGGGCCAAGGAAGATGCAAAAGGCGGCCGGTTTCCGAGTTGATCACGGACTTAGGTATCGTCCACTCTCGATATCACTGGCGGGAGAGGCCAGAGCGTCGCCCTCCCAGGAATAATGGTCATCGACGGGGCTGAGCGAGCCCGACGAGATCGAGGACGAGGAGCCGACCGTCCATTCGTCGCTGTCCACGTTCAAGCCAGCGCCAAAAGTAGCCAGGTCGTAGCCGTACTCGCGCGTCCGGTCGCCATACTCGACGTAGTCGTAGTCCCAGCGGAACATCTTGTCCGACTGCACGCGAGGCATAAAGCGAGTCTTGGCGAAGTAAAACGCGACCGTGGCCAGAAGACCGCCGCCGACCAGGTCGACCGCGTAGTGATGGGACAGGTACATGGTGGCCCACCACATCCAGAGGGTGTAGGTCACGAACAACGGCTTCAGGCGCGGGAACACCTGGCTCATGAACAATGCCGCCAGGGTGGAATCGGCCGCGTGCAGCGACGGGAACGCGCCAAAGACGACCGGGGACTGTCGGAAGCCGGAGGTGTACAGGTCGATGCCGAGCAGCTTGTCGATGCGAGCCAGGCCCGCCGGGTTGCCCTCCATCGAATAGTCGGCGGGAGCGAGCCCGTAGAGGTTCTCGTACCACGGAGGCGAGCAGGGGAACAGCAACTGGATCGTCACCGCGAACATGCTGATGTATCCGAACGTCCGGGCGAAGAGAGGCGTCGTGCCCGGAGGACCAAAGATAAACATGATCAGGGAGCAGACGAAGGGCGCGCCGTAGTGACAGAGGCCGTAGGGGATCCAGGCCAGGACGTCAAGCGCCGTGTTCTGATGAGCCGACAGGATGTTGCTGATATTGGCACCATAGAGGATGTTTTCCAGGGCCGGAAGCACACGGACCCAGATAGCCGGGCGCCACTCGCTAGGAACGAACCTACAACGATCGTTAGCATCGACGGTTTACTGTCAAGACCGTACCATGGATAGACTTACTGGCATGCGTAGAAAAAAAACAACCACCCCGCAATGGGGAGGAAGGGAAGAAAGAACTGGCGGGTGACGGGGAGTAGAAGGGAGAATATGTAGAGGGAGAAGATCCCCGTCTTCGCCAGGGGACCGGGCGCCTCGATCATGCTCAACGAGAAGATTCCAACAATCAACAGCAGCAAGTATTGGAAGTCGTAGAGCGTCCACCGGTGGCTCTGGAGGGATCGCAGCGTATCTACCGGCGAAAACGAGGTCTGCAGCGACGAGATGGACGAGGTGGGCGAGATCCTACTCCGCAGCTTGGACCGAAGCTTCCGTCGCATGCGATGCGGGACCAGCAGCTGGATGGAGCGCCATGGCACCTGGATCTGAAGTTTGCCGAATTGGTTCTGCGTGCGATCCTTCCACGAGGGAAGGTTGGAATTCATCTCTGCGGGGAGCTCTCCTCAGAGACTCGAGACAGATTCCTCAGCTGAATATGCTTCGTCCCGAGAATGACGAAATAGGGGGGCGAAGGGGAATTCCGAGTTGAAGACAGATGATGGAAGCGAGATCCCAGTTGACGATAAGGGGAGGGGGTGCGGAACCCAAGCGTCAACGTGACTCCTTGTCGACAAACAAAACGTTTCACTCGGTGGCAGCCAGTATGGGGTACTCTCCTTGCACACCGGAGAATTCTAGGCAAGAAGTATTTCGATGCAACAGGGATCGCGGGCTCCGGTCTCCGGCGGCCAAAACGAGGAGACAAAGGACTGGTCTGGAGATCGCGTTGCAAGGGCGATTCTGACGCAAGGCGGATAGCAAGGGCGATTGATTAGGGGAGACCAGGATAAGAGGCGCAATTTGACCACGGAGCCGGAGGGATGGTGGTAAGGGGGAAGTAAATGGAGGCGTAGGAAAAACAACCGAGAAAAGAGGAAATGAAGGGGAGAATTAGGTATGAAGTATGGGAGAAGAAAAGGAAGAGGAGAAGGGGAGAAGGAGAGAGAAGGAGATGAGATGAGATTGAGAGAGAGCGAGAGCGAGAGAGAGAGAGAGAGAGAGAGAGGCGCCTAGAGAGCCTAGAGACTAAGAGACTAGAGAGCCTTGACGGACTCTGGCGGGTACGTGGTATCCGTATGGTACGGCACCGCCGGGCAGGACAGCCCGTGTTTTGGTATTACCGTCTACTGTCGGTATTTTATGGTACCGCTAGTCTAAATCTAGTTACTCCAGCGATCCCGCTAGCCCGAAATAGGTGGATACCTGCCTGAGGCCTCGGGTCAACCACGGTCGTTTACATAAAATTCGGATGAAAAGATGAAGAACTAGTTAGTTACCTTAGTTGGGACAAAAGGAAGGAGAAAAAATTTTCACCAGACTCGGAATACGGCAACTATGAATTTAAACTACACAAAGATTAACTCCATCGGTGGGTAAAAGCCGACTTCCATTCATCAACAAAGCCAGTCAGATCAATACGAATGGCGGATGCAGCGGAAGTTCGGAGGCACGGAGTACTGGTTGTCTATAGGAAGGTACCTACATCGTACATATTCTGTAATCACATCGGTAGTTGGATGTACACACAAAAAGCAAAGAAATAAAAGATGAAAACAAAATAGATCATTTGAAAGGACATATCGGGCTCTCTCCGTCAGATGGAAAATCCGTCCAAGGTAAGTAAGTAAATCGAGGGGGATATGATTGCACCTCCTTAAAACACCTGGCAGTTGTCATTTCATGGAATGCATGATCAGCAGTCTGATTGGGGAGAAGCAACCCACCGGATATACAGACCAGCCAATGGGAAGCCGTGGATCTCCCGAACCAATTTCGCTTAATCCACAACGGTTGGACAGTCAGCAATGAACTAAGTTCCTCACAGGCCAAAGAAATCATCCGACCACGATGCGCCAAGCCCCACTGTCCCTGGATACTTCTCCTGAGTATTGAGTATCATGATTGATCTTATATCTGACCTAGGTATGAAGAAGAGTATATTTGGGGGGACAATTTACCTAACTAGATAGAGAAAGATATGTATATATAGTATATAGTATATATTATGATATTCAGAGGGGATTCAGGGCCAAAGGTACGCATAGGCATATCTTAACTATAGTAGTCTATCCCTTCAATGCCGAGCGGAATTACAAATCCCCTGAGCCTCGAGGTAAAAACCATATCACCCCTACCACGGTCCTTCTCACCTGCCACCTCTTCACCACGGTTCACCATTCAGATCTTCACCAGTAACCAGGGAAAGAGACCTAAGATTCTGTACATTGTACTCCGCAGTCTCAATCTCTACTCCCAGTGTGCTCAGTATGCAAGTTATGCGCCTGAAATTGGAATGGAAGCGCTTCTCCTCTTTCCCCCCAGCAATCACAATCGAGTCTTCCAGATCAGCGACTCCACCCCTCTGGTCGCATTGACAGGCCAACCAGTGGATTGATGGCGATGTGCAAGTCTATCAGGGATCTAAATCGTGTCTAGCACGGTCATCGACCTTGATTGGATACACGAGGGGGGAGGGGATCCTCTGCCCAGCCGCAAGTAAAAAAAAAAAATAATAATAAATAAATAATAAAGGAGGATGCATGTCAATAAGTAAGTAATCTGCTAGGTTGTTACGGTGTCATAACGGTATTCTATACCCAAGATCATGGTACAGAATACATTACAACGTATCTCCCCATACTTACCCACTTGGGTAGTTCTGTACTTACTTAAAAAGATCAAATGGATGGAAATGGATCACGGCAAGCCGCAACCCGCCCGGACAAGCTGATCATTTTACATCCGAAATTGACCAAATGTGAGCACTAGTCCTGCATAAATGGCACGACTGGTCATAACCATGCCACTTGCATGGGGATATCGTGCCAGCTCTTCTTTGTTCACCTCCCACGTTTACTCCCCTTTCATGTAATGAGGAATGAGATGTGATGTCATTCATTATCCCCTTACTTCTTGGGCATCGGGTTGGATTGTGTTAATATCATGGATTACTTCATCATCGGTTGTTTGTCTGTTGTCCTTGCCGAGTTACAAATCATCCATCATCTGACTAGTGTAGTAAAAAATTCTAAGAGAAAGCATAAATGAAAGCATAAATGAAAGGAAAAACCAACCAAAGAACTTCCTGATCGATCGCACTGGATCCAGTTAGTAGACGCCCCCAATACCCGATCCAAGGCAACAGCGTTGATCGGACTTCACAAGAAAAGAGCCAAGCCAAGAAACCCAAGTTACCTTACCTAGGACCGTGGAGGAGCTCTTTCTCCTCGGCATTCGAATCCGGTTCGAATCCTTTCTTCATGAAACATTCTCAATCATCAACCATGTAATCAATCATATCCATCTAATCCTTTCTTTCTTTCTTTCTTTCTTCTAATACAGAAAGACAAAGATAGTCATCTCGTATTCGATCAGCAATCCTCATTACGAGCTGCGCCTACTTTTCTCATCTCACTTCATTTCCTCTAGTTCTAGTTATTTGCCAGGACCCGCTTACTCATAGCTTCAACAAGACGAGCAATGCCCAGAAGTGGATCCCGCCAGGAAAAAAACGACCACTCGACCACCAGCATCAAAGGGCGAGGCGCTGAGCCTTGGAGATCACCAATCCAATCACCACCCCTTCTTCCATGTGAAGTGGAGACTACTCCCCTTCCCAATACGGGGGAAGTCATATACATGAGATACCTCGATCCTCCATCATCATCCTCCACCACGATCACGTAGGATTCTAGCTTACTGACTGTATCGATGAGCCCGAACGGACGGGTCTAGGTCTAACCTGTCAAATAAGTCCGCAGCGTTACAGCAGCCCGCTTTTTTTTTTCCCTCCCACGCGGGAACGGTACCCGCTTTGCGCTCATTGCATCATGAGTCTATGAGTCTGCCTTAAGGGGGACTGGAATACATCATCGCGCATCATGGATTGGGCTTCACTGTATGATACGTTACAGGGCGGTATTCTTTTACCGTATGGATGCATAGTGCATATACTCGCCTTGTCCGGGGTGGAGTTGAAGTAATGGATGTGTAGAAAGGTACATGGTCAGCTGACTTGTGCTGACCTGGTGGTAATCCATCCCAGCTGAGATGCGATGAGATAGATGACATGAGATCATCCCGCATATTCTTCACACATTCAAGACTGCCTGTTACTTTGATATCGAAAATTGTAGTCTCTTACAACCATTGTGATCAATACAGCACAAAAACAATGAATGAATGTGATAAAAGAAAGAATAGATCTACCGCGCATCCGCATCCGAGCGCATCGCCCACACCTTCCCCCCCAATCCCCTCCAATCCCACGCGCTAATATTGAGCTATTGGTCTGGGGTGCTGTCGATCCCCAGTAACTAGGCTGGTAAATCGGTCGGTCGATGGGACTCTTGGTTGTCTGTGCGAAACGCCAGTCTGGGGTTTTAGGCACAGGTGAGGCTGGTTGGCTGGTTTACTTACCTGCCTAGTGGTGGGGTTGAAGCTGGCGGTGATGTCTAAATATAAATGAGGCGTGGGGTTAATGAGGCTGGGTAGATGGGTACTAAGAGTGGCAGGGCAGGGCAGAGTATCTTCAGAAGCCCCGCATTACAGTCTGACGTATGATGATCTATTGTGTTGTCTGTTAGAGGGAGCTGAGTCCGGGGGATGTTTACAGGGGAAAGTCTATACATGAGTTGTTGTGCATGGCTGTAGTCATAGTATAGTTCTGTATCAGTCGGTTGACCTATAAAAGCAGTTTATATTTCAATCCCTCGACCAGCCCAAAAACCATACATACATACATACATATCAAGTGGTTCTAATAGCAGGGTAATCAGGTCTCATCAATATCACTAATACACCGATCATTTTTAACTCCCTCCTTCCTTCAATATCATATCATCCCACATACCTAACTATCTCACCACATCCCCTCCAATAACACTGCATCAAAAAGGTACTATCTTACCTATAGATCCCATGACATGCTCTAATCCCAGGAAAGCCATTCCTCGACAAACTTTATCTATCGTATTCGGCTCTTTCCAGTCCTCCCACTCGAACTAACATCTCCCACCCTTGTCTTCGTCTCACTTCCACTCTCACGCCATCCAGCATGACGCCTATTAAGCTCGCGAGCAATACGAGCTACCCAAAAAAAGCATAAGCACATACAAACCTACCTAGGAGGCGAGGATGGTAAGCCAAAGCTAATCATACATAATCTTAAACATACCGCTAGTCCACGCATAATAACCACCAAGCCATGTGACTCGGTCACCTTTGAGTTTGACCGCCACAGTTAACTAGTGGAAACTTACCATAGAAGTCTGACAGCAGTGAAGGTTTCATCTGGGATGGCTTGTTCTTGGCTTTTTGAGCCACGTTGCTCAGATTAGCTCAGCTTGTGGTATTCTGGGGAGGTTTAGCTGAGCTGAGTGATAGTCTCCGTCGGAGGGAAGTAGATAATCGATACACTGGTTTGTTACTCCAGATGGCCTGGCTTGATAGAGGTACAAACCTTTCCTCTCTTAGGCAGAAGGCCGAGTGTAAATATACTGTTTCTCTTTTTACACCGGTCGAAGATTGACCATTTTACTGTCAACCAGAACGTAGTTTCTAGATCCCATACAGAGTAATATTCTATCCCAAGGCAACTCTATACATAACATCTTATCACCGACCAGCGCTGTAGACATTCAATTCAGAGTCTCGCGAGCCTGTTCCTCCCTTGCCTTTTCTTCCCTCGTTCTCTTCAGCTTCTGGCGAAATTCTTCAGTATACTCATCCGGATCCCACACCAATACCCTGTGTTCCATCTCCTCGAGCTTCCTCGTCACCAGCTGTTCCATCTCATCCCTTTGAGCTTCATCCAGCTGTTCCAACCGCTCTTTCCATGCCTCGCTAGGATCGTCGGTTTTCGTCGGCCCAAAAAACCTCGGGTCGATCTTCTTCCAGTAGATCTCGTCAAACGCAAAGCTGTTCTGGATCGCATACACTATCCAAAAGTCGCCGCTCTCCCAACTCCGTTGCATATGACTCGAGAGCCGGCGCTGGTCATGCTGGACGACAGCACCTTCACAGTTTCTCATGGCTGCTAGGAAGGTCTTGAGGCGGCGGTCAAATACTCGGGCCCAGTCCTCGATACCTTCAGCCCAGTACTCGGGCCTTTCGATAAGAAGCCACCATGGCGGCGCGTATGAAAACTCCACGGGTGCTGCGTATGTGAACTCCCAATCCACGACGCCGACAGTATGCATATCTTCATTGAGAAGAACATTGGCTGGTCGGAAATCATCACACCAGAGTTTGAAAGGTCCATTCTCGTACAATGGTAGTGATAATTTCTTGTCCCTGGCAAGCTTGTAAAACAGCTGTCTTGCCACGTACTTACGGCGACAGTCATCTGCAGACTGCACCGCATCATTCCTTTGATGGAATAAATGTTGCATATTAAGTTGCGCCAGAGCTTCGATATAGGAAGATGCTGTATTGAAAGTGGCATCCAGAGGCGGAAGTTTGGATCGAGGCAGTGACCCTAAACGCACCAAGGTATTCATATTCATGGATAATGGCCGGCGGGTGACCTCCCAGGAAAAGTCATCCACCTGGGTGAGGGACCCTATTCGGGGAAATTCTGTCTTGAAAAGCTGAAGCAGGACATTGGCTAATTGCGCGTATAGTAATCCAAGTTGATCTTCATCAATATTTGGATTCAGAACCCCCCGCTCTTCAATTGGACACGCGGGGGTGTTGAGAGCCGCATACATGCTTTTCGTCCAATCAATATGGCTCATCATGATAAAAGGACCGAGTTTAAGGGGGCTCTCCTCCCTTGTACCTGAGAGAATAACGAATGGAACTGGAATTGGTGTTTGATCTGAGAGGTATCGCATCACAGCGACCTCATTCTCTGTCTTTTCCTCAGGAAAAAGAATAGTGCCAGGTTGTGGGAAACGGATATCAGTCGCGCCGTATGTGTACTTCATTTGTAATACGATATTGAAATACCCTTTGCCACAAATTCTAAACTCGGGGTCGTCGCCAGAATCATGCCTCAGGATAAAACTTGCAATCGGTCTCTTGACGTCAATATCAAGAAACTGATTTATCCAGTTGTCGGAGACATCCTCGGACTGTTCCCATGCGACGTCGTCGAAATGCATCCAGGGCTTCATAGTTTCGGATGGAAGAAGAACGTAGTTGCTGGTCTTTGTAGTGAGGCTTTTAAGTTTGGGGTTAGGAATGTCGTCGATGAAAAGGGGCTATATGAATAGTAGTATAGTGATATTAATCTCATCAGTCGACACGAACGCCGCTATCAATAGAGAGCGAGAACAGTCATCCATCTACAATCTCGAGAGAAAGAGACACGAGAAGTCTATAGGCTATGAGAGACCAGGAAAACAGCGTTCAGAGGAAAATAAGGAGGAAGCAGCCATCCACGTCCCTGCCTTACCACAATCACATGACCATCAAGATCTATCACAAATCCGCAATTGTGGTGGAACTGTGCCGCAGCCATTGTTGGAAGATCGTTGGGTATGGTAACTACCTCTAGGTGTTGGGGATGAAGCTTAAGCGGACTCAACTCGCTTTCCGTGGCACATCCGTCTAGATCTCGTGGCAGTTGTGGATTTGGTTCTATAGCATAAGAGAAGCCAAACCTTCTTGATTATCCAGCAATTGCGAGTCATTGTCCGAAAGTGAACTAAATGATCGAAGCCACCGTGGAAACCACAAAGGATACTGGACGATAGAACTATTAAGAGCCGTCAGCCAGTCGAATCCTCTGCGGCAATACGGTGCATAGGAGCGAAGGACTGGAAAACAAAACATCTTAGTATAAAAGACCAAGATTGATACGTTAATCAATATCAGTGCCCGAGTTAGGGACAGTAGGATTTATATCTATTCTCCTGTTCCAAAGATAATCTAATTCCAGAATAGTGGATGAGATCTCCTCTTGCAAACGAATACTAAAATTCTATGCTGCTTCACAATTTCTCAAACTCTAGTCACTCTGTATAGAATGTGCTAAAATATGCCAGAGAGATATATATCGAGACCCTCAGGCATCCACCAGAAAAGAAACTCTATCTTAAATCTTACACTCGATAAAGCCACATCCCGAATGCCAATCAGAGGATGAAAATCATAGATGAAAAGGCGACTGTTTCTTCCCGCCTTTGAAGCGCATTATCTTCGACGCCAATTACCCAGGTCTTTCGATTCTAGTAGCAGTGGTAAAGTTAGTACTATACACACCATTCTTCTTCCTAGTAATTTATAGCAAGGGAGATGGTAGATACCAGTAGCAGTACATACAACAAACAGCTAATTACCACCCCAACCTTACATACAAAGGTAAGTATCATCCTATCTAGTACGTGAAGACCAGCCTTGTTGTAAAATGAGGTACCGCAGTGACAATCGCAGTGGCAGTGTCCAAGAAGCATCCATGCATGCACGGATCTCCATTAGGGCGAAGTACTCCGCTGAACGAGCGAGAATCCTTGAAGCGGGGGAAGCAAGCATGCGCTGGCATTTTGTTTGATCATGTTTGTTTGTTCGAATTTGACCTGTTTGTCATTCTTTTTTCTTCTTTGTTTGCTTTTTACTACCATTGATCTCTAAGTACGGAGTAGGTATGAGGCGGGGTGGATGTGGTTCGTTGGTTGGCTTTGGTACCTTAGTGGTGGTGGTAAGGTACTGGATGGGTTATTGTTTTGGTTTATTTATTTATTTTTTTTTTATATTTATCTTTTGGGTAATAATGCCGAGAATTTGTGGAAGGTAGATAGTAGGATAGGTATGCTGCGTGGGTAAGGTATGTAACACAACTAACAAGTGGGCGTTGTTTCAGGCTGAAGCGACAAATGGTATGTGCGTACAAGATACTGATAGTGGTGCCGATATGCCAATATTGTCTAGACTCCTCAGCAATGGAGGTACCTGAGGCTCCTTTCTTGTTTGGTATCTAGGTAGCACACCTTGCTTGGTGGGTATGTGCCTTGTCGTTCTAGCTCTTACTGTTTCAGTCTCCCTATGACATTCCTACTAAGAGTCAAAACTATTGTCGTTATTTCGTGCGTGTTTTCGATATGTATATACATCGTAGATAGACACCATAGTGATACTCCAGACCACGTTTTGTCCTGCCCAGCATGGACCGAACGCCAGACACCAACCCATGACACCAGGAAAAGGAGAGAAATGAACGCAAAAATAAGAAAAAGAGAGTAATCAGTGACCCTCCTGTCCTCCATCTTCATCCGCAAGCATCTGGAACCCCTTCACCAGTCCCATTGCCGATCCGGCAGCGATCCCACCGACGAGCACCATCTGCACGCCCCCGATCATGCCCTTTCGAATATTCCGTCGCCCGGACCAGCCACTCACGAAGCACGTCTTTCCGTAGCCGAACACGAACAGCGCCACGGCCATGGTGGCGATCGACCAGCGCAGCGCGACGTACGCGTCTAGCGGGCCGACGAAGAAGTAAGGTAGGAGCGGGACGAACCCGCCGACGAAGTAGCCGAGCGCGATGGTCACGGCGCAGACCCAGGCGCGGGACCCGGACGGCTCCTGTAGCGTGTGGTGGAAGTTCATGAGGAAGGACGGGAGCATGGGCGAGGCGGACAGGTGCTGCGTGAGGTCGGAGACGAGGTGCGGTGGGAGGTCGTAGGGCGCGAAGATCTCCGATACGGTCGTTGTCACGGAGTCGGGATCCGTCATGGTTTCTTTTTCCGTGTCTTTCAGGGTCGCGCGGTAGGATTCCCTGGGTAGTCACGGTTAGTCCATTGCGATCGGGCTATCCTTTTCAAGGAATTGTTCAAGGAATTGTTTGTTTGTTGTGGTAGGAAAATGGAAGTATAGACTCACTCTTCGCTCTTGGCGCCCAGATATCCTCCCAGTCCCATGGAAATGGCACCCGCAATCAACTCCGCCAATCCACCGAAGACAACCACTTTGGTGTCGCCCAGCGCTGACAGACCGGCCGTCAGTGCAAACGGCACGGTCATCCCGTCGGACAGACCGATGATGGCGTCCGACACGATGCGACCGTCGACGCGGGATTCTTTCTTCTCGGGGCCATCCCGCCCGGGTCCGACCATCGTGCTGTTCGAGCATTCAGAGTCTCTCGACATATGATGCGAATAGAGCCCTTTTTCCGCGTCGCCATCTGCGACGGGGGAGTAGCTCGAGAAGAAGCCTTTGATAAATGCGAGCGACATTATTTGGCCGGTCTTGCGTCAACCTGTAGTATGTAGGTTTGTCGACGGGTGTTGTCTTATCTCCCAGGAGGATCTCAAATGGTTTTTGGAGGAAGGCAGGGGGGCCACCGGTTTAATAAAGGCGCCGGTATCTCAAATCCACCTGAAGAATGTGGGATCGAAGCAGGATTAACAGGATTCCGTAGGATCAAGCCCAGTAGTGTCGTTCTGAACTGGACAAATCAGAAACACAACCGGTGGGACCAAACAGGGCGAGGGAGGACTTAAGAAATCCTACAACCGGGGCGTCGACTGGGGGCGAGGGATAGAGGTATCAGAAACCTCCAGATAGATGACCCACGCAGTTACATCAGGGATCCACGCGAGATGAAGACAAGCGTCGGTGAGGGGTCTTGATGCGACCTCGTGCCTTTGCACCCCGGTCGATCAAGACTATCAAGCAAGCGAATAGCCTATAGAAAGTCCAAGTAACAAATGAACCTGAACGGGATTCGATCATTTGGTGCGGAGAACGATAACACGTGGACCGCCTGATTGGTCAGCAGTGGGTGTTGGCGGATCCACCGTCAGGCGGAGAACTTCACCTTCCAGTAATCATTACTCCACTCTAGAGTACTATACTTCCTTGGGATTAATGGGGATGTTATGACATGGTTCATGACCCTGGACGGAGTACAGTACGGAGTGCGATAGATAGTCTGGTTGTACGGAGTATCGCTAATGATCCAGAGAACTCCTGTCCCTTGCATATGATGTGGATTGTTGGACTGTCAATCATCCGACAGGTCTAGCAATATCCTCAAATATCATCATCTTGGACACCGTGCGAACATTGAAGTAATAGGTAGTTGACACTTCACACGTCCCCTGCATGGACGCGAGGAGGTCCCGTGTGATTCAATAGTGTCATCCGCACCGATCGCCGCCGTCTCCTTATCGCGGAGAGAGCCGTCGTCACACTCCCAAAGTAGACCTTGACGCGATCACGGACAATTGCAGGAGATCAATCCATCCGTTAAAATGCCTTCACGCTCCAAATCTCATGGGGAGGACTCGTTCAGGGGTGGAATGTCAAACCCCTTGCGACGCGATCAATTGATCCACCATACCGAGGGCGAAGGGGATACATAACGCGTGGACCGCTATTTAAGAATGCTCGATCTCGCGAGCTGAAGTCTCGAGATCTGAGAGAGTAACTTGTTTGAAACTTACCCATAGCGAGGATGAAGTTGTCATGGACGGTTGTATCTACGCTGGCCGCTCTCACCTCGGCGCGGCCTCAGGAGCAGGACGCGAGGACCTGGAGTCACCTCCGATCCAACGTACGCATACATTGCGAGGCAGAGAGACGATAGCTGACCCCAACAGATCAAACATGTTGTCTACCTGATGATGGAGAACCACTCCTTTGACAACATCGCCGGCTATTGGGATTTCCACCCGGACATCGACAACCTGCGCAATATCAAATACTGCAACGAGTACACCAACCGCAACTGGACGGTGTGGGACGAGCCGCTGGAGATCTGCGCCTCTCCATACGAGACAGAAGTGCCGCTGGAGGACCCGGACCACGAGTTTGCCGGGGTCACATATGAGATCTACCGCAAGTGGAATGCCACCAACGACGATGTGCCCAACATGGGCGGCTTCGTCGAACGGCAGTCGGACAAGTACCACTCGTCGCCAGGAGAGTCGGGGTTTGTTATCAAGGCGTATGATACGAAGAAGTCGGCTACGCTGGCGGAGATTGGCGAGAACTTTGCGTTCTTCGACTCTTATGTATGAGACCTCGCCCGTGAGCATCCCCAAACTGACGAGAATCCAGTTCGCCGAACACCCCGGGCCCACGAACCCCAATCGCCAATTTGCGACGTCGGGGTCTACCTGCGGGATGGTGGATAACGGCAACCAGGCCGCGGGTTTCTTCCACAACGTGACGGGGACGACGTGCGCGAAGTCCATCTTTGAGTCTCTGAGCGAGAGGGGGATCAGCTGGAAGAACGTAAGCAAATGACTCGATTGGTATGGACCGACTAACAGAATCAGTATTATGAGACGGACATTATAGATGGTTGGATGTACAAGGTGCGTCTCCATTATACCCAGTATTGTTGATGGACAGACACTGACTGGACTAGTGGGTACAAGACAACGCCCAAGACCACCTCGCGCACGCAGACGAGTTCTATAGCGACCTAGAGGAGGGCACCCTGCCCACTTTCTCTTATATCAACCCAGAGTGCTGCACAGTCGACTCGATGCACCCGACGAGCAACATGGCAGCGGGCGAGCAGATGATCAAGCATTTGTACGACGCGGTGCGGCGTTCAAAGTACTGGGACAATGTGCATGTACATCGACGCAGGAAATATCTCACAATGCTAACGAAGAACTCAGTCTGATCATTATCAACTTCGACGAGCACGGGGGATTCGCCGACCACGTTCCCCCACCCGCGAACGTGCCACAACCCGAAGACGGCATCACTTTTGACGGGAAGTCGGAAGGCCGCGACGTGACCTATGACTTTACCCGACTGGGAGTGCGGTATGTCTTTGGTCCCTTATTTAATCTCTTTTTATTTCTTCGAGGCGACTCACTCATACTACGAACAACAGTGTCCCCGCCTTCTTAATATCCCCCTACATCAAAGCCAACACGCTCATCCACGACGCGGGCACAATGTACGCTTCCGACTCCGCCTACACGCACACCTCAATCCTACACTTCCTGCAAGAACTCTGGGGCCTGAAGGGTCTGAACAACCGGGTACAGTGGGCCAAGACATTCGAGCACGTATTCTCCAGAAAGAAGCGATACGATACGCCGATGAAGTTGAAAACGCCGCGCTGGTACGGGAGTAGCTGGGAGCCGAAGCCGGAGCCGTTTTACCTGTTGAATCAGGATGAGGAGTATTATGCTCGGCGGAAGTTGCTTGAGAAGCAAGAATAGATGGTTGGATGGTATCGTGATAGACAGTTTCAAAAGAATAGGCTGATAGATTGGGTAACATAGAACATAGAGCATAAGGGACATTCACAGCGCATCTCATGTAAGACTAGGTAGATCCCGTCTTGAGGTAACGAAGACGTAGACGTAAGCATCGCTTGCCAGCAAACCACACCACAATCAAACCCTCCTTATTTAGCCCTGCAATAACCATCAGCATAACATACAATAAAACCCCTTCAGAAAGGGAAATAAAGAAGGGTGTGGGAAATAAACATACTTCCTCTTCTCCCCCTCACTTCTCTTCCCCCCCGACGACGACGAAGAAGAAGTCAACGACGACCACCCAGCCGCGGGACCCGACATATCCCAGATCTTACTCTTGTACGCCGGGAAAGAAGTATGATTCCACATGTTGACGAGGACACTACCCACATATTAGCTTCATCATCCCTTCTCATTACTTTCCCTTCTGCTCTTGTGGGGGATCTCCCCCCGCACAACACGCAAAAAAAAAAAAAACAAGCGAGAAAAAAGAAAAGAAAAAAAGAGGATAAGTAAACAAACCTCTGACTCCGATCCTTATACTCCTCATCCTGAATCTCCTTCACACCCACTTTCATTCCATCGCGCGAAAACATGACGTTCTTCTTCTCCATGCGGGAGCGCGTGTTGCGGGTGACTTCTGTGGCGGTGGACCACGCGATGTAGCCTATGGCGGCGAAGATGGCGACGACGACGAGGAGGATGATGAGGGGGAGGATTGGGTTGGACATTTTTTCTTCTGTCTTTCCTATTTTTCTTCGGTATATTTATTGATTGATGTATTGTTTGTTTGGTTTTTGGGTATTGGGTTGGTGGCGTTGTGGATGGTTCGTGGGAGATCTGGGGTGGATGGATGGTCTGGGCTTTTGTGGATTGGGTGGATTGATCCTATTTAAGTAATGTCAGAAATCAATCAAGTCAAATGCAGAGGAAGAAAAAAGAAGACAGAAGAAGGGTTAATAAATACCTAGGCAAGTACCGAGCAGAGTAAGATGCAATAAGACGGTAGGGCTGAGAAGAAGCGGGTGATCAGTGGTTTGCCGATCAGGTGGCTGGATCTGCATGACATACCTATCAATCAATCACCATTCATTATTCGATCTGGTGGTATGAAGTGGTTTTATGATGGTGATAGTAGGATAGATAAGAAGAGAAAGATATGAAAAGAGAAAAAGAGGAGAAAAGAGAAAGGGAAATTAAAGAAGAAAACAAAAGAGAAGCCAAGACTGGTACCAGGGGTGCAGGATCCGGTATGGGGTCTGGAATCCTGGTGCCTATTTCAGTCTTCTACATTACTCAAGGGATTCTTGAGGTAACTTGATTCATCTTACTGTACCTGGAGTACTGGTACCTTATAGGACTTGGTATATACATTATCTCAGTTAATCCTCACATCAGATAGTCCTCACATCAGACATTTTACAATAATATTCGCCCAGATATATCATCTCAAATAGAATGAGATAATACCCTACCATTAGACAGCTGAATAAAAAATAAGTGAAGTAGTATTAGTAGCAGTAGTAATAGTAGTAGTAATAGTAGTAGAAGTAGTAGTAGTATCTCAAGAAGTAAAAGAAGAGTGACAACTCAACTCCCCTCATACAATACATCATAATGAATCATCCACCCCAGCCGATCATGTCCACCTCATCGTGATCATCACATACTAGTACCTTCAATTCCCATCTCTCAGTCTATCTTTTTCTCCCCCCCTTCAATATTCCTTACTCTTTCTCTATCTATCTATCCATTTAATAAATAATAATATATAATATGTGCGGCGTCCCCTTCTTCCCCATCCCCCTCTGCTTCCAGTGCGGCACGGACCGGAATCCCTGCCACTGTCGCGTTATTGGTCCGTCTGTTGGTATGTCTCTCTGCTTTCCATACTGTCCCTTGCTGTTCCTACCAGGTACATGCCAGGTACATACCTATCTACCTACACACCTACGTACCTGCCAGGTACCTAGGTAGGTAGGTTCTACAGATTACATACTGACAGATTGGATAGCCTTCATCGTGAGTATCGTGACAGCTGTACGTCATCTCATCTACCAATCCACTCCATACATGTATACAAGCTAATAAGTGAATAGGTCGTCTGCTATCCCGCGTCCATCTTCTGCGGATGTTGTCTGACGAAGCCTGGGAAGGAGTGAGTTTCTTTCTTCTCCTTGATTGATTTACTTGAGATGTGTCTAATGGTGTAGTGTCCTGGCTTTCCCCGTGGAGGTCAATCGCATGGTGAATGAGTGTATACCTATTTGAATCTGTATTTACTTTGGAGGTGGATATTACAATACAATAAATAACAAGATCAGAAAACAGTGGTCATTATAGATATACGAACAGTGCTGCGTCCAATGGCATAACCAATATCCTCCGGAACACACAAGAATAAACATCAGGCATAAACATAAGGTATAGACAATGACTTAACGATAGAGAGAAACAAGGTTAGGAGGAGAACAGGCTATTTGAACTTTTCCTTCAGCTTGCTGAAGAATCCGCGCTTCTTCTTGGCTTCTTTGGCCCCCTGCTGCACAGTGTCCTTGCCCGTGGTCCCGTTGGTTCCCCCGCCCGCTTGGTTGGTCTGGCCTGTGGACTGCTGGGCCTGGGTACCTGTTGGTTGCTGGGCCTGGGCACTTGTCGGTTGCTGCGCCTGGGAGCCCATCTGTTGCTGAGCCTGGGTACCCGTTGGCTGCTGGGCCTGGGTGCCCATCTGTTGCTGGGCCTGGCTACCCATCGGCTGCTGGGACTGAGAACCCATTTTTTGCTGCGCCTGGCTACCCATCGGCTGTTGGGACTGAGAACCCATCGGTTGCTGGGCCTGGGTACCCGTTGGCTGCTGCGCCTGGGAACCCATTGACTGCTGTGCCTGGGAGCCCATCGGTTGCTGCGGCTGAGCACTCGCCGATTGCTGTGCCTGAGCACCACTCAGACGCTCCGAAGGGCCCGTCGGTCCCGCCCGGGATGGCTGCGACACAGCCGGGGTCGACTCGGTGCGGGGCCCGCTGGTCACGGTCGGTCCCGCGGCCGGGTAACTGCTGGACGGCGACTCCGGCTCCAGGTCCGGGGCCTCACCCGAGCGCTTCCCGGGGCCGTGGCCGACGTGGCCGCCGTGACCGTCGGGGCCGGAGTCCCCGCGGACTCCTCCCGGGTCACCTTCCTCTGGAGCTCCTGCTCCACCTCTCGTTTCTCGTCGACCGCCTCCTCGTAGGCCGCCGCCTCGGGGTCCTTGTGGGCATTGCTCATGGACCGCCGTACCACGTCCGGCACGTCACTGACCGGCCCTCCGCCGGTGGTGGTGGTGGTCTGGCGCCGGGACTCGAGCGGCACCCCCGCGGCCAGGGCCGCCGTGGTCGAGTCGGGGGCCGCCGACTGGATGGTGGCCGGGTCGTAGCCCAGGCTCCCGGTCCCCATGGGGAGACTCGACTCCGGGATCATGTGCTGGGACTGGGAGGGGGGCGGCAGGGTGGAGGCCCCCGCGAAGGTGGCCGGTCCGCCGGTCAGCGGGGCGGAGGCATCCTGGTAGTAGGCGGCCGGGTCGGTGCGAACGGTCGACTGCACCGTGTTGGGGTTGAAGGTGCTCGGGTCGGGCACCTTCTCGCCGGGTTTGAGGTGGATGGGATTACCGGAGCCGCTCGAGGCGGGGATGGGGTTGACGGAGAGCTGCTTCGCGTCGCCGCCGTCCCGTGGGGTGTCCGGGAAGGTCCCCGGCACGGCGGATCTCTGTTCGTAGGGGACATTTCTGGCGAGGCCGGCGGTGGTGGAACTCGGGGCGGCGGACGAGATGGTGGTATCGCCCAGCTCGCGAGGGACCTTCCCGGCGAGGCCTGCGGTGGTCGATTCTGGGGTGACGCCGGACATGATGGCAGCGTCAGGGTGCGAGGCAGGTGCAGAATCAGGTTGGATCTGATGAGGGTATAGGACGTTGTTGATGTTGTTGCTGCCGTCGTCTTCTTCTGGGGAGGAGGGATCGGTCGTCCAGATGCCGTCAACGACGAACTTTAAATGGGTCAGTTCCGGTCCGCAGGATTTCCTGTTAACGACACGCTGACGTGAGGGAGAGACATCGGAGGGGGGAGTGGGGAAGGGCAAGGACCCGGAGGAGGTGCGTCCACATGACGTCAGTGGACGGCCTCGCGTCATGGATGATCTATCGACTCTCCACGGTCTTGCCTTGTGCGGAAGGGAAACAAAGGCGTACCTTGTAGTGTACTTTCTCCGTCATCCACGGCAGGTGGATCTCCTTCTCGAAGACGTCGCCCGTCCGGTCCAGCTTGACGGACTTCGCCCAGTCATCGAAGTTGCCGGTTACGTACACTTCGTTGGCACTGTGCGGCCTAGATTGGGTTGGAGGCGGTCAGCGGTTGAATTCCATTGAGTCTGATTCTATAATCTGGTTCTGTGGTCCTCTTGTCTCCTGGGGGGTGTCACTCCAATTCTTCATGCAGCGGGGTTACTCGAGGGATTGGACTCGGTCGTACATCTGACGGAGACGGAGACTCGGGGAGACTGAAACGGAGGGGTTGAGTGTTATCGGAAGAACTTACCATCGAAAGGTGTAGGTTCCCATGATCTGTGAACCGGTAGAATATGAGGGGGAAGGGGGTAAGAGGGGAGGGGAGAACCAGGGAAAGGGAATATAATAAATTGGGAGGGAAAACCAAGAGGGAGGAGGGAAGAATGAAACAGAGGGAAAACAGAGAGAAACAGGGAAGAACAGCTCAACTAGCTTAGGCCGGAATTAGTTGTCAGTTGGCAGTCCGACCTGGCCAGCAAGACATGGGCGGTCAGCACGGATTCTCTGTCCTCCTACGGTATGAATTGATACGGACTTCAATTGGTGAGAGACAGAATGATCGGACAAAATTAAGAGATCGTGATTTGGTGTGGATTTGAAATTGATCGATGATCCAGCCCCCTATCAATGGTTCTAGATCCGCTATCTCTGTCTGTCTCTGTCTCAGCCTGTCTCTCTTTCCCAGACACTCCACTATAATCCCAATGCTATCATATTCCTCTAGATTATATTGTCTCCCTACAAGAGATTCTCCTAGATTACATCCGAATAGAATATTCCCTCAATCATACAGATTCATCCTATCTATAGTCTCGACTATCGGTCACGGACCATGCTGGATCCACTCCAACGGCGATCCAGACCGGCTAATTTCCTCCTAGTCAGGAATTCTCCTAGCAATAATAAGGAATCCTCCTCGAAATAGGAGAATAGGAGACTGTCTCTCGGAAAGAATGGAAGAGTCCACCATCATCATCCTCTCATGGTCAGATCGACCCACCCATGGATCCGGATGTCATGACTTCAGTCGGGGGACAACGAGGCCAAAGTTGCCAGTTGCCACCCCGAATGATGAGATCACGAGTCCCCCTTCTAGAAGACGTCTGGAAAGTTCCTCCTGGATTCGATCCGCCCGTTGTGGAACTTTCGATCGTTCTTCTATCTCTATTTCTATTCTTTTATCTTTCTTTCTTTTGATTTACATTGAATTTAGATCATCTAGGTTACCTAATTAGTAGGTTTCATTAGATTGTAATAAGATAGACTATTGAATAATCCCCCAGCTATTGAAGCCGTGGTGTCTAGCGTGGGGAGAACCCAATGAGTGACGTCGATCAACCATTGTCTTCCTATCCAGAAAGGTTGTCAATCAGGGAGATGATGTTGATGATCCATCCGTTCACTGACCAGGAGATATTCTCTCTTTTCTGTTCTTCTGTTCCTCTGTTCTTCTTTTCTTCTTTTCTTCTTTTCTTCTTTCCTTCTCTTCCTCTTCTGTCTCCTGTTCTTTTCTCCTCTTTCTCCCCGCCTTTCTAGGTTCCCTCCCTTTTCTTCCATCAGTCACCCTTTCTTCTCTCTCTCTCTCTCTCTTCCTTTTCTCTTCCCCTCTTTCCAACACTCCTCTCTTCTATTCTTCTTTTCTCTTCTCTTCTATCTTTCCACTCTATACCCCTTCTACTCCGTACTCTTCTATCACTTAATCTATCCTCTTAAACAGTCTGTTTGCTTGTTTCAAAGAGCTTGAAACTCCACCCATAGCTGCAATCCACCCGGTCAGTACCTCTGGTTCTCTTGCCCCTCCATAGCTTTCCTTGCTCTCCCGACTGGTCCACCATTCTTATCCATCTTCCTCTCTTCCCGTGTTTCCTACAAATCTTATTCCGTCACTCCCTCCATCCCACGCCCCATTCGTTGAAAGAAACCATCAAAGTCACCAGAAAAAAGGGAAACAAAAGACAAAATCAAAGGAGAGGAATCAAAAGAAAGACAGAAAGACAGACAGCAAAAAAAAAAGAAAAACAGAAGAAAGAGTAAAAAAGAAGAAAAAAGGACAGTCCCCTATTTGGCATCAAAGCCAACCACTTGAGACCATTCTCGCATTCTCCAATTAGGCTTCACCTCCCGTTACCCACTTTTTTCTGGCGGAGACTCTCGCTGCCACCTACCTTTAACCCCCCCCCTCCTCCCTCCTCCTCCAATTACTACGTCTCCTACCTTTCCTACTTCCTGGCGGTTTCTCTACCCGCCCCTCCTTCTTCCCTCTTTTTTCCCTTTCTCAACGGTTTCTTCCCCTCCATCCCATTCAGTTTATGTCTGCCCAGATCTTATATCCTTCATACCCCGCCACCGATCTATTCTCTCGCTCATCGTCATCCCACCAGCTCTCTGACTGTGATTTCCAGACCTCGTTCAGCTCTCCCCGGCGGCTTCCGTCGCGACTACCCCCCCTTCCCTCTCCATCCCCACTTCTTCGTGGCCGGAGTCGCACGCTCTCCGGCCCTACTACCGACATCATGGCGGCCAACAGCTCCTTCGCCGATTCCAATGCCTCCCTCAAACTCTCCACAAACGACAACCATCCCTCAACGTTCCAGAAGATCTCCGAGGAAGACGAGGAGGAGGATCATGAAGTGACGTCACCAACCAATCCCACCTTCCGCACCGTCGACGCCGGTGATAGCTCCTCCGCCCGCGGTCGCCTCTTTTCGGGCGGCGGGTTCGGCGAGGGCGGTGCCCCCATCCGCTTTGGCCGGAGTCCCTTTGGCCGCGCCACCACCGAGGAGGAGGCCGAGGAGGACGACGAATTTGAGGAACATCCCGACGGCATCCGTCCCACCGGTGGTGCCGACCACGGCATGCCCAACAACTACGCCCTGGGCCGTCGCACGTCCGTCTCAGCGGAGTCGCTGAACCCCACGTCGGCCGGCTCGGACGGCTGGGTGCCGCCGCACCACCCCAAGACCGACGAGCAGCTGGCCCGGCTCAAGGCCGCCGTCAGCAACAACTTCCTCTTCTCGCACCTGGACGACGACCAGTTCACGACCGTGCTCGACGCCCTCGTCGAGAAGCCCATCCCCGCCAAGGGCATCAAGGTCATCTCGCAGGGCGACGCCGGCGACTACTTCTACGTGGTCGAGAACGGCCAGTTCGACGTCTACATCAACCCGGCGGGCTCCGTCCAGCCGGGCCCCGACGGCATGGGCAACAAGGTCGGCAGCACCGGCCCCGGGGGCTCATTCGGTGAGCTGGCGCTCATGTACAACGCGCCTCGGGCGGCGACCATCGTGTCGGTCGACCCCAAGAGCACGCTGTGGGCTTTGGACCGGATCACCTTCCGTCGTATTCTCATGGACTCGGCCTTCCAGCGCCGCCGCATGTACGAAGCCTTCCTAGAGGAGGTGCCCCTGCTCTCCAGCCTCAAGCCGTACGAGCGGGCCAAGATCGCCGACGCCCTGGACACGATCAAGTTCCCCGCGGGATCGACAATCATCGCCGAGGGCGACCCCGGCGACGCCTTCTACCTGCTAGAGTCCGGCGAAGCCGAGGCGTTCAAGGACGGGGTATCCGAGCCCGTCAAGTCATACCGCCGCGGCGACTACTTCGGCGAGCTGGCGCTGCTGGACGAGAAGCCGCGGGCCGCCAGCATCGTGACCAAGACGGACGTGAAGGTGGCGCGACTGGGCCGGGACGGGTTCAAGCGGTTACTGGGACCGGTGGAGAACATCATGCGACGGACGGAGTATGAGGTGCGGCCGGGGTCGTCGGCTTGAGGACGGGTTAGGATCCGCATGGGGGTGTTTGATTATGTTCTATCCTTCTTTGGCTTGGCCTGGTTATGTTTGTTTGTTTTTTTATTGGTTACTGGTTACCTTGTCGGTCGTTTATTGGTTTGGTTAAGGTTGTTACTGTTTACTGTTTACTGGTTCAGTGTTCAAAGAGTATCTAAGAATGGATACATAGGTTGTGCATTAGGTCATATATGCTTCCTTGATACCACCTACCAACTTGTAGACAAAAAGTAAACCCCTAACCTAATAAAATAAAGTAAAAACACCAATAAACCAATCGATCAACCAATAAGAAAGTAAGAAAGAAAGAAATATTGATCACGAAACAACCAAATCACTCCTCAACACCCACTTCTCTCCCCCCGTAACCTCCCTCCCCTCATGCAGCAAACAGCTCTCCCCATGCCGATGCAGCAGCGCCATGCCCACGCGGGGCGCCACGGAGATCGGTTCCGGAGAGCGGTTGTCGCGCGTGGGCTCCGGGTAGAAGACGGTTTCGCCGCCTGTGCAGGTGGAGAGGTAGATGAGGAGGGTCCATGTTGTGTGGTGTTTTTTGGCTGAGGGGGGGAGGGTTAGGGTGTTGGAGTCGTCGTCTTTATTATTATTAGTATTTCATCGGGGCTTTTTGGGGAGGGGAGGGGTATATTGAGTGGGTAGGTAGAGGTATAGTTGAGGTGGATGGATGGATGTATACATGTATGCATGTCATGGTGTATGCACATGGTGTACAGTATGCAAAACACCTCAAACAAACACAATATATCATATTTGAGAAGGGACGAAGGGGAAAAAAAAAGAAGAAGAACATACAATGTTTCGCAAAGAACTGCCCCGTCGAATACCGATAAACCCTTATATTCGGATTCAACCCTATAGGAACCCCATCCCATATATTCCCTCCTTCCCCCTCCCCCTCCCCATCCTCCCCCTCTCCCTCTTCATTCCGAAAAAAAGACAAAACCAACTCCCTCAAAGCAGTCCCCTCCCACAACACCCTTGCAAACCCCGGGTCCCACACCTGGAACCGATCATTCACCCGCGCGGCATAGTCCTTCCCCCGCTGGACGGGGGTCGTGCTCAGCTGGAGGGAGGATAGGAAGGTAACGTAGGCTTTGCAGAGGGGGGCGGGGAGGAGGCCCGTCGTGGTGTAGATGTGGGAGGGGAGCAGGGGCGTTAGGGAGAGGGTGTGGGCTTTTGGGGGGGGTGGGCGGAGGGGGGCCATTTGGGGATTTCATTTTCTTCTTCTTTTGAGGATTTTTGGTTTTTGGGGGGTTTGGAGGGGGCTTTGGGTTTGGGTTTGCCCATTTTGTTTTTTTTTTATATTATTCTTTTTTTCAAATGGGTTGTCTGTCTGTCTGTCTGTCTGTCTCTGTTGGTGATGGTTGTTGTATGGTATATGGTATAACAATGTTGTATGGTAGGTATATGGCTGGGTGGATGTCATGTCTTGGCATTAGTATTACTTACCATGTCTGGTCTTGGTATCAGGCTGTTACGTATTCTATCTCCTCTTGACAATTGATCAATTCTTTAGACATCGCATAAATTATCATGATATCAAATATGAAATATGAAATATAACATATGTAATATATTACATCTAATATATCATATAAATAATATGTATATATAGAATACAATACTGATTACTCCGTACCAATGACTAACACGCTAGGATGAAAAAAACACTCACCGCCTTCCACCATCTCCAAACCTGGCTCTGCTTCTTCTTCCCGTCTGGCTTTCTCCTCCCAGAAAGAAAAAAAAAAGAGAAAAAAAAAACGAAGAGGACCGCATTGTCATGTCGTCGTCGCAGACCATGACAGCGCCTGCGGTCGGTCATCGTCCTCCTGATTCGACTCAGGACATGTCCCCTTCCCTCTACGACTATTCTCCCTCTCAACATCCCCTTCCTCCCCGTCCTCCCATCGAGACCGCTGCCTCCTCCTCCTCCCCGCCCAGCGACTCCGCAATCCGCGCCCTGCAGGATTCTGCCCCCGACCTCCCGACGGCGCCCTCATCCTCCCATCCGCCCCCGACGCCCCCCAATGGCCTACCCTCCGTCTCCCCCATCAAGTCCGATCCCGATTTGCTCGATCTGCCCGCCGACATGGGCGACGTCCAGCCGCAGTCGGCCCTGAGGCGGCAGTCCGCCGCCAGCGCGCTCCTGGCCCAACTCCTCGGCAATCATGACCAGCCATCTGCCGCAGAGACAGACCCGTCCGCCGACCACCCGTCCGATCAGGGTGCCCATCCGCCCCATCTAAACGACTTCGATCGCCTGGAGGACGGAGACGGGTTCGGGGAGGGAATGGCGGACGACGCCGCTGACTTGGAGAATCCCCTCGGGGGCGGTCCTATCGACGAGCGGAATCAGACCCCAGCACAGATTGAGGACGTTCCGTTGGACGACACAAAGCCGGATGTATCGTTTGAGGACTCCCTCTCCCATCCCGATCCCCGTCTGAGTACCCCCGTCCGGTCCACCGACCTCGCCGATGGCCTGACCGACCCTTTGCTCTTCGCCAAATCCGGCCTCGACCACTCCGATCTCTTTCCGCCCTTCGACGTCACGGCCGCCCCCAAGACCCCCTTCGAGGCATTGCAGCAGAACGAGATGCTCACGGCCGCCTATCTCTCGCAGAGCGCCGACCTGTCGGCCTTGGGCTACTCGGGCGGTCTGTCCCACGACGTGATCGGCGATGGCGCTGGGTCGGAGCCGCGCATCCAGGCCTTTGCCAAGTTGGAGTTCGACGATGGCCACTTCTACTGCAACACCTACTCCTTCGTCCTCGGACGAGATGTCCGCGCCGCCCGCGCCGCCCATCAGCGCGAATTTCAGGCCCGCCAGGTGATGCGATCCTCTCGCCCCAAGAGCTCCAGCGGCGGCCACACCTCGCACACCCCCGGCCGCGCCAAACACGACGGCAGCGGCATGATCGGCAGCGTCGTCAGCGACCGCGGCGGCATCATGGGCTTTGACCCGGACGTGCCTCCCAACCTGTCCCGCATGAGTCGACGCTCCTCCAACTCGTCCCACGGCGAGGCCGCCCCGCCGCTGCATGCCAACCCGGCTCAGCTGCAGACCACCACTACCACTACCGCCCCCAACACCACCACCACCACCACCACCGACTACAACGCCCTCGCCATGCAATCCTTGACGGACGGCCTTGGGGACGCCAAGCCCGTCGATGCCTTGGCCCTCCTCCCCTCCCCCGATTCGTGCCCGACCATCCCTATCCACCCCCCGGCTACCGTCGACGGCACCGCGGCCGGCCACCGGGGGATCTCCCGCAAGCATGTCAAGATCGCCTACAACTTCGACAAGTGTCTGTTCGAGATGGAGGTCATGGGGCGAAACGGCGCCTTTATCGGGGCGGACTGGCTCTCCCCGGGCCAGATCCGGCCCCTGCACAGCGGCGATTACATCCAGATCGGCGGTGTACGCATCCGCTTTTTACTACCAGACGTCCCCATCGGGGAGACCGGCGCCGAACGGGCGGACGACGCGCTCGGAGCCGACGAAGACAAAGCCGCGTCCACCCTGGCCGTCGAGACCGAGGGCGACGGGATCAAGGATCCCAATCAGGCCAAATCCGCCAAGTCCAAGGATGCGGACCCGGGCCGGCTGGTACAATCGATCGAACCGAGCGATCCCTCGCAGGCCCCTGCCCGGCGTCGCGGGCCCGGACGCCCGCCCAAGGACGGCATCATGTCCAAGCGGGAACGCGCCGAACTGGCCCGGGAGCAGAAGTTGGCGGCCAAACGCGAGGCCAACGGTGGTGTCACGCCGCCTCCAGTGCCCGTCCCGGCCCAACGCCCCAAGGCCGGCAAGACCACGACGACGACGACGACGACGATGACGACCACCGCCACGACCCCGGGGGCGACGACGGGCGCGACGCCGGGTGCGACGAGCACGGCCATGTCGGTCCCGCCCGCGGGGCCACTCAAGGAGTCCGTGGGCCCCGAGCTGTCGCCCGGATCCAAACCCGAGAAACGCAAATACACCAAGCGGAAGAAGCCCGACGGGACGACCATGGACATCCCATTCCCCACGACGGAGGGAGGGTCCTTTTCCATGGAGCCGCGTCCCGAGGAGTTCATCAAGGCCCCGCCGGTCAAGAAGCGCAAGCCGTCCCGCTCGCCGTCGCCCAACTATCCGCCGGAATCGGCCTACGGGCCCGAAGACCTGGCCAAGCCCCCCTACAACTACGCGGTGCTCATCTTCGACGCCCTGACCGAGGCGGGCACGCCCATGACGCTCAAGCAGATCTACCGCGCGCTCAAACTCAAGTACCCCTACTTCCGGTTCAAGTGCGAGACGGAGGGCTGGACGTCCAGCGTGCGGCACAACCTCAACGGCAACGGCCACCTCTTCATGCACGCCGAGCGCGATGGCAAGGGATGGTCCTGGCAGCTGCGTCCGGGAGCCTCCGTCGAGAAGGAGAAGAAGCGACGGCCGTCACCACCGCCGCCGTCCTCCTCGCAGCCGCCGTCGGCCCCGTCGTCAACGCCGCAGTACATGCCACCGTTGAACCCGTCGTACGGCACCCCCGCCAACGGACCCCCGGCCCCCATGGCCAATCCGCACTTCCAATTCCCGCAGATGCCCTCCCACCCGTATCCGGCTCCGTCACCAGCTCCGCCCGCTCCCCCGCCCGCTCTTCCCGCTCCATCACCCGTCCCGCCACAGGCCAGTCCGTACCCTCCGGCGCCGCCGCTGCCCCCGCCGGCGGCAGCACCGCCGCAAGCCACGGCGCCCACGCCGTTCCCGATCCCCAGTCCGATCCGGAACAACCTCCCGCCCGCCTTTGCGCAGACCACTCCTTCCACGTACACCTCCCCTTATGCCTCTGATCCGCCGCCGCAGTTGGTGCAGCTGCAGCAACAGCAGCAGTTGCGCCCACCCCAGCCGCCGCAACCCCGGCCGCCGCAAGCCATGGCCCAGCCGCCGGCACCGCCGCAGTCGCAGTCGCAACAACCGTCTCATCCACCGTCCCATCCGCCGCAACACCAGCAACCTCATCCGCAGCAGCACCAGCCGCAGCATCCGCCGCAACACCCGCCACAGCAACATCCCCCGCAGCATCCCCCGCAGCATCCCCCACAGCATCAGTCTCCATATCCGCCGCCGCCAATGCCGTCGATGGCCCCGGTGCAGCATCAGCATCAGCATCCCCCGCCGCAGCAGGTGGCACCGAACCAGGCACCGCCCGTGCACCACCAGCACGCGCCGCCGCCGGGACCACCGCCACAACAGCAGCAGCAGCAGCAGCAGCAACAACAACAACAACCGGCTGCGCACGCACCGCAGCAGTTCAACGTGAGACCAAGCGATTCAGGCCCGGGGCCAATGAACCACGGCGACATGCCATCATTCAACGAGCGGGCCAACAAAGCAATCGACGACTTCGAAGTTATCCTCATGGAAGACTACGAAGACAAGAACTACATCAGGGAGGTGCTGAAGAGCGCACGCGCGCGGGCCCTGGGCGACGCAACGGAGAGTTCGTTCCCTGGCGGCGAGCCCAAAGACGAGGCTGTTATTGTGGATGCGCTTCGCAATTTGATTGGGAGTCTTAAGGGGGAGTAGTCACCTTACTTACTCTTGCCTACTTTTGTATCATACCTACCTCTGTACGACGTGGGTAGGTTGGTAGGTAGGTAGGTAGGTATGTGGGAGGCGTGGATGAAAAGACAGGTGGAGAAAATAAATGATTAACGACTTGAGATTTGTTTATGGTTACGAATGGTTTTTTACTTTACATACATGTCATGTGTCATGTCGGTGGTGTTGTGGTCTGCCGATTCTTTCTTTCTTCTTTTTTCTTTTACTTTTTTTTTTTCTTTCTCCCTTTTACTTTGTTGATTTCTGGTTTTATCTTCCCTGTTTGATCATTACTCATTCTTGCATTCAATGATATCCACTCTGTTCAGGACCTTCGCCCAGCTCTTTTTCGAGAATCGTGTATTGACTGGTTTGGTTTTATCTTTTCTTTTCTTTTCTTTATCAGTTCTTATTTTCTATCTTATCATTGTTACTGTTATGTTACTGTTACTTCCTAGTATCTAGGATCTACCATCTAGGATCTGGAGCATGCATGCATCGGAGCAAGGCTTTTCCTTGATTCAGGAAGAAGAAAAAAGGTGGTTGTTTGGTTGATTGGTGTTTGTGCATAGATAAACAATTTATTTCACTTTACTTTACTTTTGGATTTACTT